TGAGTAAATTATCCCCCTTTTTTTATAAAAAAATGAGTAATTTATCCCCTTTTTTTTATCAAAAAATGAGTAATTTATTATTAGCCCCAAATTTTTACCACTAAACTGGTGCTGTTTGGTTGATAGCAATATATCTTCAAATAAATAAATAAATCATAAAAGAAAACAGATAACATATTATTCCATCTTTTATCCCACTGAGATCAACTAAGCTTAGTTTAAACATAGGAATCATGATTATGAATAAGTAATTACTCATTAGTCTATCTCTTTACCTCTCGTGCGTGTGTGACTACTACTAGCTTTTGAGAAATACATAAATAAAAAGGAGCACCAACCCATTTAGAAGAAGTCGCCACATAAATAAAAGTAAAAAGCCTTCTCTTCTCTCTTGTAGTTTCGACATTCCCCAGAGTCTCTCCCCTTTTTGTCTCCAGCCAAAAAAACCTTTATTACCTTTCTTCATCGTGAAACAGAGCATAACAGGGAACACAACAGAGACGTTCGACTCTCTGTCTTAATCTCTCACTAACTCCTCTGTCTGAAATCCTAAGTAAGTTGATTCCATCTTCTTTTATATATATTTTCATCTTCTTTTATATATATTTTCAAATTAATAATAATATGGATCCAAGAAAATATGATGATCATCTTTCTTTGTTTCTTTATAGGTTTGTTCCTATCAAAGATCGATGGAAACCGCTAGAGCAATTCCGGTTCAGGAAACCGAGTCAGGATATCAAACCCCCGTTAATCCAGATGGGTTTGTGACGATCGATGTTGAAAGTTTCACTCCTGTTTTTAACAAAGACTTCTCTTCTTCGAGTCCCCGGATTACTGTAAGTTCTAATACAATCTAAACTTTGTTTAAGGAATTCAAGATTGAGTTTTGGTCGGAAACACCATAATTTATAATTTTCTTTTATTTTTTATTTTTTTTCTCTGTTTTGTTTCTTTTTTGTCTTTTGGGTATTTAATTCTCTAAAGAATCATGGAAGAATCGCCCATAACCTTTATAACTGACGTCGATTCATTTTTCCTTCTCATTTACTTTTTTTTCCTATAAGGAAATGAATATAAAACCCAAATCGAAAGTTGACTTTTATGTGTCAGATTTTTTAAAAATATTTTTTCGTTCTTCAAACGATTATCTTCCGAGGTATTATCATCTGGTTATTTAGTAAACAAAAAAAAATCATCTGGTTATTTTTGCTAATAATTGACATTTGTCATGAAGCCTAATTAGATTAGTATTTTGGAGTGCTCTCAATAATTGAATGATTTTAATTAAATTACTGAATTAAATAACTGAAATAATGGAATTTTTTTATAAAAAAAAAAGCTGCAGAGAAGTGTTTCGAGGAAAGGATCTCCAAGAAGCAACAACAACGAGAGGAAACTCCATTGTGACGCAAATGGTAATGACAATGAGACCTCATTTCCTCAGTCCCCACTTAGAGGTAAAATTTAAATCACTCTTCAAATCTATAACTTTTTATATATACTTATATGTGTTACAAGAAAAACAATTTATATAAATATATATATTATGTCGTATTCCTGATTTATTATTTCCTTTAATGCATGATACATTGATTAGTTTTCAATAAAGTAAACAATTAAACTAACGTTTCATTAGGCGTATATGGACAAATGCATTTTCCTAGAGAGACCATTGGTACATTTTGTTTTTATCGTCATTTTGTTACCATGTGATATAATATACTAGTATCAAATGGACCTAACAGATTCTCGTAATAAATTCGTTTTGTGCTTATCTGTACTGCGAGCTGTGAGTTATAAAAAAATCTTAAATTTGACAAAACTAATGTGGTTTTTGGGATGAAAACAAATACATATCGGACTTTTAATAATTCAAGTCTAATTATTATTATTTTCTGCGGATTACATATTTTTCTGAGATGTGTTTATCTTCATGGAATGCATTTAATTTTAAAAATATTTTTCTCTAATATATTGTTTTTTTTCTTTGAAGAAATATATTACAAAGCGTTAGGTCTGGTTTAGTTAATATGACCTACCCATACGTTAAGCTGTAGACCGTAACTAAAGTTTATTAATATTTTAAACGAAACTTCACCAAATCTTCTTTTAGAGGAATATAGTTTTTGGTCCCATATATCTTATACTAAATTTATACGTCATGGTTACAATGTATGTAATGTATGCCACATTACGTATAATATATTTACAAGATCGATCAACTAAGTGGAGAAACTCTGTTCTTGATTCAATAAAAAACTCTATTCTTGTTTTCTCATTTTGAATATCTACGTGTGTTTTTTTTTTTTTGATCAAATCTACGTGTGTTTAAGCTATACATTAGCTTTATGCAGACCACGAACAAACCAATATTCCAACTTTTTATTTCCTTCACCGCATGCTCACTCATACCATTATTAAATTCGGTATACAGTTACTAATGAATACGTTATGATCCATTTTATTTTGTTTTGTCAAATAAAGAAAAATAATTTTTATTCACTGTTTCTTTTTTTCAAACTTCACTTTATTCACTGTTATTATTAATTAAAGCTTGTGGTATTTTTGATGAGTTGTAGGAACAAGCACGCCGGAAAAGATGAGCACCTTGGGGTCCACGGATCATGCAGGCACAGCCACAACCACAACCACAACCACAGCCATCGCTGTCTCAGCCTCGCCACTTCATCAAATCACCATTACCACGGCTGCGGCCACAGCCGGGAATATGATCTCCGATCAAAATAGAGAAAGAAGATTTGGTTTTGCGAGGAAATCGAGTTTTAAACGCTCTCGGACATCTTGGATGTTTGATCCCAAGAAAGTCGTCCTCTTCTTTGCAACTTTGTAAGTAATTATATCACTTCCTTTTTCAACATAATTTATTTATTTATTTATTCGTTAACCCACACTGACGGATAATTTTATGGAGCTCAAAATGTTTTAAAATATAGTACTCAAAATGCATGCATACATGATCTCTAATTAACTTTTTGTTTTATAAACCATGTTTTGGAGTATTTTTGTTACTTTCAAATTTTCTGATTGCGTATGGGATAATTAACTAATGTAATTAAGTCATTATTGGGTTTAAATGTATGAATTAGTAAAAAAAAAAATATATATATATATATATATAGTATAAATTATTAAAAGTGATATACGACATGCTACTGCAAATCGGAATATCTATCACGATTAATAAGTAAAGTTGATTTTGACGAATATATGTTGATGGAATGTTACTTGTTGTGACAGGTCAAGCATGGGATCAATCTTGTTAATCATATTTACTCTCTCGATCAGCAAGTCCAATACCGGAGATATGCCTCTCGAATAATAGTAAAAATACAAGAAGATATATGAGATGGACCGACCTAATTTTGTGGCTATAGAACATGCCACAATCTCACCGACCTACATTTGAGGAGATGAATCAGAAGAACATTACAAAAAAAAAAGAGAGTAAGGTTGTGATAATAATTATTTTGTATTTTCTTTTTTTTTTTTAATGGAGAAAGGAAACAGCAAGAGAAAGTGGGAAGTGGGCACGCACGAGATCATATGAAGATTGGAAAAGAAAGATTAAGACAAGAGTTTATGACTGTTGTGACAAAGACAGAGAATCTTCTCCTTCTGTTCCTTTTAATTAGTTTTGTCTTTCTTCAAAGTATTTGCCTAGTAATTGGTTTTTCATTTTGTTGTATTTCTTTATGTGCATATATATCAGTTGTGGCGAGGATTTTTTTAGTTTAGCTTTGGCTTCACCCTTGTTCAAAAGGAAAAAAAAAGAAGCTCTGGCTTCACCGTTCACATAGAAATAATTTGAGTCGCTTTAGAACGAAATGAAATTTAGTTATTGTGTGCTATTTTTGTTTTCTAATGAACGTTGTTTATTCGTTTTCAGAGAAAGCAAACTATACGTTTGAGTTTTGAACCCCAAAAAAAAAAAAAAAAACTTCGGTTAGTATATGGACCGTGTTGAAAAATAGAACCTAACACAAGCGTGGAGCATTTAAGGGTCACCACATGCTATTCACCTAAGCTATTACCATATGTAGGTGTCTTCAAGTATTTGGATCATAAAGTAACATCTCCCTTTCATAGACTAAAATGCAAGAGTTTAATACCTGCCAATGTACCTGCATTATACAACACATCTTGAATATTGTTGATAACAACTAAAGTTGAAACGTGGTTTTAAAAGTTTGATGTTGAAATGTTGCCAAACAAGTCCAAACCCCCTATGCAAGTTGTGGTGTGGATTCTAGAGTTTGATATGGTCCAAAACCCGTATAGAAGTTGTGCTTAGTTGATCACAACTGAGATGGTAAGAAAATCAGAGTTTTAGAGTAGAAAATAGATTTGTATACACTTTAGTCAGTTACAATAGTTCCTATTATTTGTTTCAGTTGATTTAACTGTGATGGTATCATTGGTCAAACCACACCTAAACTTTGACTAACCAACTGCTCAAACAACACTGTTGCAATTGTTATTAGTATTCATATTAACATGCATATCTAACATTCATATAACTTAGACCATCTTTATCCTAAATACCCACTTGGGTTTTTAATTTTTTTTTTTTTTCATTTTTGTTTAATTAAAAAAAAAATATAAGAGTGCCAATCGCAGGCCGCCATGTGTCAGTGGGGCCCGCGAACAGTTGAAAAACCCAAAGCAAACGTTTCTTCTTTGACAACATTGGCTCCCGGTTTTTTGATATAATGGGCCCCCTCCACCTTTAAAACCCCATTAAAGACTGGAATAAAGATGGTCTTACTGTTTCACCAAGTTATATATAACACTAAAAGTAATGGTAATGTGACATTACTAATGTCAATAAAAAGAATGCAAACAGGATATAATTTTCCAATTTGTACTTGTGTCTCCATTATGTCATATTATTCCATTTTTCGGAAGTATGCATTTATGAATTATAGACGACGACAAGTAATACAATTTTTACATATCCAGCTTTTTAAGAGTTGGCAATTTTTTTTCTCTCTTTCTATGATTAATAAATTGAATTTTTCATTGATTACATAATCTGCGTATTTCTTATGTTATTGGTTTATGGAAGAAAATACTCAATTCTCTCCAACTTGATATATTTCTATGGACTTCAGCCTTGGCCCAATAATATGGACTAATGGGCTTTATAAACTATATTTCTATAAATTTTCCCACACTAATTCAAATTCTTCGTCCAACACTTTAGTAGCATTTAGAGATGCGAGGCATCGCTCGATTGCTTTGTCTCTCGTCATAAAGCCTCAAAACCACTGCTGCAGTTTCCTCTATTGCTCTCTCTGTCACTTCTGCAAAACAAAACAATTCACTATTTTTGATCAAACCCTTTTTTCAAGAACTTCATCAATCATCATATCTACTCTTACCAATCACTGGCCAACTCGGATTCTCTGCAAAGATTCTCTTAGCAAGCTCAAGCTCTTCCCTAACAGATCTCAACTCAGAGTACTTAATCTCGAAACCAGAACCAAGACCAAGACTCTTGGCTCTAGCCTCCCTTATCCCTTGCAACACCACCGGGTTAATCATCAGACCAAAAACCTTTCTTGAATCAATCTCGAACAGAGTCTTGGGAAGATCAACACCGTTCACGATCGGTACGTTAGAGACTTTGTAACCCTTTTGAGCCAAGTAAGTAGAGAGTGGTGTCTTCCCTGTCCTAGAGACACCTACAAGAACAATGTCAGCTTTTTCAAGATTCTCTGGCAAGGCACCGTCGTCGTGTTTGATTGTGAATTCGATTGCTTCGATTCTTTTGAAGTAGTCTTCGTTGAGTGATGATTTTGTGACGCCACGTGAAAGGCCGGAAGGGTTTGCTCCTAAGTGAGAGGAGATTGCGTCTGTGATTGGTCCTAGGATGTCGAGTGAAGGGATGCTCCATAGCTTGCATGCTCTCATGGCTGCTTCAGCCATTGATGGATCAGCTAATGTGTACATTACCATTGCTTCTTCTTTAGCAGCTTGCTTTATGATCTCCATTAACTTATCTCCATCCTCGATCTTCACATATCAGATATGTTCAATATCAAACAAAATGGTCAATAGGATTTTTTCTAAATAATTTGGTGTAAGAAAATCTACATTGTTTTTGGTACTAAACTTATTTTGCTTAAATAATTGAGATACTGCATAAATATAACTTACATAAATTAATAAACATAATATTTTTTTTTAATAAACATACTAAATTAATCATTCTTTTGTCAATTTTGAATTGAGTGAGTTCAAAATATTTTGATATTATCTAATAATATTACATATAAAAGTGCATCTACATTTTTTATACATATTTTTTATTTACAAAAAATATGGAAAAATAATTTTAAAATTATAAATTAAGTTAATATATAAACCAAAAAAAGTTTTAAAAAAATTTGGACAAAAAACCAAAAAAATAATTATTTAAAAATATTACATATATAATAAATAATCTATCTTTATTGTTCAAACCTTATAGAAGTTCTAAAGTATTTAGCTAGAATTAGTAAAAATAACTCATGTCATATGATTTGATTCGGTTTAAAATACGGTTTATTTTTAAAATCCATAAACCGAACTGATATCGGTTCGGTTTTATAGCAGGCTTAAATAAATATCACAGATTCGAGACCAGAGACAGAAGTGAAAGTCGAGAGTACCCCTGAGAAGAGATGTGTATTAACGGGACAGCCACGGTCGACCAAGCAGTAATCGAACTGCCCCAAAGCTGCATTAACGGCGTGTTCTGCCGTCCATCCAGTTCCGTCAGAGACTATATAAATCGACTTCGCCGCCGTGAAATCCGTCTCGTTATCTCCGTTAATTGACGACACGTCACTTTCCGCCGTTGAAAAATCAGGGAAATTCACGATCGGACCGGTCTTACTGTTTGACTCATTATTAATCGTACGGTCCACCTTCGTGCCGGACCTTAAGGTTCGTGCTCTGTTCCAGCGATTCAGCTTTGAGCTGAATTTCCGAGGCTTTGGTTCGGAGTCAGGTATGGAGATGTCTAATGAAACGGAATCCGAACCTGCATGTTTGGGATTTGGGTTGAGATTGGACGAGATCGATGGTGGTCGTCCTTGCAACTTCACCGCCGAGAGACAAGCCATTTCTATATTTTTATTTCTTTCTTTTTTAAAAAAATCTTTAGCTATTTTTCGTGTCCCTTAGCATATTATCTTCTAAATCTTTTCAGCGAGACTCAAGTTGGTCAAGCCTTAACCAATCATCGGAATTTCGATTCCGGTTTTTAAGTTTTAAGTTATAGATTTGAAACACGTAAACACTTTCTTGAAATCGGATTGAGTTTATTGCATAAAATAGTACTTTGGTTTCATTGGTTTACAGTTACTTTTCTTTTCTTTCAATTTATAATCAAACCGAGTAAAGCTCCGGTCTTTGACAAAAAAAAGCTCCGGTTTAGCGTTATAATCGGTTTACTAATTGCTTTTTGATTGAAACTAAGATAATCAGTTTATCTAAAATACGACTAGATGATTTTCTGCGCAATTGCACATAAATAATTTTAAATAAATTATATTAATGAAAACCTGAATTCATTAATATTTGGATGTGAATTACTAGTTATAAAAATTTATAAATAATTAGTTGTTATTTAGTTTTATTTATTTATTTATTTATGGTATTCAAATAAATTTATTAATTAAAAACTTAGTTAATCATCTAATGTGATGCACACTTACAATTCTGTTTAAATATGATAGCTAAGTTGATGTAATTTTTTTACAATATATTTTAAAATAGAATATAATTTTTCTACAAAAATATTTTAATGCATTGTATCACATTTAAATTCAAATAAGTTTAACAGATTAAAAAACTTAATTTAATCGTCTATTTTGATGATCTTTGGATTTATGAATGTTTTCGAATATATCTACATGAAATTTTGAATTTTGAGTTTTTTTTTATTTAATAAGATATGCTTACATTTTATTTTCGCAAAAATATAAATATATATAAAACTGGCCATTCTAATTAAATTGATGTGAAGATTTTTTATATTTTGCAACTATATTTCATTTTTTTTAACAATAATAATTTAGAGGATTTACACGTATAGCATCTACCCAATTGTTATCATTTAGTTTTAGGATTTTTACCGAAAAATAGAATTTTATCATTAAAATTCTATCAACGTGTCATAATAAGAGAATGAACTGTTACATTTTTAATAAGTTATGTCATACTTATTTTCTAAAGAATGAGTATGGTAATGTCTTATAAGCAAATCAATTCTTAAATAATATTTTTGGGATATTTATCAAGAAAAATAACAAGACAAATATAGAAGAAGAAAAAACACAAAACAATATTGTTAAAAATTACAATTTTTAAGTAAATCAAATATAAATTAGTATACATGATTAATGAATCTAGGAAGGCCAACTTTATAACCAAGCTTCTTAACATCTTCTTGTACTTGTTGTCTGAATTCTCTGAAACTGAAATTTTTATAAGCTGGACAATCACCCGAACACTCTATAATGGCGTCATACGATGGACACAGGAAATATGCCGTTGAGAATCTCTCCACTGTTGGATTCGTCATCACACGATGTTCAACGCTTTTGTATGTGCCATTGCTCCATGCCTAGCAAAACAACACAAGAGTTCTTAAAGAAAGATAACTAATTTAAACACATTTTAGTATACAATTTTTTCATTAATGGTGCATACCAAAACGAAGAACCTGGTTTAAACCAACTGAAACTTGATTAAGAAATCTTAAAGTTCAATTACCTGAAATAAGTCACCAATATTGATAATGAGAGCACGAGGGTTAGGTTTAACGGAGATCCATCTATTGTCTTTGATGAGTTGGAGTCCTCCGACTTGGTCTTGGTGCAAAATTGTGAGGAAATCACTGTCTGTGTGTGGCATTAAACCGTACACCTCTGATGGTTTCGGACATGGTGGATAATGATTCATCCTTATATAACATGTGTTTCTCACACAGTTTTCTTTGAAGAAATTTGATCTTCGTCCTGACTTCTCTGCAAGTATCTCTGCCAACATATATGCTAAAGCCTCCGATTCCGAAGCAAATTTCTCCATTGCTGAGCTGTGATATGAGAATTAAAACATTATGACCTGATCATCCATATTATAACTAAGGTGAAATATATACTAGTCATAAATAAACAATGCTAATTTGTTTTGAATGAACATTTTGAAATGGAAAATCCTAAAATATAAAATTTAAAAGTGTGAAGTGTTGGTTTTATATTAGGTTAAACAAAAACTTGAAAATTATAAAATATAAGTTATAGTGAAAATATTTTTTTTTATTGTAGAATGACGTAATAAATCATGAATTATTAGACTTGATAAAAAAATTGTGGAAATGATTTTATAAAAAAAAAATTGAGATTATTTTTCATTCGTGTGTCGCATCTGTACGCAAAAGGCAAGCTATTTTTAGTGCATCGTCCTAATTGTTATTGAATACCCTGAAGACATACAACATAAAGCATTTGGTGTCAATAAACACAGTTACACAATCCATAAAAAAATTTAAAAAAAAAAACAAGAAACACAATCACAAGTGTCACTGTGTCAGCTATTATTTCAAACCTGTACCAAACTTACATTTCAGAAAAGGTGAAACAAACAACAGTAAAGATAACGAAGATACTTCCCTCGATGGGAAAGCAACGTGATGCAGTTCACACGTAAGGATGTGAAATGCCAGGAAGCTTGTGAGACATGCATGTTAGTTATAATGAACAAAGGGTCCCAAGACAGGGGATAGACTTAAGCAAGACGAGAAAAAAAAAAGAAAAAAAAAGGGTTTAATCAGGTTGCGAAGAGAGGTACGTGTACGTGTCCAACCCACTGACTCTCTATGATAGAGATATCTCCTACCTATTAGGAACATGGGACCAATTCCCAGTTTTGGGTCTTCTATATTATTTCTCTTTTTGGATACATTGTATTCGCATCTTTGATCATTACAACGATGATAACTATTCACTTATCCGATTGGATTCGTTCGGTTGAGAAAGTATTTGGTGAAAGACCATAGTCTGGCCAATCCATATAATCAATAATTAAGTTTTAGAACATGTTGTGAAATTGTAAACTAATAGTGACCTTATCAAGAGACGCCAGCTATAAAAGGTGGTGGCAAGCGGATGTGGTCACACATATCCACAAACACATAAGCAGAAACTGCATAAATGTGTAAGACAACCACATGCATGCAAAGTATATGTAAGAATGTGTACAGATTCCAGCGAACACACTCGTACATACTGATCACAAGATTATATATGCGTGTGTGTATATATATTATATATAGCCTAGTATGTTCGAGTACTTCTTCTCCATTATCCATTGCTAAACATACAGATTTCTCGTGACTCCTCTCCTCACTGCATAGTACTATAGCTTACTATATATGTTTCAAGCATCGTACATAAGTTTTTGGAGGGCTTTTTCTATCAACAAGTTCTTAGTAAGAGTTTTTGAGCCATTTGTAAAAAATAATTGTTTTCGTCATAGATGGGAAAAATGTTATAACCTTAAGATATGATAATGCTAAATGTAAAATGCGTTTTCTCAATAAAAATTGTGAAAGCGGTTTATATGTATAAAACAATTTATAATATGAAAAGCGGTTTATATGTTTTAAGATTGATAACATGTATGTAGTATCAATAGTTTATTTCAGTTATGAAAACATGATTCTCAAGAACTTTCAGATATAAACGTCTTTTTGGATGATGGTTAAATATTTTTCGATGATCTGTCATTTAATCAGTTAGTTGATAATTTTATTTTACTTTTCAAACCACGAGTTGAATTAAAAAAATTAGATGATTTCCCCCGCAAAAACCGACCAAAATCAGTTGGTCGACATCTCAGTTTTTATTCATTAATATATGCAGCAATTAGTCATACATAGTATAATTATTATTCGCATATATGAAAATAAAAAACGGGCTAATGTCCACAAAATCATTCAGCGCCACAGCTGGTGCAAAATGGATTTAAAAAGTTAAAATTTTCAAAATAAACAATGCTAGAGCATGTAAAGATTTTGAAGTTGACGAAATTCTTAGGAATACGAGCGAAAAAATGAAAATAAGCATTAAGTATATTTTGTTTATATAATATAATAACGATAATAAATTGATGAAATAAAATCAAAACCAACTCTAGAGCAAGCTAAAGTTAACTAAATAAACATGTTAAGATTATGTATATATATATTAGACATAGGATTTTGATTTATTCATTTTTGCTCAAATATAATATTAATTAAATATCATCGTCTTTCACATGCCAATTTCTTTTGTTGCTAAAATTCACATGCCAACTTGCTATCTAGAAACTATACTTATTCAGAAATAGTAATAAACATTGGGAAAACATAGAAACACATGAGAGATGTAGAATAAATCTTTGACCCAGTGCCAACAGCTTTTATTTTCAGGATTTCCTTTTATTTATACGTGCCAATAATATGAATAAAATATGAAGGCAACACTATTAGTTATAAGACTATATATTGAATTAAAAACCCGCTTGTCTTCCATGTTAATGTTTGAATATTTAATAAAAATGCTTTGCATAATATGTTATTAATAGTCACACACTAAGCATTTCATTATATGTAAACATAAGTACATGGTTTTATTCTTTTTAGTGCAATAATAAGTACATATTAATCTCAAACACAACTAGTTTCTTGGGATAATGTGTTATTAGAAGCTACCTAAAATTTAAGGTAGTGAGAAGACTAAGAATAATTCATTTCAGTCATGTTATTGGGAAATATTCTCCAAATATAAATTATTCAAAATAAGTAAATTACTAAGTCTAATCAACAAGAGTAGTTGTGTACCTGAGGGTACTGAAGTCCTTGTTGTCAGAAATATCTGTCATAGGAACATGAAATGCTTCCGACCAAGAAAGTTGCCGGAGACAAGTGGCTGACGGAGTTCCCCACCGGTAACTCCCGGCGGAGAACTTCTCCGACGTGCTTTTCTTGTCAAAGGGTTCTCTAAAAACCCTAATTTGTTCTTGTCTCATCTTCTCCAAGACATCCATTGATATTCCATGGTTTATCACTTGGAAAAATCCCCACTCCCTCGAAGCTCTAGCAATATCTTCCTTACACTTGTCCCTCTCCTTCTCGGTTCCATACATAAGAAGGCTGACGTCTATAACTGGAAGCTCCACCTCTTCGACTACAGCCGTGACAGAGAAGCTAAAGGGTACTTCGGGGACATTGTTTTCTGTGTTTGTGATCTGTTTACATAAAAGGGTATTGTACATCTCGTTGAATGGTGGATCCATGAGAATCAACCAAGAATGATCTATAAAGAAGAGCGAGAGTTAGCGACAATTATGGGAAGTGAAGGTTATCAAAATACGTGTTGTGATGAGAGACACAATTCTTACATTTATATACCCGTCCACCTGTATGCACAAGTGCAATTTGTTCATATTTTTATTTTTAGTATACCATGTTGACAATAAACAAAATTATTTGAAAAAGAAAACAAAATTGTTTTGCCGCCCATTGACCTTGTAATTACGTAATATGAGTTTCTATTGTTAGTGAATTTGTATTTACTACTTTAACTGGTGACCAAAGGAATGTGTGGGAATAGTTAATTCCTCTTTATTCCTTAAATTTAACACTATTTATAAGGAATCATAATAGTTAATTCCTCTTCATTCCTTAAATTTGACACCATTTATAAGGAATAATTTTTCTTCAATATTCCTTCTCATTCCTTTTAATTTAAAGAATCAAAGAACAAAACCATTCCTTATCAAATCCGGGGAGGAACAACATAGAACAAATATTCCTATTATTTTGTTCCTCTTCATTCCTTTCCTCGTTGTCCCTATTATTCCTTTGGTGGTCACCAGTCAAAGCCGTAGAATTTAGTACTCCCTCTGTTTTTTTATACGATGTTTTAGGTTGGTGCATAGAGACTAAGACATTTATATTCGTTTAAAAAATAATTTTAAAGATATAATTTTAAAAATTATTCAACCAATTAAAAAAACTGTAATTTTGTTGGGTAAATAGTTTTCAATAAAATTAAACTCAACCTTAAAATCTCAAAATATACATTAAATCTCAAAATATTTTATATTTTAAAACAACATAAACTTTCTATAACATTATATAAAAAGAAACGGAAAGAGTAATAATTAAAGAGACATTTTTTTATAAATACGATATGGGTATGTATGGTGTGTATATTTGTAGACATATGGTGGACATGCTACGATGATTGAGATTAATAAATTTGGTAATATTAGAATAATTAAGTAAAGTTGGGGATGTCTAAGAGAACATGATGATGTTTCATATTCAGAGGTTTGAATTTTTGCTTGTCTGGACACCGTCCTTTCTTTCTCTATGTTTTTACTTCCCTCTATGGTGTACTGTTTTCTTTTTTTACTATATTTCTTTATTATTTTAGCATAATCAATTATTAATCAGTTAATCAATACGTTTTGCTTCTCTAGATAAGACCCAGCAATTTTAAATCATTTTATATATGCACTAATCTAGAAGCTGTAATTAAACTAATAGGGATAAACTTACGGAAGCAGACAAAGCTTGGGGTCCAAGAAAAAGAGACACGACGACTTTACTTTGATATCTCATATATTTGCATTGTTACGTTTAATATATACTATAGCTTTTTAAAACTGAATTCCAATGCAATTTTCATCTTACATATATTCAGTGGCGGAACTATGGTTATACTATGGTCAAGTGATTCATGTGGATTCCTGTTAAAAATAATAATTTTACTTGGTATACTTTCTAATTGAATATGAAGTACTTGGTTCGTTAAACCCTTTAAAAAATACAAGTTATCAATTTGACCTCACTAAAATGTTGTTTTTACAAAAAAAAAAAAAAAAATGCTGTTTTCCTGCTTCGGCCACTGCATATACTATAGTTATTTGTCTGCATTAACTTTTTAAAAAGCTGATGATCATATTATTGAATGAAATACTTATTCCCAACCAAGGTATCAGACTTTTATCTAGTTATATAACCGAACAGCGTTAGTTATTTTCATCAGTTCATCGTAAAGATTGTGCTACAAAATGATAGGCATTTAAAAGAAAAACAGTAAGAAGCGATCAGTCGCCACATGTAATTGAATACATTCACTTGTTTTCTTTCATTCAAGCAACAAATCAACTGTTCGCAGCAAACCAAATATATACAAATTTGTTTATTGATTTTTATGATTAATGATTAAACGACGGTTTAAGACCATATTTTCCCTTTTCAGCTAATGTCCCTGGGGTGAGGGTGTGTAAAGAACATCTGAATTCATGTTATGCAGTTCGTGGTTAGGTTGATTAAAGTATAGCGGTTATGGGCTTACCGACGCTAATTTCCTTTTCTTTTTCTTGGACACTTTTGTGTTTATCGTAAATAAGAAAACGTGGATAAGCAAAGACAAATAGTAATTTTTTCTTTTACCAAAAAAAAATGATTTTTTTTTTCTATTGAGAAAGGACAAATAGTAATTCAACAAACTGATGATTAAAGTAAGATGAGGAAGGCACTTTGCTGATAAGTCCACATATCATTTTCAGTAATAATAGCCTCATGACTATATGTTCTGTGGTTTATCCTAATCCTACATTATTTGTTTAGGGAACCTATCATATGACGTCTACAATTACGTCACAAACACAAATCATTTTAAGAAAAGCTTCGTTAGTTGAATTTTGGTTATATAAATTATTAATGATGTTTTATTTAGAAAATATATAAATTGAATGTATTTTCTAAATTTGTGTACACTAACTGAAAAAAATCTTTTATTACAAACGGAGTGAGTATTATATAATTTTCTTAGTTGACTTAAAATTATCATGTATTGGTAAGAGGTCATATTCGACCCCTCTTATATTTATATTTCTGTTTTTTTTTTGAGAAATTTTATATTTCTGTTGATATCATCATCTCGACAGTTTGTTTCTCATTCGGATAAACCCTTTAGATACTCGAATATTTTTTGTCATTTGACAATACAAACTTACGTAAACTTATGCTTTTGTTTGATTAGTTTATAGCTAGAACCGGCTCTCTGTTTATAACATAGACAATTCAAAAGAAAAACTTAAACAAATCATTTTTCTTGCTGAGTTTGATCAGCAACTTTTCTAATTGCCAAATCTTTTAACCATGCACCAGATATTATAAAAAGGACCACTTGAGATTATTTTAATTGAAGTTAATAGTGGGCACTCCGATTCTTTCTCGCGACTTCTCAACTGGGCCTTCAATAAATAATGTGCTGTTTTTTTGGCTCCCTTGTGTACTTTCCTCTTTTCTCAAACACTGCTATTAATTGGAACAACTGATATTTGAAACTACTCGGCTATTAACCGACCGAGACTTGTAGTCTTTCTCATGATAAATACTAAATTTTTGCAATCATTTTTCAATAAATGTTATTGTGAAATTTATGTATGAATGTGGCTGAAGTAAAATGAGTAGTCGGAAATCTATAAAATGATAAACCAGTCCAATCGTTTCGCAATGATAATGTTGATGTAACCCATTGGATCTCGCATGTCGGCTTTACCATTTTTTAATACTTTAGCTTATTTATTTGCGAGGTGGTTCAAGTTTTTATCACTCATCTCATCAAAAATATAAATACTTTTTTGTAAAATAATCTCATCAAAAATATCAATCCAAAATATACATTGAAAGCGAAGCTCTTTATGATTCGATGCGAGTTTTATATTTTCCGGCGCAGAAACTTCATCTTCTTTATTTTTTAAATACCTTAGCAAAATTTTATATCCAATTTTAAATTTAATATCAAGTATGAGTTGAATCTGGATGGAAATCTGTCAATCAAAGTACGAAAAGAAATTCATTGCATGACAAGATATTCTTTCTCTGTGGAGTACATTTCATTTTTGTGTAAATGAAATTTTGTCCATTGGTTTTTATTTTATCCTCCCTCGTAATATAATATTAATAATATAAGTGATTTTTATCTCGCTCATTATATAAAATTTAATAATATATGTGAAGAGATATGCAATTGTACCAAATGAAGATAGAGCGACAGTTCCTTATCTACTGTGTAGGATATGTATTGGGGACGAGGATGAAGAGACTTGGAGGAACAAGAACCAAGTGAACAATTGCTAAAAAAAAATAGAGAGAACCAAATGAACAGATCAAAGCATTTTCTTTACATAAATTTCTATCAAAATGCAGAGTTTTCAACTATTTAGTTATTGCATTATTAACTCTATTTCGCTTTCTTCTAACACTATTCCATTTACTACTTGAAATAAAAAGATATTAATTCATAAATAGAGTAACAATTTTATTTTTACTCAGTATTCTGTTTTTATTCCAAGCAAAAAAAAGAATTAATTAAACTCAATTTCAATATAAAATTATTATATTTTAGAAAAAATGGAATAATACAATAGAGACGTTGTTATTATTAAGTCTATTCTCATACTCACTAACCCATAATCTTCATTTTGCAGCAAGTGTCGGCCAAACCTTAAGATTTGAGTCTACTCAAAATAATTATCCATTTTAGGGAGTCAAGGTGGATCGGTCAAGATATCAATATCATGTACTTCGAAATGGAAAAACAGCACTAGTGAGTAGGTATATTAATTAGGATTAATGGAATCTGCCGATTGTGAGGCTTGTCACATCGTAATAATCAAACCACCGCCATGAGTTTGCCTACCGACCATTGTTGGTAGAATGCGATTTTCATTTATTGTAGTTACAGCAAAATATATTCCAAATAATAAAAATGTGTGCTCGCGTGAGTGGGAAAACTAGCTACGAGTTGTACTCTAGTTATCCTGATAGTTTTGAACTAAGAACATTTTGCTTGAACCAAAACATATGAAGATAAGAAAAAGAACCACGAATTAAAAAAAAAAAGAAAGAAAAAAGATGGATTGTCTTGCAATTTGCAACAAAAATGTAAATTAAACTATTAATCACCAAACTTTTGAAGTCAGATATGGTGTCTAGTGGGAGAATGAGCAAAACAATGACAGCATTACAAAAAAAATATTGAGATTCATGAAGCTGTAAGGTTTAAGCAGTGGCTGCTTGGTAGACACCGTATAGTGACAGGTTTCTTGTGCAATAGATTATCTGATCAGCTGTACAGAGTGGGAACATATTTGATGCCACTAAATACCAGTGGATTTTCTCGTAAGTGAGAATAGTCAAGGAGGCTTATTTTCACACTTTTGAATATATGTAATTGGCCCTTTAAAGTATAACAAAAGTTTACTCCTAAACTAGTATTATATTACAAATTTTTATGTTTTAAATAATTTTTTTTCTGGTGTTTAAAATTAGTGTTTAGTGTCAAATTAGAACCGGTCCTAGAAAATTCGATCCGGAGTAAGTTCAAGGGGTTTCAAAATTACACTGTAATTAATGTTTATGACTTTAGCTGCAAATCCAGTGTCTGAACTAAAAAAAGAGAAGAAGAAAATAAATAAAAGGTGATGACCCACATACATATCGAAAACGTGCCTTGGACATAACTCATAAGGAGGATACTCGGTTCATTAATACACAGACTGGAAAAATATCCATGATCCATAATCTCATGTGTGTGTATATAGTCTACATGTTTCATTAATTAATATATTAATTATGAAAACATAATATCTTGGCCGCCCACGTCGTCTACACTACACGAAATATGTCCATTGAAAACATGGACGTAATCTTGTTCGAGTTTGCATCGAAATATGTCCGGAATCCTATTTGCTTGCAGTCGGTTTGCATATCTCGCTGGTCTTTTGTCAGTGTTCGCAGCCTGACAAATTTTGAATTAGATTGCTTGAGATTCTACAGTTAATCAATGAGGCTATAGTGAGGTTCAAAGAGAGAATCCCTATGGTGCTTCGCAACTGAGTTTGTATGATCATTAAATTGAGTTATATGCAAATATAATAACATCATGAATGGTCCAACAAAGGATAGACAATAAAATTAGAAAAGAAAACAAAGCATGTGGTCATTAAAAAAAATTCCAACAAAATAACCGTTACCCAGAAACCTTGTCGGCTCATACGTGGTGACTACCTTAGGCACATGCATTTTTGTGCCCGATGCAAATAGTTTCCATTGTTCTTTTTCTATTAGAAATAATCATTTGTTCTCTCGGAACTTGTGCAATAGAGTAATCAATCAAATGGTTAGTTTTTTTTCTCTACGATGACTTCTGGAACTGGAAGAAAATTCTTTGAAATGTTCGAGACCACGTTCCAACAGACAATTTAACAGGTAACTCATGATCTGTCTCTTCTTTTCTTTTGGCATGAATCATGATGCTATTATTTTCTTTGATGTCAAATACACGATCTTTCCTTTGGACGTTGACTCTATATATTACTACCTGTATTCCAGTTGTACTAAAACAGAGCAGGAGAGAGCATTGTTTTTATTACAGAATAAACCTTAGTGTTAAGATCCGGTCTGAAACATCTTTTGAGCGATATTGTATTTATATATTTCTGAATAAAAGGAATGAAAAAGTGCTACGTCTTGTTGAACAAGTGAACAGAAGGCAGGAGCTTCAGTCTCCAAAGACAGTCTAGAGATGTGCCACCCCCATAATAAACAACATCTTGTGAGACTAGTGATTTTTAAGCCATCTGCATCAAGACGAGTCTTTCAAACTTTTGAAATTTTTCTAAATTAAATATAAATATCTATGACAGTTTGTTGTTGACCAAAGAAGATATTTTCAGAATTTGTATTTTGATACAATATATTTGGTATCAAAATATATTATTGGAATTATGGAATGCATCAAGGAAAATGCAACAATACGAAGTGGAAAATGTTTGTTTGTTGCTTGGCGATATTCATATAATCGTTACAAATTGACATATCCAATCTTTATTTTTTATAATTGAATCAATATATTAGATTCTAGTCTCTGAAACATAAAAAAACCAATAAATCTAAATTGGAACAATACCAATATAATATAATAAAAATTAGTGTCTACGATACGATTGAGATTGAAAAATAGAAATAAAATCAATAGAGTTAATCTATACTATTATTTGCGAAGTGATTTTTCACAACGGAGCTCTCACGTTAAAAAGTTATACTGGTTAATATCGATTATACCCTTAATGAATAATTAGAATTTTCAATATATAATTAAACATAAATAAAAAACGAATTTCAATTGATTTTAGCTTTATCTTTATCTAAAACTATTTTATATTAGGTTATAAAGTCTTTATTAACCTTGAAAATAATTATATTTGTTAATATATAATTAATTACAAATTAAAAACGAATTTCATTTATTTGATAATTATCCTTATTTAAAAAAATTATATTATGTTTATCAACCTTGAAAAATAATTATATTTGTTAATATATAATTAATTCTAAATTAAAAACGAATTTCATGAATTTGATAATTATCCTTATCTAATTTTTTATATTATGTTATAAAGTCTTTTTATTAACCTTGAAAAATAATTATATTTGTTAATATATATTTAATTATGAAAAAATAAATTTACAAAGAATATATGTATAGATAATTTATATTTTGTTATCCAAAACATTACGAAAGTTAATTTTATTATACTTCTTTTCTTATGTCTAGAAAACATATTAATTTATTACTAAATATTTTAAATTTATGAGAATTTCACATTTAATTTGTGTAATGATAATTATTTATATGATGATGAAAATTTTTATATATAGAAAGAATCTGTTTAGATTATTAGTAAATGTTTTGAGTGTATACACAATAATTTATTATAATTTCCTTAAATTGATTATATATTTGTTTATAGATATTAGTAAAATTATTAAGCCCGCAAGTGCGGGCAAAACACCTAGTATTCTATTAAGAAGAATCTTTCAAAAGAACTCTTTTCAATTTATTTCATTTGGTTACTGTTTTTAATTGTGTATGTATTTGGATAATTTCTTTACTATCTTCTTTTTTTTTTTGTCAGTTTGGTCACTTTTGGACATATATCCTCAAACGGAGCTAAGGAGGGGTCGAACCCCTGACGTCAGGCCGAAGGCAGAGCTCAGTTGCCACTTTTGGATAATTACTATCTTCTAATTAATAAATTTAACTTGTTAAAAAAAGCAAGCTTCTCTTCAAATAAAAACTTTGATTAAATGGGTCTATTCAAACTTTTAAGTTTAATGGGCCTTGTCCATTAGTCCAAAAATTTCGTGTGTTTCTGTTCCTATGGATGAGAATTTCCGACAGACATCAAACTTGGAAGGACAACGAAGAAGAAGAAGAAGAAGAAGAAGAAGAATCATCATCTTCACTCTTTGCCTAACTGTGACGAATCCATAGGTAACTTCAACACAACGTGTTTTTGATTCACGACATATCTCTTGTGTTTAACTTTAGTTTCTGTTGTTTTTCAACTGTTGGCTGAAAAAGGAACAAGCTTTAAAAAAATTTGAGTTCTTTTTCTTCTGTGAATTGATTCTTCAGGAAGATGCTTAGCTTGAGATATTCATTACCGTATCTTCCTCAAACAAGGGACTCAACTAAACTCTTCTCCAAGAAGCCAAACAATGTTGTGGTTAGTGTTTATTATCTTGTAATTATTAGTTATCTTGTTAGATTATTCTCTTAATGTTGGAACTCAAAATCAATCTTAAGGTTTGTGCGGCTAGAGGTCCAAGACCTAGATATCCTCGAGTTTGGAAAACAAGGAAGAGGATTGGAAGTATCTCCAAGGCTGCCAAAATGATAGCTTGTGTAATAACTACTCTCTTTGACACTTTCATTGTCAATTCATATGTCTCTGTGTTTTGGAGTCAATGTCTCTTACTGAGATGTTGAGATAAGTCATATTCAGATTAAAGAACTGTCGAATGTTAAAGAAGAAGTATATGGAGCGCTTGATTCCTTCATTGCCTGGGAGTTAGAGTTCCCTCTTGTTATTGTCAAGAAGGCTTTAGCTATTCTTGAAGATGAAAGAGAGTGGAAGAAGATTATTCAGGTACTTCTATAAACCAAGATATTTAGCTCTTTTTTTTTGGTTCTGGAAACTTCTAGTTGGTTGAATAAAGATTCTGTTAGGTGACAAAATGGATGCTGAGCAAAGGCCAAGGAAGAACAATGGGAACTTACTTCTCATTACTAAACGCTCTAGCAGAAGATAACAGGCTTGACGAAGCTGAGGAGCTATGGAACAAGTTGTTCATGGAACATTTAGAAGGAACTCCAAGAAAGTTCTTCAACAAAATGATCTCTATATATTACAAGAGAGACATGCACCACAAACTCTTCAAGGTAAAGTAAAAAAATGCCTTCTTAGGATAGGTTGATGTCTGGAACTAATGAAATAGCAATTCTTGGTTTTATCAGGTCTTTGCTGACATGGAAGAGCTTGGAGTGAAGCCAAACACTGCGATTGTGAATATGGTTGGAAAAGTGTTTTTGAAACTTGGAATGGATGATAAGTACGAGAAGCTGATGAAGAAGTATCCTCCACCACAGTGGGAGTTCAGATACATCAAAGGAAGACGTGTTAAGGTCAAGGCAAAGCAGCTCAATGAGCTAAGCGAAGGTGAAGGAGGCTTAAGCAGCGATGAAGATAAGATTGATAACGAGATTGAGAGTAAAACTAAAATGTTGTCAGATGAGGTAGCAAACCAAGATGGTGAGTATTTCAGTGAAGAGGAAGAAGAAGAACTTTTGGGCGCGAATCAAAGACAGACTGGAACATCTGGAGAACCCTGTCTTGATCATTTGGACTCTTCTTGACTTATAATTGTTTGCTTCACGAGCCTTTGAGATTGTATCAACCGTTGGATCATTCAAGGAAGAGTTGAGCCAAAGTTATATAATGAAGCTATCCTGGACTGAGCTTTGGTTTCTGACCGAAACTTGACTCAGAAAAGTTTGAACTCTTCAGTTAAGGAGCTTAGGAAAAGTAAAAACAAGACACCAAATATTGTCCAAATGATAAGAAGAAAGATAGCAAAGAATCTTTTTGCTTTGAAGCAAAAACTAATGTATTTTCAGATCAAAGTTAAACTCCTTTTTGTTTATTCAATCTTCATCTGATCCAGACTCTTCAGAACTCGACACCTTCTTGTTTACTTTCTTCTTTGATCCTCTCTTCTTATCTTCCTCATCCTCACTGTATTCACTTTCATAATCCTCCTCTTCAAGCTCATCTTCATCCTCCTCCTCCATACCTTCTTCTGCAGCCTCACCCTCCAAATTTCGGGTTCTTTTCAAAACCTCCACTTTCATTGATGTCTTTTGGTCACAACCAATCCAAGCATCACTTAGGCAGAAGCAAGTCAAATTATAAGTACCTTCTTTAGGTGCCAAGAGCTTCCCCATCACCAATCTTGACCCACTTTTAACCTTCTCAACAGCTTCTTCAACTGCATTGTTTCTTGCCTCAACGCTTGCTCCTACACTCTCCATCGTTTCACTAATAGCAATCGACGCAGTGCTTATAGCTTCACCTTCATCCATGAAACTAACCTTCTGAAAGAACCAAACATTGTTTGAATCCGCAAGAAGAACCCAAAAGTTCTCTTCCTTGTGGAAAGGGAAGTGAGGGGAGTGAGGAACAGCTCCCACGAGACCATTAGGACGTTTCAGAGTGATCCAAGCTTGAACTGTCGTCACGTCGCCTTCTTGAATACCTTCTTCCCCTTCTGTTTTGCAAGTGACTTCAATTTTCAGTGAAGGTATCATTTCCAACACCTTCTCGATGTCTACAACATCGCTTTCAGATAAAGCAGCAACCTCCCTGAGCAGTTTAGAACGTTCTTCCGAGCTCAGTTCTTGAAACTCTTTGAATGATTTTACCTGCAACCCTATCTTTTCGGCGATGGATTCATTGAGATGAGGGAGTTGCAAGAAAGGAGCAGTGCCTTCTGAAGATGACTTCCCCGCACTAAGAGGAACAGCCTGCAATCAAATTTACAACATTAACAAAGCTGACGAATCATAAATGTTTTGTGCAGAAGTAAAAAAACTTATAGAAATCTTAATACCTGAACAATGCATTGAGATAGCTCCATTACTCCGAGTGCAGGACTTAACCATCCATGCCCTTGTTCATTGTGGGGTATAATCGCCATCTGCAAGAAACAATATCATAAATTTAGCTTTTAATTTCTTCAGTTCAATCATCTTTGTAGCAAGCTTCAGTTTATCAGATATACAATGTGCTGATAAAAGAAAATCGAGAATGTGTATAAGACCTTCATTAAATCTTCAAGGAGACGAGGTGCAAACTCTAGTACACGCCTGAAATCACTTTGCAGAGCAGGAGACAAAACTGCTGATTCACGAGTCAACTGTTTATGTATCAAAAGCTCAGCCTGTTACATAAACATAAAAAATAGGAAAAGAGTTAGCATTTTACAAATTGTATCCAAGCAACACTTTGTGTTATAATGTGTATGAGAAACCAACCTTGATAACTGCAGGGTCCTGTTTCCAAAACTTAGCTTCATCTTGCTTCATCTTCTTAGGATCCAGACTTAGCTCGCTTTTGACAGATGTAAAGAGTCTCTTCAGAGATTCATCATCGGTTTTACGGACTGGAATCTCTGTGTATTCAGCTGCTTTGATGAAAATGTCCATGACTTTGCTTGTAGCCAAAGAAGGTTTCATTGACTCATAATATGCTTGACGAGTTTGAAGCTTGACGTAGTTTCCTGTATACTTTGATGATCTCCAGAGGTAGATGGAGGCTACCACTAAAGGCAAGAGAATACAGAAACCAACTGTAACCAGTAACAAGAGCCCACCAGATTCTCCATTTAAGTCTAGAATAAACTGAGGAAGAGCAATCCCCAGTTTATAACCCTGCATTAATCACATTTACAAAAGTCTCAGTTTTTCATTATGAGACAAGAAAGACTTATGTTCTTTCTTGTAAAACTGTAAATGCAATAGCCTCCTTATACACTATCACAACATGTAAACACAAACAAATAATCAAGGGCTCTATCATTATTACCTGTCTACCATCTGGATGACCATACTTTTCAAAATTTTCACGAGACAACGGATCAGTCAAGGCTTGGTAAGCTTTAGCTATTGACTCTACAAAATACTTGTTGGCCTCTGTATATAGTTAATAATACAACAACTCAGCAACAAGCACCAAGAACAATAATGTAATGAACCATAAGGGAAGGAGGATTCTAAAAGAACAATTTTTGGACCTGGATCTGGATTTTTGTCAGGATGGTATTGAATAGAGAGTTTTCTATATGCTTTCTTGATTTGTGAATCTGAAGCACCAGGTTCCAAACCAAGTATACTGAATGGTTCAAAGAGTTGACTCTGTAATATTTACACCAAGAAGATGCTTTAATCAAACGAGATTTCGCAGCCACAAGATTAGCATGAAGAGAGAACATTACCTCACGGCTGATGTTCTTAGTGTAATGAATCAAGAAGATCATTACAAACCATAGTAGCATAACTGTCAAGTTACTACATGAAGTGAAGCTAGAGACCTGCAGAAGAGGGAAATCAACAAGTTTAAACAGAGGAAAGAACATAGTTTAAATCATTACTCCAAGAGCAGTTCGATGGGGGGAGAAAAAGAAAAAAATAACTAACTCTTTGAGACATGGATCTCTTGTACTTCCCTGAACGGTCACAGTCATGACACTGACAATGTATGCTCCTTTGCTTCTTCGAAAAGGCGCGGCTTAGCTTCACGAATGTATAAGGCACCAATGGAATTGCGATTATCGTCAGAATGAAAATTGGGAATAACACTCCATTCTCTTCTGATTCTACCATCTTTGGGACCCTTTAGATCAGATCAGAGAACCTGCTGGTAAAAGAAAAAAAGGTCTTTATAATCTGATGACATCTAAGGAATAGAGAGATCAATCATCCTATAACCATTTTTATTCAGTTAACAAATGATTGACAGTCAACTCGATCAAAACTCATGTTCTGTTTTCCTTCACAATTTGTTTTCTTGATACTCATAGACCAACATGATCAATCACATGTCAAATTTAATTAAAAGGAACAGTATTTAAACATTACATACAGAGAACAGATGAAAGAGATCTCTGTATTACAAAGAACAACATGGATGAAAAGGAACCGGATTCGATTGCATGTAGGGAAAACTGTAATGAAGCAAATAAAAGATAAAGGACGTAAGAACTTTTTTACCTCAATCGAGTTGATTTTAGAATCCGAATTGCGAAACTGAAAAAGACAAAGAACAAGAGTGAGGTTTATCAAGGAGGAAGGAAAAGATGAATCATCACGACCAATGAAAACTAGACATGTGGCAATGATTGAGTCATTGTATGTAGCTAGTTTAGGAAATTGAGTAATGAGAATTTGACTGTGTTAATTAGTAATAGATCGTTTCATTATCGCGTTAAAAGTTTGGTCCTTTTGTGTTCGGTAATAAAGATCGCGTTAGAAGTTTTTTCCTTTGTTATTTTTTGTCAGCGAGTCTCGTCTCGCGACCAACTTCCTCTTAAACCCTTTTGAGAGAATTGTCTGAAAAATTGGTGCAAGTTGAGAGTGCTTTAGTGCTCATAAGTTTGGTCCTTTTGTGTTCGGTAAGAAAGATCGCGTTTAAAGTTTTTTCCTTTGTTACTTTTGTCAGCGAATCTCGTCTCGCGACCAACTTCCCCTTAAACCCTTTTGAGAGAATTGTCTGAAAATTGGGGAAAGTCGAGTGCTTTAGTGCTAATGTCCGAGCTAAGCAACTAAATGGTTCTTCTCCTCCACAAAAGCATTGGACTTTTCAAACGATTCTCAACTTCAGCAACTCCATCAACATCCTCTGCTTCAGATTGGAAAACCCAACTGACTCTGTTCCGAGCAGCCAACGAAATCTCTTCGATCCTCTTACAACGTCGCAACTGGGACACTCATCTCCGCTATGTCAAATCCAAGCTCCCAAGAGCAACACTTACACCACCTATCTTCCTCCAGATTCTCCACAAGACTCGAACGTCTCCTAAAACCGCTCTCGAGTTCTTCCACTGGGCCAAAACCCATCTCCGGTTCGAGCCTGATCTCAAGTCTCATTGTCGTGTCATCGAAGTTGCTGCCGAGTCAGGTCTATTGGAACGAGCAGAAGCTCTCTTGAGTCCTCTCGTTGAGACTCATTCTGTGTCTGTGATCGTTGGATCGATGCAACGGTGGTTTGAAGGTGAAGAAGGTTCACTCTCTATCTCTCTTAGCTTAGCTCTTGAGTGTTATGTCTTAAAGGATAGTTACCAGAACGGCTTGGAAGTGTTTAGTTCAATGAGAAGATTGAGACTTTCGCCTTCAGTTAGGGCTTATAACTCTCTTCTTGACTCTCTTGTTAAGGAGAATCAGTTTAGATTGGCTTTGTGTGTGTACTCTGCCATGGTTAGAAACGGGGTTGTCTCCGATGGGTTTACTTGGGATTTGGTAGCTCAGGTTTTATGTGAACAAGGAAAATACAAGAGTGTTGTTAAGTTGATGAAAACAGGTGTTGAAAGCAGCAAGATTTACACCAATCTTGTGGAGTGTTATAGCAGAAAAGGGGAGTTTGATGCTGTGTTTAGTCTCATTCATGAGATGGATGAGAAGAATCTGGAACTGAGTTTCTCTTCTTATTATTGCGTGTTGGATGATGTCTGCAGATTGGGAGATGCTGAGTTGATTGATAAGGTTCTTGCTTTGAAGGTAGAGAAAGATGAGTCAATTGTGGATGATCAGATCATAGAAACGCTCTGTGATATGGGGAAAACATTTGCTTCTGAGATGCTTTTCCGTAGAGCTTGTAATGCTGGAACAGTTCGGTATGAGACATACGGTTGTGTGTTGAAAGCTCTGTCGATAAATGGGAGAACAAAAGAAGCTATTGATGTATATCGGTCGGTATGTCGGAAAGGTGTTTTTTTAGTTGATGAGAGTTGTTATAGCGAGTTCGCAAATGCTCTATGCAGAGATGATGATGATACTAACTCAGAGGAAGAAGAGGAGCTGCTTGTAGATGTTATAAACCGCGGTTTTGTTCCTTGTACACAAAAGTTATCAGAAGTTTTAGCAGCGATGTGTAGGAAAAGAAGATGGAACCAAGCAGAGAAGCTTCTTGATTCTGTCATGGAAATGGATGTTTATTTTGATTCCTTTTCCTGCGGGTTGTTGATGGAACGTTATTGCAGAACCGGGAAGTTGGAGAAAGCGATGGAACTACATGAGAAGATAAAGAAGATGAAAGGGAGTTTGGATGTGAATGCTTATAACGCAGTTCTTGAAAAGCTTATGATGAGGCAAAGAACTAAGGTGGAGGAAGCTGTTGAAGTGTTTGAGTACATGAAAGAGATGGATACAGTGAACAGCAAGAGTTTTAGAATCATGATTCATGGGTTGTGTCGTGTGAAAGAGATGAAGAGAGCTATGAAGTATCATGATGAAATGTTGAAGTTGGGGATGAAACCTGATTTGGCTTCTTATAAGCGTCTTATCTTAGGTTTCAAATGAAACATTTGGATCAGATTTTAGTTTGAGTTTCCAAAAGTACAACACCAAAGAGAGTTTTTTAAGATTGAAGTTGCAAACATATCTTGCGAGCATATAAATATAATTTGTTACATATTATTGCTGCAACAAAAAAAAAAAACTTTTATACATTGAATATATATATTATTAAAAGTGAAATATTTTTTTCCTACAAAAAAAAGTGAAGTACCTTTTGAAATTGTTTGAAAACAATGGATAACAATACAAAAAAAGAATATAATGTTGTTTGTAAATATGAATAGCAGTATTTTAGAAAAAAAAAATTAGTGGGCTTATGTTATTAAAATATTGGAAATCTATTATATTATGAAAAACTATATATCAGGATCACTTTTAAAATATTAAAAAATGGTCCAATCTAATTACCTAAAAACATCTTGTCTAATATAATCAAAAACGAAAACTAAACTTTATATACGTATTTTAAGTTAAAATATTAAATTAATGATTTATATCAAAAATTGATTAAAAATATACACATATTCAAAATTTGATTTTTACTAAAATATTTTCTAATAACTATTATAAGAAATGTTTTAAATATAAATAAGAAAAAATAAAATATAAAGCCCAATTTCAAACATCAATTTAAATTATGGTTTTTATATTTCACATTAAGTTTAAAAGTATAATATATTTGATATTTAAATGATAGTACGTATAAAACTCTATTAATTATATGATTACTTATACGATGGTATGTATAAAATACGGTTAATTATATGATGACACATATATGATATATAATAGTGATATGAAGATCAATAGGAACATACTTTTGAGAAAAATAATATATGCAATATTATACTATACTTATAAGAAAATCAAAACAATATTTAATATAAAATACTAATATAGGCAGTCTAAGTACAACATATATATATATATATATATATATATATATATATATATATATATAAAGTAACCACGATGCATGAGTTAAAATCTAATTTTCATGAAAATGGAATCTAATTTAGATGTTTTGGTCAAAGCTTTTACCAATTTCACGGAGCCATAATTATGAGGAACAGAGAGCATGAGTTCCTCATTCCAGACCGGGTTTAAGTTGCTCTTCACTATGGTTGATTTTGCAGTTTGATAATATAATGAAATAGATTAGCAAATAAGATAACCATAGCAATCACTAGAATAGTGGTGATAACATATATAGACAAAATCTTCAAGAATCCAAAGTATTCACTTGGTTTTACATGTTGTCCGAGAGTCAACACAACATAAGGATCGCTTGTCTTCATATCTCGGATAGTTAGATTGGTTTCTTGTTTAAGAATCACCTTCAACAATCCAATCAACTCAACCATGCCTTCAAGATGCTGCCGTTTGTTTTTAAGTAATAAAACACCATGAAATCAAAAGACTGAGAGCAATGTCCAAAGTTCATAGTTTACTGGAAATATGTTGTCTTACCTGCTGTTGTGAAATAGAAGTTCAATTAAACAGTGTGTATCAGTTTGCCTGGTTGACGCAGACGAGCGTCAGATCCTTTTCCAGTATGTAAGACCTCAATACATTGTCAGCGATTGTGATGTAAATACATGATGTAATTGCCTGTGGACATTGTGATTTTTTTTCTTTTAAATCATTCGCCCATAATCCTCAGACATGATGTAAATATATGATGTAACTAGACTTACTGATGCTGATTTGAGCAATGGTCTGCCACTTGTGGATGTACAAAATCAAGTTTGTACTATCTTGAGTGGTGTAGACAATGGTATGCTTCTTGATATTCATGATCGTGGGCATGATATGAGTCGCTTGCAACTCTAGTATCCTAGACCTTTGATGAGGTACTATACAGCCCGACCAACACATGGTTGCTACCTTGTGTATATTTTTTCTTTTTTATTATTTCTGCCATTGGTATATTTTTGCTTTACCTAGAGACACATCACACTACATGTCTTTGTTGAAGACAAATCTTGAAAGCCACGCACTTAAGGACCTTATTGTGTTAGTTCTCGGGTAAGTTATTCTTTATGGGTTGTATTGGATGCTTTAAACTTGGATTGATCATGGGATAGAAGCTGTTTCTCGCAGTTACGATATCCAACTTGAGAACGCCATTTGAGAACTATGTTGCTTCGATGAGATTGTACAAAGAATGCACAATCAGCAGCATGGACATGCATGAGTAAGGAAATGTCTCGCCGCGTATACCCCAAGACAACTAGATAATATGTCTCTGGAACAACTCTACACCAACTATGTGCCAAACTACTACTACTACTAGTTTTGTGACCGTGACCCGCTTCAACAATCCATGAAATCCCATTTTCTCATTAAGCCCCCTTACTTGATAGCTTTCCGATTGTGATATGGGTTCACGGGAAAAAAGCTCGAACCTAATAATTGTATTTATCATTAAGTTTTCAAGATTCTTTTAAGAGTTTGTGAGAGAAAAATAATAGTTTGTGTTCTCTATTCCGTCAATGGAACATTAACTTTCCATATTTTATACCAAAATAGAATGAGAAATTGAGTAATGAAAAAAATAAAAATTTACTCTATAATTAATATTAAGCTTAAAACAAATATAAATTTAATTGAAATATAAAATATCAATTTTTTGTGCACTAAAAATTTCAAATGTCATTTTTGGTGAAATGGAGAAATAGTACATAACCACATATTTGATGCAATGGACTAGAAAGTTATTAACAACTGTTCATACGACCGGTTAGGACCAAACCAATGAATGTCATTATGACATTTCAAACATGTAACATCTTGAATAGGAGCTCATATATGACTACAATACAATCTACACAATGAAGAACATGCTGAAACATAAACAAAGACGACCAAGCGAACCATTGTGGCCTAGATGAAGCTTAAGTGTTAATGAATTGTTAATTTATTTATATTTATATAATATATTTTAGTTTTTAGGTTTACTTCTAAATTTATTTTGATGAATTATCAAAATTGGATATAAAAAAAATTCGTGGATTTTTACTAATATTATTGCTTAACTTTAACATATTTAGACTATTTAAGATTTTGATGTAAACCGATTTAGAAAAATTTAAACCGATTTAAATCATATAAATCAGATATTGAAAAAATTGTTTGGATAAGACTAGTTGCCGTCAAGATCCTCCTGTCATAGATCGATTTCTAGAACCATGGTTAAGATGACATATAACCAGAAATGAAGTCAAGATAGATGAGCAAATCTGATCAAACTTTTGGCTTTCAGAGAAAGATGACAAACATATCAATATGGCAGACCACATTTGGTGGGGATTTAAAGATTTTGATCTGGACCGTCTATCAAAACTCAAAACAAAAGAGAAAGTGTGTCATGTACATGTCCCCCAGGAAGTTGGGACACACCTTTGCCTCAAAGAGAAAGAGTTTCTTGCAATAAGAGAGCATTACAAGCTGATGTTGATATTGAGTCGTCAACGTTGAAAACCGACACTTCCCCTCCTAGAAAGTAAGTTTAAACACACACAAAAATCTCTAAATCTGATTGGATATGAAACAAATTTAGTTTATTGACAGTGTTTTCCTTTTGCAGGGCTCAGATTGTTAGATGGCCACTAGTTAGATCTTAGGTTTTAAATGAAACATTTGGATCAGATTTGTGTACACAAGCAATGAATCAAACCATATATAATCTGTTTTGAGTTTTCAAAAGTACAACACCAAAAGAGAGATTTGCTATATATTTATTGGTCAAGACGCAGCCACTCAAGTTCTAGTTCTATTTCACCAGATTCAACATTTTGAAGCTTGATATGAACCTCTTGTTTAACTTTCCCATCTGAAATGTTGATGAAGCTGTTCTCTATAAGAGCATTGTCGTGCGATTTAAGCCATTTACCAATCTGCATATCTCCAAACATTTCAGGGTCACCAAAAGCCATTGCAGATGTAATCAGAGGTTGGATATCAATGTCAGCTTCTCCCATTATGTCATCAGCAGAAAATGTGTCATAATCAAACACTTGCTGCAAATAAAATAAAATAAAGTAACTAGTATTGAATTATTCATTAAAATTTCGAATCTGATTTATTTGTTTTAGTCCAAGCTTTTACCAATTTCACAGAGCCATAGTTCTGAGGAACAGAGAGCATGAGTTCCTCGTTCCAGACCGGGTTTAAGTTGCTCTTCATTACAGTTGATTTTACAGTCTGGTAATATAATGAAATAGATTAGCAAATAAGATAATCATAACAATCACTAGAACAATGGTGATAACATATGAAAGACTAAAACCTTTCAAGTATTCAGTTAGTTTTACCTGTTGTCCGAGAGTTAACACAACATAAGGATCGCTTGTCTTCGTATCTTGGATAGTTAGATTGGTTCCTTTTTTAAGAGTCACCTTCAACAATCCAATAAACTCAACCATGCCTTCAAGATGCTGCCATTTGTTTCAAGTGTTAATGAATCAAAAGACTGAGAGCAGCAAAATATCAAACTTCACAGAATGTACTGAAAACAAGATTTACCTGTTGTTGTGATGATGAATTTGTGCGAAAACTATCAGCATCTGATAGATTTGGTGAAAGATATGGTGAACTCTTTGTACTAGAGCCCTTCACTGATGAGATCCTCAAACTTGGTTTTAGAAACTCTTGGTGCTTATACTTTGACCTGACATTATAAGATTTGAGGACCTGAGGTAATAAAGAACACACTATTTGTGGGGCTTTTAGCAAAACCTACCTGATAAACTGCATACGTTGGTCATGAGTAGCATCAGGTCCAGGCTTAGAGACACCATCAGGTATAAATGCTTCATAAATTGAATTTGCAGAGGCGTTTCCTCCAATTTCAATCATTGAATCCACTTCATCATCCGACCATTCATCCAGTGTCACCGATAAGACCTGCCAAACACCTTTATGCTATCAATAGACTAACAAAAGATTCTTGATTTGTATTCTAAAATCTCCACAAGAGCATTTGTAAGAAGCATCTTAGTGCAATCCACAAAACCAAAGCATAGAAGGATAAGCAAAGAGTGATGACCACCTTTGAGATATGAGTGCCAAGGCTTCTGTGCACACCACAACATTTTAAGCATATGAACACTCCGATATTTGCTGACCTGTTAAACAAATTTACTGGTTACACAACTAATATTTGGTATATGGATGTGGGTAAGCGTTATGAGAAATGACTTACGCCCACTTAGGATCTGGAGCGCCACAATCAGCGCAGACTTGGTTATCAGACTGACTTAAAAGATCTCTTATTCTCCTCTTACCTGTGAATCAAGAGGGTTATGAATTATCATTCTCAGCTAATGAATAAACCTACACAGCTATATATACCTGAGCTATTGTTTCCTTGTCCGGCTGCAGAATGACTCATTGCTCTTCCCCAAAGCTAGCAATCGTTCAAACACAAATCCTACACAGATCAAAACTCTGCTTTGTAAAATTTCAAAACAAAACATTTTGGAGATACCAAGTCCAAAGGATCGGATCAGCAAGCAAGAACATATTCTTTTTCAATACCAGATCATGAAGAAAGGGATAACACACAAAGTGTAAATCATCCGTATCAAATTTCATATTCACGTATCAAAGAGAGATTCATAATAATTGAGAGACAACAATATAATATGGATCTTAATCTATTATTTGAAAAACTATTTACAACTTACAGAGAATGAAACTCAAACTTGAAGATGAACACAGCCGATGCAGAAGAAAAGATTATGTGTATGGAGTTGGAATATGGAGATATAGTTTGGATTTGAACGTTTCGGTATTACCAATGACAGGAGAGAGAAAGAGACATTGAATGTTATTTATAGATGATGACAACTACGTGCTGCTTGCTAGGCTGCTCTCTTTTTAGCTTTAAATTTATTTATCAACCTACTTGTAAAGTTTGAAACTCGTGAAGCTATATTACATCATCATATTTGAGTTTTGTGCGAGTTAGATTAAAATATTTGACGGTGTTAAATTATAGAATTACGAAAGTAATTTCATCTAAAAGATGAGCTAATTACTTCTTGTGATTTGGATCTCAGATATGGTTCGAGTTAAGATTTATCAGCAACTCTTCTTGACAACTTTTAGGACTAAACTGAAACTCTGAAATCCTTTGGAGTTATCTATTACCATAAATCTATATAGGTTACTGCTACAAAACTGAAATGAGAAACTGCCCATTGAGACACATGATCCATAAAAGATCCATCATAGTCATGAATATATATATATATATATTCTTCAAGCAGATTTCAACTTGTTCGATGCTGCTGCGAGGTGAGAGAGTGTTCTGTGTCCAACGAACAACAGAAACACTCCCAACAAGGACAGTGCCTTTAGAGTCGTGAACAGATCCAACTGCATGATGCAAAGGAAACAACAAAATGGATATTGTTATTATGATGATAAGCTTTAGACTTTTTTTTTTCTTTTTTTACTGCAATGGTCTTTTATAATCTTAAAAACAAGAACAGGTTTGGAGAACTTGCCTTCACCCAGAAAAGCACGTAGAGAAGCAGAACAGCTCCAATACCACCATGGAAAAGTAGTGCGGATGTTGCAGCTCCAACCGATGATGGGAAGCTCTTTATGTTCACTCCCAACCTTGTAAGCTGAAACACACAACAAAAACGAAGTTAATGAGTTTAGGATTTACGTTTCTGAATCTATTTTTAGAGGTGAAAGAAGACGGACCCCAATCAAGAAGCCGATGAATGGAAGAACTATAAGACCCAAGAAAACTAGAGAAAGCTGCTTTGCGGGAAGCTTTTCTGGAACCCTGAAGATGTGTGATATCTCAGCTTTTGGCCCATATCTTGAGTAAGGATCAGTAGGCTGTAGAGGAGGACGAGCCGCCTTCTCTGGACGTTCTGGTAGGTCCAGTTCGAGGTGGCCAATATTACTCAATAGAGAGTTCTCCTGGAGAAAGGAAAGGGCAAACTATCATTGTTCAAAGTTCTTAAAAAAATGTAAATCAACTGCACTGGACCTGAAAGAACAGTACTTACCATGGAAGTATCACCAATAGTTAGCTGGATCTCATATTTACCAGAAAGGTAGTAAAGCTTCTCAACCAATCCAAGAAAATCCTGAAGGGTACAATTAACATCAATCATTAATATTGTACTTATAAAGTCATTGCTCCCCAAACTAGAAAGCGAAAATGAAGATATGTAAAAGAATATTTTGGCAAAATCAATTCAAAGTGTAGTTGAGGGAACTTAACTAGAACTAATTCAGACTTCTTTCCAGAAGTTTTCACGAGAAAGATATGCTCGACCTGTGACTCATGTTTCAGTTTGAGAAATGCCTGCATGGAAGTCAGCAAGTCAAGAAAAATGAACAGAGCAAAACCATTTATAAAGTAGAATCGGGAATGAACAAACCTGATGAGGCTTAAACACATGGCCAAGTGGAGTAGTTAACTGGTATGACAGTCGTAGCTTTTGGAGATGGTTTGCTGATAATGATACTGCTCCATCTTTAGTTAAATCTAGCCTACAATAGTTGTAAAAGAAAACCAAGAAAAAAAATGATGATAAGAACGATAAGAAAGTTGCAAAAGTATATATTGTAAGCCGATCAAAAAAAAAGGAACATATATTGTAAGCAACAAATGGTACAAATATACAGATGAGAAGGTGACATACTTTTTCTGAGATTCGACGCTCCCAACGTCACTGTCAAGTACAGCAATTTCTGCATTCTCAATGGTAATAGCTCCTGTAGCGGCTATAGGCACTTTTGTTTGAGCTTCAGTTACGTATGCTTTTCCATTTGCCGACTCATCTAGCAAAATCTACAAAAAACGAAGCTTATCATGTTATTAACAAACATTGTAAATGAGTGTGTGTGATATATACCAACAAGAGCAATACCTCAAATACAAATGTATACGTTCCAACATCAAAGTTCTTGGGAAAGGAGTCCAGGAAGTACGTTGCAGTGTCAGCGTCAAACTTAAGCTCCTGCACCCCAAAAATGGAAACATGTAAACAGGCTTAATGCAGAGAAAAGGGAACATTTACAAATGCGAGCTAAGACAGTCGGAGATGACATTATTTACCAGGTTGTTAATAACAGAAGAACCCTTTGATCCAGAACTTAGAGCTTGTGCGAGCTTCACACTAAGAGCTGGTGCCTTAGAACCAAGTACAGTGCTAACTTTAACCTAATTCCAGATCAAGAGAACAAAATATTAAAATAATATCCAAAAAACATCCAACCTGCCAGAAAATCTAGACTTAAGAATATATCTACAAAAAGTACAACTATTCAGCAGTTAATTATTGTATAGAACCATAATGGGAAAAACCAAAGATCGAATAAAACAACATCTCAAACTATGCCATTCAAATCTTGATGGGGATACCTTCAGAGGCTCTTTCTTTGTCAACGAAATGACAGTAGAGGGAAGAGACAAGATAAGTGGAACAGAGAACCTGAAATCATAGAAAACGACCATATAACATGTTATAGCTCTCATAGAATGACAAAGTTTCAGCGAGCGCAAAATAACAACTGCGTGAAATCTCGTGACTGTCTCTACAGTCTCAGATATCATTTCGGCAGATCATTTTGCTTAATATTTTAGGATGGAGGAGCATAAGCCCTTCAAAACGCTTTTACATGTAAAGACAAACAGTTTTCCTCTATCAAAAGCAACTGTTAGGCACGGAAGAACGGAGATAACAGTAAGTCCTAGTATCAGTCAACACAATTCAAGGTTATGAAAGGTCTAAGATGTGTGCTGAAATAAAATAAAAGAGAAATTGCATAAAGGGGGCATGTAGCATTGCCTGTTGTCTTCCAAACAAGCTAGTGCATCTATTTGGTTGAAGAAATCTTTGGCATCACCAGGAATTCCAACACCAAGAAAGAACTTGGCCAAACCAACTATCTTATCACCTGGAAGCTGCATAAGAGAATGGGAATGCGAAGGTGAGTTATCAACACATCTGCCAGAAAACAGTATACAAAGAAATATTGTTACTACATACGTCCAATCCTGTAGATTCTGAAGCTGCAAATGACGTGAGCCCTCTAATTACTGATGCAGTTGTTGAGATCGGGCCTTCACTTTCATCGAAGTAAAATGTCCCATCGCCTAAAAAGGCCAAAAAAGTTAATCAAACCCCCCCCCCCAGAAAGAAGTGACAGAAGAAAACCCCCTATGCTTATATATATAATCTAGCAAGTAGTTTACTGCATACCATATTTCTGGATACTGTCAAAAAGCTTCAGGATACCCGTCTTCAATGTCTGGATCTACGAGATGACAAACAAGAACGATGATATCATCACACGACAATGAATATCAATAAACTACCAGATAAAATGGCAAAGAATATAACCAAATTTTAAAGTAAGATAGACATGCAAAATTTACGAGTTGAAATTTAAAATAATCAAAACACAGTGATTATTTTAGTTGCTCGGATATTCCTGAACCACAAGTAAATCAGCACTAAGAAATCGTAGTGATTTGTCTCCATAAAATATATTCCCAGAAATTCAGTAGTATGGTATACCAAAGATCTTACTTACCAATGATTGATCAATCTCTGAAGGTGCTAATGAAATCACTCCAGCAAGGGTTTCGAAGGCTAAGCCTGAAGGAAAAAAACTTTATGTTTAGAAGAACGTAAATAAGAAAATAAGTAAGCAGTGAAAGGTTTTATAATCGAAAAGGTTCAGTATTAACGTTTAGCATCGTGAAGTGGGAAGGGCTAATCCAGTAAGGAATACTTACCAGCAGCAAAGGTGCTCGATTCCGGATTGTTGGAGCTGTACCGCCATCTTCCATCACTCTGGCTAAGAGCCTGATACAAATGTACTATATGAGCCAAACATTACTCAGAAAATAATCTGAGTATGTTATACAATAACTGGATCTGTAACATGTCAGCGCTACATACACTTCTACCAGAATCTATAACTGATACTTCAGAAAGACCGCGTGCAATGTAGCATCTGATAGTTCAACAACAACGAAATAATAGATAAGCTAAACAAGTTCAAACCTTAATGGAACGGAAAACAGCTTCGGCATCTCCAAGACTTATATCAGTTCCAGAAAATTGCTCCTACAAATTGAAAAGAGAGGTCAAACTTGAATCCAACAAAGAGGAAAAGCAGGTAGGAAAATCAATGGAGTTGAATGAGACAAAAAATAATCACGATCATCACAGGTCAACCCCATTCAAGTAGTTCACCAAAAGTCTACTCGTATTACCTTAACAAGCACCAAACCTCTGACAGAGTAGTAGAAGTCAAGCAACAATTTAGCATCTTTAACGCCAGCTTGAAGTTTAGAGACAATGTCCTTCAAAAACAGGAAAGAAAGAACATATGAAGTCACTCTAGCCGCTTAATTGGTATAAGACCATTGTGGTGGTAGGAGGAGACAATTGTTTACCTTAGGAACATCTCCTCCGGATTTGCATTTCAGAATCCCATTAACACTCAAAGCATAGAATGCATCTTTCAGAGTAGAAGAAGGAGACGCAAAAACTTTCACCACATTCTCACAAGTCACCGAGCTCAGATCAGACTTTTTATCAATCCCAAGAATCTCCAAAGTCTTTAATGCTTCATTTGCCTCCTCCAAGCTGATTACAAACAAAACCATACAAAAAAAAAATCATTCACTAAACAAACAAGTCCTGAGCTTTAAAGAGCAACCAAAGACATTAACATGTGCCAAAAAAACGAAATCAAATTGTGGGGTTTCCGAAAAACCAAACCTTTTGTAGGATCCATCGACTGGTACAAAGACATCAAGAGCAGCAGATCGGTGAGAGTCTGAGATGGGCTGAAAAACTGAAGCAGCACCGCAAATTGATACGGCGAGTAACGAAACTAGAAATCGAACGAGACCTCTAGCCATCATTACTGCATCATAAACACTCAAATAAATCAACAATCACCGTCAACTACGACGGAGAAGAACGTAAAGCTTACGTTTTTACAGATCCGTAAATGGAAAAAAATAAAAATACCAGAAGTCGACGAGTCTCTGTAGTCAACGGAGACTGAGGTTTGGGGAAGCGTGAGATCGATCTAATGGCTTTTTGAAACAAAAAGAAGACGAAGACGATTGGCAACGAGTGTGGAGGAGCTTGATGACAGTACCCGATAAGACTTATTTACCCTCAGTTCTCAACTTTAATTACACTCCAGTTATTGAAACGGCGCCGTATTTGAACGAAGGTTAAAAACAGAAGAGTTAGGGCCTGGTTCTCCCGCCATCACCCGCAAACGCAACTTTTGCGGTTGATAGCGGTTGTTGGCGTTTTACGACAATCATAGAAAACGCTATAAACCGTTTCAAATCGCTCTGAATCTCTAAAATTCAAAAGCTGGTTCCACTAGCGTTTGCGGTTACGGGCGATTGCGGGAGAATAAAATTCTTTTTTTCCAAAAAACTATATAAATATAAAAATAAAATATTCAATTAAAATTTTAAATTAAAAGAATTCAAATATTGAAATATTTATATTATAAATTTCCAAAAAAAAATATTTTCTTTAATTTTAAAAAATTTAATAATGCAGTTTTTCCCATAAAATTTTTATATTTATGAAAATATGATTTTAATATTTTGATAATTATATAAAATATAAATATTGTTAATTTATTATTTAACCGCCGTTGTATTTGATGATAAACCAATCATAAGTATCCCGCAAATGCAACAATTTTTAACCATTGAATCAGTTCTATAAGGGTCTGACTAGTTGAAACGCGGCGGTTGCGATTGCGGCTGCGGGAGTTTGCGGATGTGGGTGGTTGCGGTTTCTAGCGTTATTAGGCGATTTGTACGACTGGTACAGCGATTAAAAACTGGTGCGTTTGCGGGACATTTATGACTGATTGATTATGAGATACTACAGCGGTTCAATAATAAATTTTCAATATTAACAAATTATAACATTATAAAAATAGCAAAACATACTGTTATGATAAAAAAACTAATAACTATTAATATATTATAAGTAATAACAATATTATTTTTATAATTTTATTTAGATAAAAATATAATATTATAATATAATATAATATAATTAATTATATTTATATATTTATATATTTATATATTTATATATTTATATATTTATATATTTATATATTTATATATTTAATATTGAAAATATAGTGAAAATTCTTGATTTAAAGTTTTTATAAATAGGTTATGATATTTTTAGTGAATTTAAATTAAAAAATAAAAGGTAGATATAGTTTTAGTTATATTATTTTTATTTTTATATTTTAATTTAAATTTTTAAAAAATAGTTTTTTACCCACCCGCAATCGCCCGCAAACGCAAACGCTAGCTGAAACCAGCTTTTGATTTTAAGAGATTGGGAGCGGTTTGAAGCGATTTGTAGTGGTTTTTGTGATTGTTGCAAAACGCTATCAACCGCCATCAACCGCAAAAGCTGCGTTTGCGGGTGGTAGCAGGGAAACCAATCGGACCCTAAATCTCTTACTAACGTTTAAAACCGCAATCTCTTTGATCCGTAAACATCTTCGACCGAAATTGCAATCGTTGCGTTCAGGCCCTTAATAAGAGCAGGTTTTGTAATAAATAATATCACTTCAACCTAAACCCCTCGATCTCGTCAAACCTCCATCTCCATTTCTCAACCGGAGAGATCTCAACGGAATCAAAAAACTCAGCCATGATCCGATTCACAAGACCAAAACCAATACTCGACTCACTAACTCACAACCTCCTCCAGCAATCATCCTACGCGAGCGGAACCCCCAAAGGAAAATCAAAGCTCAAAACAATCCAAGCCTTAAAGCGCCACAAAGCCACCACCAAACGAGGCGGAGAGGAAGCATCTAAAGGGAAAGTCACAATCTCCGACCCCTGCATAAACCCTCCTTGCCCCGTCCGTTACCTCAGACCCAAAGACAGAGACCGAGAGGCTCAGCGAGAGAAGCTCGGCCTAATCAGCAAGGCGAGGCAACGAGAGATCGATATCCAGAAAAAGCTCGGACCTTTCACGACCCGATCCACCCAAGACCCGATCAGGATGGTGTTTTCCGGGTTTGATTACGTCTCGTTAGGGATTTTTAGTGAGGAGGAGTTGCCGAAGTATAAGGTTACGGTGGAGGATGGGAGGAGGCTGGCGAAGGAGTATAGTAGAGTGCTTATGAAGGAGCATAGGGAGAAGCGTGCGGCGGAGATTGAGTTGGTGAAGATGAGGAGAGAGGCGTTGGAGGCGTTGCCGGAGGATTTGAAGGAGAAGGCTTTGGAGCGTGATACGACGACGTTTCCGGTGATTAGGGGAGCGGCTACGGTTTTGCCGCCGGTTGAAGGGTATTTGGAGAGGATTATGAATGCTGCTAATAAGAAGAGTTCGAGTAAAGAGAAGCTGAGATGATCTATAGAGAGGTTTGTGGTGATTTGGGGTTTGATCAACTTTTGTCTTTTACTTTGTTGATCCTCATGAGATCAAATGGCCATAGTGAGTTTAGAAAACTAGTTGAAGCTCATAAATTTAAAATCTTTTTCAATTGTCTTTTTGAGATTGAGTTACTTCATAATAACCTTCTGAGTAGTGAAGTTGTTTAGGTTGAGAGTCACTGGTAATAAGTGGAAGCATCCTCTTTGCTGTTACTATCTTTGGTCTGATTTGTATATATTCCTTCTCCATATTATAAGTGTATCTCTAATTAGCAATAAAAAACTACGGAGAAACATGGAATCTATACCAAGATTACAGTAGCTTAGTTCATATAAGAATTGGGGTTTGTGCTTTGTGAGCTTGTTTATTTGGGATATAGGCAATGTATACCTGAAAATTTGCAGAAATTTATCTAGGAGATGGTGAAATTTTACCGTTTCTGCTTGTGGTGTCATATCCAATTGCGTTGTATTTCAAGTAATTTGCGTGAAGCTCAACAAATTCTTTTTCTGCAGCTTCTTACCCCGTAGAGTGCAATGGCAAGAGTCCAGTCCTAAAGCTTCAAGACCACGATTCTCCAAGGAGCATCATAGTTTGAGAGCTGACGTAGAGTAGTCTAGCTAATGGCTAAAATTTATTTATCGGCATCTCCTCTTCTTTTTTTTTTTCTTCCCCTTACTCTTTGGTAAACTAATCAAGTTTGTGTCTCTCAGAGATCTTGGAAACAGAATTTATAATTAAAAAAAAATCTATAATTTTACAGAAACTTTTGTCCAGTTACTAATTTTTTGATATACATAGTATTGTTTGAATAAGAGACCAAGGGATTGACATGGTTATGAACTGCGGATCACACCCACAAGTTAAAGGCTGTTGGAAACAAATAATACATGCTTTAGCTTGGAGGCCACAGTGTGGTGGTGTGTACAAGCGTTCACATATTTTATTTGAAGAAAACTCCATGCGGGTATGGGAGTAAAGAGGATTTAAAACTCGACGTAGAGCATCAAAAGAAACATGGGAACAACTGGAAAACTCTAGCGGTTGAGATGGGTAAACACACTAAGCATGTGAGAGATGTTTGGACATTGGTCCAGGGAGGAGTACCAAAACTTGTTTGATATTGTGAACAAAGATCTTAGAATAAAAACATTCTAAGAGAAACGCTCACAACATGGGATGCTCCGAGATAACATCCCTTGGACGGCCATAAGTAACCAACCAACTAGGAACAAGGGACCACGTCTTCTGTTGCCATAAATGGTATGATCAGCTGACATCGTCAATGGTGTCCAAGCGGATATGGGCTAACGCAGATGACTATAGGCTCTTGGACGAGCTTGTGAATCTGGATGCTGCTTGTGTTGACGACGTTGATTGGGATGATATTCTGGATAATCGAGATGGAGATGCTTGTAGGAGTCAGTGGAACCAGATGGTGCGTTATATCGGTTTACTTGGAACCAAAACATTTGCAGAACATGTTGAGGTTTTGTCTCAAAGGTGTTGCCCTGAGTCCTGACATTGCTGAAGACAGAGAAGATTTCGACAACAGACCATTTTGATCCTCAAAGTGTTAACTAAGTCTAGAATGAGTTTCCATCTATGTTCTAACTTTAATGTTGTGCTTGTGAGCGTAAAAACTATTATATGTTTTTTGCATGTGGACTTGCTACTGTTTAATTCATTTATTTTACAAACAGGGAACTGTCTTTCTAATTTCAACAGCAACACAAGAATTGACAATTAGAAGTTCTGCAAAGGGAAATTAGTCAAGGTATCAGGGCACATAATAATCCAGATTTGACAAGCAAATATGTAGAATACATCGAGATAGGGATAATAGTGAAGAAGTCAGGTGAAACTAATCGCCACTGGCGCATCCTTGACAACCGCAGTGAACGCACTCAATCGCTTTCTCTTCACGCAAGTGTTTGGGAACACGACATACACATGTTGTTCCATAGTTGTGGTCTCTTGGCTGGATGCAGCGCAAGCAGCATAGACGCTCATACCCTGACTGCAACAATCCACAAAGCACAGAGTTCATATATAAATAATCAGTATCAAACTAAAGAGACATGACTCTCTTAACAAAACCTTTGATGAAAACAAAATTAAAACCTACAAACCTTTTTCTCAGTAATATCGATCCAAACAAGTGCAATTACTAGAGACAGTGATTACTAGAGAAACAACTTCAACAATACAAAGAGTGAGATGAGAAGGCACATACCTTCTTCCATTTGGCAATGAGGTTACGATCAGCATAGCCCTGGTCCAAGCAGAACTCATAGAGCTCCTTAGATATCTCCTTCCTCCGGTAATAAAGGTCATAAACATAGCGACTCCTCTGATGAGAGAGTTTGAAGATTGGCCATAAAGCTTCACACTTTCTCTTTCCATCGTGTTCATCCATCTCAGCTACACCATCAAAGGAAGGAATAAATACAGTTAAGACCGAGCAGAATCAAAAGGTAAAGACTTTTTAGCATATCTGAAATAACAAACCTTCTCTCATCTTGGCGTCAAGCTCACGAAGAGTAGGTTCGATCAGCTCCCACCCTTCTGGGTACTTGACTCGGTTTGTCTTAATCTTTGGCATTCTTCTCTACAGTTTTGCAAACTTCACTACCTTAAAAATTAAGGAATTCAAGTTAAGCATCCAAAACGAATTTCAAATTCTTTCTTGTACATGAGTGTGATTTCAATACTTTCAAAGAAAGTCTCAATTAGGGTTTTATCAATCTCTGTGATTTTGAGATCGACAAGAATCTTAGGAAAGATAGAAACTTTAGAAGCTAAACGACACAGCTGCAAAGATTCCAAAGGTTAGTATAAGAGGGTAATCGAAAAAAACATACCTTTGGAGACTATAATCGACAGAGACAGAGGGAGTTTGAGGAGGGTAGATCGCTGTGCAGGACGAAGGTGATGGAAGAACCAACTTCGTAGAAGCCTCTTCTGGGTTTGGGCTGGGTTTAGAAATATATGGGCCGATACATGGGCCCATATTTTAATGATAAAATACAGAAAGTTATGTATTTTGATTCAGTTTCTGGAATTAAAACCTCCATGTTTTCTTTCGGTGGATTATGTTGTATTCTTCTCTTACACACTCAACACAACAAATCAGCTCAAAGAACATATGCTTACAAAGTTAAAGTAGAAGGCAGAAGAAAATAATTTCAAATGTCATAACTGCAAACGTGAAACATCCAAAGCACTTGGGAATTTATAACAGCAAACAAACATCTTTCAGCTTTCGACATTGTCGGCAACTAAGAATTTATTTAGGCAACAAATAAAAAAACATCTCCAAGAAGACCACCAAAGCAGCCAAATTCACATAGAGAAACCTCAAAAAAAAAACATTAAAGAGGAAGCTGCTTATTCCTTCTTCCCGATTCCATTGGACATGTTGTAGATTCCTGTTCCCTGTAATTCAGCCACATAAATTGAAATTAAAACACACACTCCTCAAGGATGAATACTCAAAAGCCAAACAAAAAAACTTACAATCATGTAGAGAGAAGAAGCAGCCAAGGCAAGAGGAATGGCAACGGAGGTGACCTTGTCCATGGGTCCTTTGAGGTAAGTGTGCCTGTGGATGCTCTGGAACAACCTCTGCTTCTCCAGAAGCTTCTCTCTTGGCCTAAATGGTGTTTCCGTCAACATGATACTGCAAAATATCCACACACACAAAAAAAAACACATCATCACCCAATCGCATAATGACGAATATAATGAGATTACAACACATTAATCCACAAGATCATCCTCAAATCAATTCGATATAATCCTACTAGTATTCAAATCAAAACACTAAATTGATTACGACCCTACATCCAAAACAGTGACTAAGGCATCATTTTCGAATCCAAAATGTTTGATGACCTTCATCAAAAAGGCTATGATAAAAGCCTCAAAATCAGGGCTAGATCTGCTATTTGAGATCGACAGAAACAGAGAAAACTAACGTTTACATACGATTCAAGCGATCTAAGAGGAAAATCAATGAATCTTACCTGAGAGAAATTAATCGACAAGATAGAAATGGAGGATGAGGAAGAAGAAGTCGTCCCACTACGGCTTTGAATCGTCATCTTAGGGTTGGGTTTACTGAGTGTTATCACTTGGGCCGGTCACTTATCAAAGGCCCAAATCGAACCGAGATTCAGTCTAATTTTGATTATACAATCCAAACCGGACCGTCCTTCTAATTTCAATTTTGTTTCGAACCGGCTCAATGCCTCAATGGTTTGGAGCAAGAGTTAATTTCACATTTTTATATTTATGAACACCTAGGATTATTTTAATAAATGATAGTTTTGACAATATGTTTTTTTAAATCATATAATATGAAACCAAATCAAATAATAATGTTATTTGGTATAAAACCGAATAAATAGAAAACCGATAGTATAAATATCGAACCAAACCAAATTAAACATGGTTCCAATATGGTAGCTAATTTTGATAAACCGAATAACCGAAAACCGAAAAAACCGAACCGAAACCGGACCGAACACCATATTGAACAGGCCTAGATTAAATGGTTGTTGACTGGTCTGATCCGGTTCGGTTGAACATCGTGAAAAAGGAATAAACCAGAAGGTGGAGGAGAAGCTGAGAGATACTGCGAATGAAGGAGATTGTGCCTTGTCCACGCACGAACCCTAAAAATCCACTATTTGTCTAATTCTTCTGTTAAAGTAGTAACCTTTTTTATCTTCTTATCTCTGTTGCTCTGTTACTCATTTTTTCTATTTGACTTTCGAGGCTTTTAGCTGAACATTTGTCTGCCGCGGGAATCATGCTGTTCCATAGGCTTTCAAGATTAGGTTCTCGCATTGCTAAAGAGCTTCCAAGAGGTATATATCTATCTTTCTTCTTATAAGATGAGTTCCCTCCTCTGTTTGTGCTTTTTTACTTTTGGTCATGGAAGCATAGCTCACGTACTGTCTCTGTCTGTGAGATTTTTAACTCTGTTTACTAATGCTTTGAGCAGAGAAATGGCATTTCTCAGTTTGTGGGATGCGGGTTTTACAAAGGTCTTATGGCCAATACCTGCAATCTTCGGTTAGTCCTGAAGCTTCTGTTCTCGTTGCATCTTCTTACTTGTTTCATTCATCAGACAACTAGATAAGCTTTGTCGTCTAGATAGCTATGAAAATACTATAGGTATATGCAATCCATAGAGAGAATTAAAAGGGTTTGGTTTTGGCTCCCACGAGCTGACCAAAGCCTATGCTTTGCCCAAGTTGATCAGCTTTGAAATTAGTGTGATTTAGCTTCATATTTTCTCTTACGAAACTTTATCTTGATTTGTGATATCTCCGCTCTTTCTTTTTTTTTTTGAAAAGGCTGTAACTCAGATGCAATCTAGGACGTTTCAGCAACCCTTTTTCTCAAGTAACTATTATAACCTGTGTTCATCCTTCAGCACTGTCTCTGAAAATAGCCCTGAAGAAACAGAAAAGTAATTTACAGATTTTTAACATTCTACTCTTTTTTTTTTTTTTTTTACTATAACAAATGTTGACACGAGAAATTTTGTATACAGGATAAACGTTATCTTTGTTGATAAAGATGGAGAGGAGATCCAAATTAAAGTCCCTGTAGGAATGAACATCCTTGAAGCTGCTCATGAAAACGATATCGAACTCGAAGGCACCATTCTTTTCCATTTCATCTTTCTTTTTTGTCTGATGATATGCTTTTCGCTTAAACTAGGATTGTAACTAATGTCTGAGATTGGTACTTCCGTTGCAAATTTACAAGCTGTTTTTTTCTTTCTAAATCTTCAGGGGCTTGTGAATGTTCTCTAGCCTGTTCCACCTGCCATGTGATTGTTATGGTAAAAGTTTCTCTTACTTTGCAGTCACTCATCTACATAGATTGATCATGCATTGTGTTTTACTAAATAGTTAACAACTGTGATTGATAAAATAGGACACCGAGTACTACAACAAACTCGAAGAACCAACAGATGAAGAGAATGATATGCTGGATCTTGCTTTTGGTTTAACAGAAACGTGAGTTCATTCTGTTACTCTTTAAATGGTCTCGCTAGGGTTGCATTGAAAATGTTGTTGATAACTTCCATCAAAAATTTTGGTTTCTTAGGTCACGATTGGGATGTCAAGTCATAGCAAAGCCAGAGCTAGATGGAATACGCTTAGCCATTCCTTCAGCCACTAGGAATTTCGCAGTTGATGGTTTCGTTCCAAAACCTCATTAAGCCACATCAAAGTCTCACAGAGGATGAGTATTCAATCAGTTGAGTTACTTGTGTTGAAAGAGTTTACACTTGTTTAGAATCCGAAAACTTTATTATAATAAAACCTTAAAGGAGTTGTAACTCAGAAAGTGAGAGACTCCACACTTTCTCATCTCTTTTTGGCAGCATTCTTTTTGTATGTTTTGATTTTGTTACGAATATGAAGTTCTCTTTTTACAAACACAAATTAGTAACTTTAGATACATTCATTGGTGAATTACTCAAATAACAAGTTTTATTTTTTTTGGTCAAACAAACATGCATTACTTAATAAACGGTTTACACTCCGTTGAGGGAGTTTGTTACAAGCAGAGAGCGAGCTGATTTTGCCACATTATCAGCTTCTCCATTAAAGTTTCTAGAGATGAAAGTAAAGGAAATAACATCAAAGTAAGACAAATAGTGATAGATATCAAACATGATACCGAAAAGTTCAAGCTGTGTACCACCATTCTTCAAGAGCTTGACGATTGATAGAGAATCAGAGAGAACTGCAAGGGATCGGACGTTTGAGTAAACCGCAGTGACCACTGCAAGACGGACAGCGATGGCTTCCGCCATAAGTGCTGATGATACATGGTTGCGTGACTCGCAAATGTTTGGTAAAATGGGGGTATTCTCACCCGAAAAAATGCCTCCTATGCCACAGGTCTTTGAGTTGGCATCCCACGCAGCGTCCACTTTAGCTATCAGAACCCCTGCAGGAAAGGCTGGAGGAGGGCGTAAGCCTCGCGTCGCTGTGATCAGGTGGGAAAGACCCTGGGCCAAGTAGTTCGGTTTTCGTTGGAGCTGGGCAGAGCACCATTCCTTTGCATCAATTATACTTTTTAAAGCAATTTCGGGTGCTGAGAATGCTCTGTTTTCGAAAATAAAGCTGTTTCTAGCCTTCCATAAATTCCACAAGACCCATGGCCATATAGGTGAAGTGACACCCGATGGAGGTAGTGGAATCATTCCTGCCGCAGTTGATATCATCTCAGTCATAGATGGAAGTAAAGGCTCCATAGTTACCTTCGAAGGAATGAGGCTCCAAACCTCCACTGCCACTGGGCATTTCAGAAACACATGGAGATCATCCTCCCAAGCACCACATTTTTTACACATAAAGGGCGCCATACCTCTCTTCTCCAAATTTGCGCTCACCGGGATCGCCTTTCTCACAATTTTCCAGAGAAAATCCTTGATTTTTGGGGAAGTATCGATGTTCCAAATATGCTTCAGCCAATTAAAACTTTCCTCCTCACTGTGAACTCTATTCGCTAACATTCCCAGTCCATATCTTGTTTTAGTAGAATAGGAGCCCGACTTTTCCGGCAGCCACATTAGTGTATCCCGTGATGCAACAGAGCTTGTTTTAATACTCAAGATGATGTCCTCATACTGAGGGAGGTAAAGTCTTATCTTGTCAATGTCCCAATTGTTGGTTAATGGGCATAGAAGATCACTGACCTTTAGAGATAGGGAGGTGAGTGGCTGAGGGCCCATAGGTCGGATAGGAGAGGTAAATGAAAGCCATGGATCGTCCCAGACCTTGATTGATTCCCCGTCCCCTACCGTCCAGCTTAAACCTTTTAATAAGATCTCTCTCCCTGCCAAAACACTTCTCCATCCATGGGAGATATTCGAAGACACTGAACAATTCAAAAAGGAGCCATTTCGTACATACTTTCCAAGTAACACTCTTGCCAGAAGTGACTGAGGCTCCTGAATAATTCGCCACCCAATCTTCGCCAACAGGGCATCGTTAAACATCTCTACATCGCGAAAACCGAGTCCCCCTGCATATTTTGGCAGCGCTAAAGTAGACCACGCAACCCAACACATCTTCTTCTTTTCTGGATTAGCATCCCACCAAAAACGCGTAAGTAGAGATTGTATTTGTTTACATAGGGATAGCGGGAGCTTAAAGCAAGACATCGTATAACACGGCATGGCTGCAAGTACTGATTTAAGCATAATCTGTTTCCCGGCAGTAGATAGACATCTGGTGGACCAACTGTGAGATTTTTGTCTGATTTTATCCACTATAGCAGCGAAAATGTCTCTCTTCTTGCGACCAAAATTTTCGGGAAGGCCAAGATACTTCCCTATTCCTCCCTCAGCATCAATCGCCATTGCCTCCTTAACCCGTGCTCGTACTTCCGGTGGGGTTTTCGCAGAGAAAGTGATCGCCGATTTCTGCGGATTTATCTTTTGACCCGACACTGCTTCGTAAGTCGCTAAGATCTTCATAAGATCTGAGACACAAGATGTCTTTGATTTGCAAAAGAACATGGTGTCGTCTGCGAAGAGAAGATGATTGATTGCTGGACAGCCCCGCGCTACTCTGACTCCTGGCAGGGAACCATCGGCTTGACCCTTTTCGCACAAAGCTGAAAGGACTTCGGTACATAAGATAAATATGTGTGGCGAGAGAGGATCCCCTTGCCTCAATCCACGCGATGGTTTTACCGACCCCTGCGGTGATCCATTGATAAGGAAGGTGTATGATACTGATTCAATACAACACATGATCCATGAGATCCAGATAGGATCAAAACCGAGCAGTTTCAATACTTCCCTAACAAAGTTCCATTCGATGCGGTCATAGGCCTTGCTCATATCGGTTTTCACCGCCATGGAACAATACTTCTTTGCCTCAGAAGTGCGGAGATAGTGAAGAGTTTCATGTGTAATGAGTACGTTGTCCGAAATTGCTCTCCCCGCTACAAAGGCTGATTGTGTCGTAGAGATGAGAGCTGGTAGCAGTGGTTTCAATCGGCGTGTAAGGATCTTCGCTATAATCTTGTAATGTGTATTACATAGCGCAATAGGGCGGTAATCAGCAACAGCCTTTGGACCAGTAATCTTCGGTATCAGCCTTATATGGGTTTCATTTTGTTGAGCTTGGAGGGAGTTAGTGGTGAAAAAACTCCTGATATCTCGAGTGACATCCTCTCCCACTATGTGCCAGTATGCCTGGTAGAACGTAGCTGAAAACCCATCGGGGCCCGGGGCCTTGCCCCCATTGATTGAAGCCATCGCTTCTTTAATCTCCGAATTACTCGGTATAGCAATAAGCATTTGGTTCATCTCTGGGGTGACTTTGCAGGTTAGTAAACCCTGCAGCTGATCAAAAGATGTATTGCCATTGGAAGTGAAAATCTGGTGGAAATAGTCTGAGATAACTTTGGCAATTTCTGGTTCCTCGTACACTACTGCTCCCTGTCCATCTTCTATTACCGGAATGGAGTTGATAGTCCGGCGACACCTGGTTGCTGCGTGGAAGAATCCTGTATTCCTATCGCCTTGTTTAAGCCACTGGATCCTGCTCCGTTGTCTCCAAAATTGCTCTTCCTCCAAGTAAGCTCGCCGGAGATCGGTTTTAATTGAGTCGATGATATCGCAGTTCTGGCTGGCTTCAGAAAGAGCTGTCTCTAACGCCTCCTGCAGCTTCTTGATGTTCCTATTACTCTGGATTTGTTGCTCTTTCGCCCATTGTATGATGCTTCTTCGGCAAGCATTAAGCTTATGGATAACCGACTCAAGAGGAGACTGATTCCAAGCCGACTCGATTAATCCTGTCACTTCTTCATTTTCTGTAAGAGTTCTGTTGAAACGGAACATGCCCCGGTGCTTGTGCCTATTCGAGTTGAAATAGGTCATGATGGGTCGGTGATCCGAGCCCTCGTATCTCAGGTAACAACATCTTCCCAAAGGAAAGTTCTCCGCCCAAGCACAGTTTCCCATTGAGCGATCTAATCTTGAGCGGATGTAGTGGGTATATCGAGTTCCTCTCCAGGACAGCTGATCGCCTGAGTGCTTGAGATCCCAAAGCCCATTTTGGGTGACAAAGGATCGAAAAGATGTGAAGGATCCTTCCTGCCGGGGAGGTCCCCCTACTTTCTCTTCGTTACAAAGTATGTCATTAAAGTCTCCCGTGAGGAGCCAAGGAGCATCACGACCAGTACCGACATCTGATAGTTTATTCCAAAATGCTGTCCTATTCTCCATTGCCGGTGCTCCGTAAACAAACGACACAAATGAGGTAGTACCCTTGTGGTTGATCTTGGTATCAATCAAGTTAGGGGACGCTTCCAGCACTGTTATATCAACAGAATCTTTCCATATCAGAGTGAGACCTCCGCTGAGGCCATTCGGTGGGATCGAAAAATAATGAGGATACTGCAAACAGTTTAACTTTTCTTTTATGAACTCATCATCATTCTTTGTTTCCATGAGGAACATTACATCAGGAGACATATTACGATAAATCTCCTTAAGTCGTCGAATTGTAAGGATGTTCCCCAATCCTTGACAATTCCAACTCAATATTGCTAAGGAAGAGACTTTTGAAGGGGCCGAAAATCCACCCCTCCTCTAGTAACTCCTGGTATAAACACCGAATTAGAAGGCCCTGAAGCTACTGAAGCTGTTCTCTTTGAGCTAGGACCAGCCTTATGACAAGGTAAATTCGGATCTTTTTCCGTGCATAGCTTCCGTCGTGTAGTTGTTGATGATCTTGCAACCACATTCCTTCGCAGGTTCAGGCGCTGGAGTGGGCTTCTAACCACTCTATTGGTTGTCGAAGATCTTGCTGACTTCTTCTTGTTTGAAGCTTTGCTGGAAGAAGCAATGGGAATGGTCTTTTCTTTAATGTTTTGCTCCTTTCTTTTGGATTTTCCCAGACGCAGAGTTGCAGGAATTCTAGGGGCTGGATCCTCGTTAGGAGAGCTGATAATAAGATCCTGGTCCATAGGTTCATCTTCGTTCAGAGAAGTATCAGGCTCCTGAAGTCTGCCTGATTCGAAGCTTGGGGGTACTCTTTCCCGGACCGGTTCAGCTAATCTTTCCAAGGCTGATCTTCTGCCATTTGACCCCGAGTTTCCTCTTTCACGGTCATTTTCTACATGGGGTCCCAGACGATCCTGGAGGGATCTAGATGGAGGGGTAATTGGGGAGTTAGGACCCCTGGACACTCCTACCTTAGTGTTAGTAACAACAAGACCTTCCAACCTCCCTGAGGTCGCAATGGGAGAGCGATGGGAGTGAGAGCCAGTGCTTGCCCCACTCTTTTCAACCACACGGTACTGAGGAGTGGAGCTTGCAATTCTGTAGTGATGAGTGTCTAGTCTTTTTGGTCTTGAAGTAGTAGACTCGCGGTTTAAGCCAGAACCATAATGGTGATGTCGACTTCCTGATCGCTCGCTTCTAGTACGATCCCCATGCCCTTCATAGGTTCGCGTGTATGTCCGAGCTTCTGGCCTTACATACCCCCGTCTGTCGTCGTGACGTTTCTTCTCAGCCTCAATTCTCAAACAAGTTTTATTTTGTCAAAAATTCAACGAGTAACACTTAGTTTCTTCTACGGATATAAATTTGCAAGCATTATTAGGAAGGGGACGAATGACACTAAAACAAAATATCCAATGATGTGGTCTAACAATTTTATTATATCAAGTCTCGAACTTGGCAACCTGCAATAGAATCCAAGACCCATGAACTGCTTGCAGCTTTTGCTCTAGAAGACTTAGCCAAAGCTTCAGCATCATATCTTCGCTGTGTCAGAGTTTTCTTGCTTGGCTCAGCACTAAACACTATGATCGTTGAAGCTTCACTATCATCATTAGAAATGGGTCGCCTGCGCATGATAGTTCCTCCTGCTGCTACAATCATATCTTGAAGATACCCTTTGTAAGCAAGCTCGAAATCTCCCATTATGTAAAACGTCAGTCCATTAAATAGTTTTGGTTCCTGCATGAAACCATTTAGATGTAAGTATTCTCATGTCTGTTGACATAAAGAGAGAGAGGAGAAGAAGAAGCTAACTTTGTTCAAAGCTCTTTGTCTTCCAATATAAGGTCCTTGTCTTGTTCCATGAACATCTATGGATATCTCGTATGGCTCCTCGGTTACATATTCTTTGTTTTTCATACACGCCTTGATCCCTGCAACAAAAGATATACAGACAGTTTGAAAATGTTCTGATTTGATCAATCGCAACATTAGATGTTTCCTTCCTGACAGAATGATAATACTTACAATCAATGCTTAGAATCCATTTCCCCTCCAAGACCCCCATCATGAATTTGAGGGTCCTTTTGCAAGCTCCGTTTTCGTTGATTGATGCAATGATATGTGTAACTCTCGACTCCCATTTTCTCGAGATGGTAACTCCAGACAGTTCAGCGAATTCTGAAATCACACTCTGCAATCCAAAGCCATTCATGTAATTTAAGTTTCAAAGTTGAGAGGTTTTCATGAAGTATAAAAAGATCCATACCTTCTCTTCATCTGTAAGTCCTGAACAGCATAGAACCAATTTCTTGGATAATCGGTGAAAAGGCTTGCTCTGGAGCTCACCGATGTCAGGTTTGACAGATACTTGATTAGGCTGAGAGTGCTGTGGCCTAGAGAAGATAGATAGAGAGAGAGGTATTGTCAGCCAGCACTCTACTTTCAAAATTAGAATCGTCTCATACTTCCAATCAATAAATGACAATACCCTTTAGGAGGACTACACTTTCGTTTCCTTCCTTTGGGACTAGTCTCTTCACAGGGCAACTTAGAGGATGCATCCGAAGGGCATAGCATTACAAAGTTTTTCTGTTGACAAGAACATGTGTTAAAAAGAACCTTATAAGGGACTATCCTAAGAGCTTCTATATAATATATGCAACACTTACATTGTCCCATCTGCATTCTGGTATCAGTTTTGCACACGTGACATGAAAGCTACTCTTGCAACTCGAATTGTAACAGCCAAGTGCTGCGCCTTTAAGTCCACAGCTACTACAAGTTATTCTCCGGCTTCTTGTCAGCTCCGCATCAAGGTTGACTGCCGTAAGGTTGTTGAAGTACACATTTGGAGCCCTGAAAATGTAATAAAAGTTTCTTATATTCAGTCAGTGCAGAATCAAAAGTATATGTATGCACACTTACTATTATTCAGATTTCTTACCATTCAGCACAGTTTTTGTGAACATGTATGACCTTAGACCCATCACTAAAATCTGCAGAGACAGGTTCACCTCTGTGGTAGTGAGCCATTTCTCCTGATGCCTGTCAACATAACATTTCAATTAAAAGATCTACATCTAGGACTACAATGTGAGATAGCGAAGCTTACCTCTGTGTCTTCTGAAGACTGACAAAAGGCGCATGTGAATTTATTTATTGGAGGTCCATCACATCGTCGCAAAAGTGCATTATCTTCAAGTGAGGGCTTGTTCATCGTTGAGCGTTTCTCTAAAACTTGCATGTTATGAGTGCCTTTGTCCACAGACGGTTTCTTTTTATTAGTTGAATCTTGTCTATCTCCTACTTGATCCAACTCAACACTAAGGGTTTTCTTGATACACGGTTGTGTAATTCTGCTCGGGATTGAACATGAATCAAGTTTTGATCTATTTTCTGAAGTCTCCTTCTCAGTTGCACTGGATTTTCTTCTCTTTCTCAGAGAGTACTTCTCGGCGGGACTTTGTTTTTCACGTTGTGTATCAGCTGAACCATGGGCCTGCTGATCCCCCTTTACCACATTTTCTGTTCCAAGTGAGAGCTCATTAGATCCAGCAACTGGGTGATCCGTGGAGACTTTAACGCTAGATCGTTTCCTCTTTGTGCCCTGCTTTCCCTCTGCTTCCACATGTAAATTTACACCGGCCTGAACTCGTGAATTCTGGCCCTTGTTTCTTGTCGCCCGTTTAGCTTTCACATTTTCATCCTTCCTGGTAGTTGTGCCAGACGTTCCACTAGTCTCTTGTTTCTCACTAATAGTTTCTTCTGCAGACGGTTCCATGTAGTCCTCATTGGAAACCCCAACGCGTCGTTTAGCAACTGTGTTTCTTGCAGTTCCTGCTTTGCCTTTTTTACTTGATGATGCTCCTTTAGATGGATTCTTCCGTGTAAGATCAATCTCATCTCTACCTATGGCCTGCAAATTGATTTGAGTTTTTTCAGTTAATTTCAACGGACTTAGAGAAACTATCAAAGAAAACAAACATGTGGCTGTATCTGAGTAAAGAATTGCCTATACCTTGGCCTTCACAGGACTAGGTAGAATCTCTGGAGAACAAGGCCTTTGAGTCCATTCAAACATTTCACTGTCAAACATGTCTCCCGGATTGGGCCTTTCTTGCTCAACTGCCTGAAACATTCACCACAAAAGAAGAAGTTAGATCAAACATCAAAGGATACAATGATGTGTAGCTTGAGGTAGCAGTCTTCATTATGAACAAAAGAAAACCTCCGCCGCATAACTAATGGTGAAACACTTTCTCTATGAACTCAGGGCAAGTGTAGCATGTTGCAATATAAGTACTGGAAGATAGCATTAATATATGCTGTTGGGTTTTAAAGTACTCACTTTCGACGGGCTGTCATGATCTGAGTCCTTCAAGTCGCTGAAAGAAGGAACATCAACAGGAGTAACATCTAGAAAAGGATCACTTTCTGCTGGCTGACTTAAATTCTCTCCATCATCTTCATCTCTCAACCAAAAGAAGGGTGCCAAATTTTCTTCTTTATTCAAACTCGGATGCTCATTCAAACTAATCACAGTTTCTTCAGTGTAATCCTTGAGTTTTTCAGCTGACTCGACAGATTCAGTAGATTTTGCCAAGCTTTCAGAAGATCGATTCTGCGACAGCTGAACCCTTTTCCTACTTTGAGATGAAGGTTTCATAACAATAGGTCCAGGGGCATCTTCATCTCTTTCCTTGGTTTTTTTATATCCTCTCTTTTTTGATGTTCGGCCCTTACTAGATCCCTGATGTTTCTCGTCATTTGCTTTTTCAGTGGAAGCATCTCCCATATACTTTTCTTTATCTGTAGAAACAAATCAAATCACATTAAAATTACTTTATCTCTTATTGGTTTCATTCAAGACAATCAAAACGCTAAAGCATCAAAAGCCTAACAAGTACCTGATGGTGATGCTATTATATTCTGGCTTACAAAAATGTTGACACCAGAAGCATCTTCCATGTTCTTGTAAATGCTCACCAAGCTATCCATATGAGGAGCCCCTCGAATCTCTACCAAACATCATAATCATTTAAAAACAAGTTATCCTCTAATTCAAATGCTAATCTTTGGTTTAGCCACAAAGAAAAGCTGACTCTATCATCAATTTAAAAGAAGCATGAGAAGTGCTACCTCTACGATGGAATGGGATTTTACAAACTGGACAAGTAGGATCAACTTTCATGGACTTCACTATGCATTCACTTAAAAACAAGAGAGAAATAAATGTGATTAAAAATACTGACAAGATTTAAACAAACAAAAGAGAGTGGTTGGTTCTTACTTGCAGAACACATGGTTACACGAAAGTGAAGCTGCAGAGTTAAAAAGACTCAAGCTGCATGAAACAAAAGTTAAATCCATTACAAAGCTAAAAACAATAAACCGAAACCCAATACTCAGGATGCATAAAGACTCAGTTTTGAATCAAAACCCAGCAAAGTTAAAACACATATATAGAGCGTAAGAAATAGATATACCAAATAGGGCACTTGAGTTCTCTTCCCATCTTCTCAAGGTGATTTGCGTCTCCCATTTTCTGCTTTCGATCTTCACAGACAGAGAAGATGAAACGAATCAATCTGATAAATTAAACAGTGATGAAGCGGAGCCCTCCGAGGGTAAAACGTTTCATGATAAAAAGCCGCCAACTTTTTTTTTTACTTCAATTTTTTCAGTCCCGCCAAAAGATTAGGTATAAAAAAAGCGGTAATAAGTTTTCGTTTTCCCCCTTAAGTTTTATTACTTTCTTACATTTGAACCCCATTATGCTTTGTCTGTCAGATTTTACCCACATGTACTTCACAAATGTGCAAATTACCCACCAAATTTTATTTTTTCTTATCTAGTTAATTACGTTATTACAAACTATAAAAAACATTAAAAATACGATATTATAAGTTTTTATTTTCTAACGGTATTTCTTGCTGCCGAAGATCTTATAAGTAGTTTTTCCAATTTTCTTGAGAGAATTATAACTCCAATTTTTTGGTGTAAAAACTGTGTAGTCTAGGATTTGAAGTTTAAACCTAAATGTATAAATTTTTAAACTTTGAGTTCATCTTTCTATATTTATAAACGTAATATGTTTGACAAAAAAAAAATCAGTTTTCGAATTCAGCTTTCTATATTTATATATGTAACATGATTGAATCAAATTAGGTTTTAATACTTTGGACTGAAGTTCATTTTGTAATTTTCGGATATTTATTTGGATATTTGAATATTTGTGTAGAAACCAATCATTTTATTTTATACATATTACCAGTAATCTTGACAAGAACAAGAACCATCTTTAAAATGGTGAAACCTGCTACGATCTCTCACAACAATCTCTCTATCATAAACCTTTGACACAAGCTTAATCGCCAGATGACAATCTGCACAAACTCTAAGATTCTTCACCACACGTATCGGTGCTCTCTCTGGTGTACTAATAAGCATGAAAGCAATAGCAATCTTCTCACTATGATAAACAAGAGCATCCTCCTTCTCTTCCTCCTCAACATCAACATACACGTTCGATATCTGCGGCACGTAACCTTCTAATCTCAATCTATCACTCATCTCTTTAAGCTTAGCGTATATCAACTCGCTTTGTGGATGAGACTTATCACCCATAAGAAACTCATGAACTCTGATTCCTACTTCTACTAAGCTGTGACCAGGGACTTTTCTTACACCGTCTTCTAACATTTTCATCCTTATCTTCTGCACGTCGGACCAACGCTGCTCGGACGCGTACATATTCGATAAAAGAACATAGTCTCCGCTGTGGTTTGGTTCTAGCTGTAAGATTTTGTTTCTAGCTAACTCTGCTAACTCAGAATCACCATGAACAGTGCAAGCTCCTAACAATGTCCTCCAGATAACAACATTCGGTTGCATTGACATTTTCGTAATGTATTCATAAGCTTTCTTCACTTCTCCAGCTCTAGCCAACAGATCGACCATACAACCAAAATGTTCAATCCTAGGCTCAATCTTGTACTCTTCTCTCATTCTCCTGAAATACTCAAAACCTTCATCCACCATCCCACAATGGCTACAAGCGTATAAGATCCCCACGAACGTGATCTCACACGGTAACAATCCTTCCTTTGACTCCATCTCCTTGAAAAGGTTAATCGCTTCTTTGCCAAAACCATTAACAGCTAAACCAACGATCAACGAAGTCCAAGAGACACTGTTCTTCTCCACCATTTCACTAAAAAGCGTTTTAGCTTCTGTGACTCTTCCACATCTCGCGTAGAAGTCCAAAAGCACATTGCTTGAATGTAAGTTTCTTGTCAAACCCACTTTGATCATATACACATGAACTCTCTTACCCAATGCCAAAGCACCAATCTTTGCACAAGCAGACAACAACCCAACAATAGTGAACCCATCTGGCTTAACCCCATTAGAATCCATCTCCTTATAAAGCCCCAAAGCTTCGTTCGGTTTACCGTTTTCCGCAAACCCATTAATCACAGAGTTCCAAGCCACAAGATCCTTCACAGGCATTTCATCGAACACCTTAAACGCACTATCCACATCACCACAGTTCCCATACAAATGAAGCAAAGAGTTCTGAACATATATCAACGAGTTAAACCCACTTCGTATCACAACCGAATGAATCGTCTCCCCCAATCTAACATCCGCAATCTTCGCCACGGCCTTGAGAAGAAACGGGTAAGTGTGACAATCCGGTTTAACGAAACCAGAGGCTCGCATCTCGCGGTAGAGAGAAAGAGCAGAGACGGAGTCATTAGTCTCGGCGTAGCCTCTGATCAGCGTGTTCCAGATAAAGACGTTGATGGGTTTCTCTGTATTGGAGAAGATCTTGTGAGCGTAGGACATGGACGAGAGAGAGACGAGGTAGAAGATGAGGTGTTTGCCCATCTCGGGGTTGGAGATTGAGACTCCATGGCGGATTGAAAAGGCGTGGACTTGTTTGAGTTTGTTAAGCGATGAAAGGCCGTAGCTTTGTAAGAGAGTTATGCATTTGTCTAACATTGGAAGTAGTGGAAGAAGAACAGAGGTTTCTGAGCTCTGTTTTTCGTGTGGGCATTGTCGTCAATTGACACTAGTATCGAGGTGATTGCATTATCATATAAATAAAGATGCTAACTTTCCAGAACGAAACCCTTATTTTCTCAGTGTCTCTAAGCAAGTTAGACACCCGCCGCTATGTTCTATCTGAAGAAAGATGCATCCTTTATTGATTAATCAATCAGAAGTTTTTTTTGTTACTGATTCATTGTTTGTTAAGCTCTCATGTTTCTCATTGCTCTGTTTTTTTTCTTCCCAGGCTCAAAAAAGTGACATCTGTTCTGTATTTGTTTTGTATCTCTCTCAACCGAACTACTTTCTCTGCTTATGTTGATTGATTCTCACCGTGTATCAGAACTTCACGACCATGAGATTTGGCGTGAGGATTAAACACGGTGACACATAAAACAAATAGTGCATTTTTCTAAACCCATTTGATCATGAAAAGATCAGTTGGTCAAATCATTGCGCTACAATTTCCTTGATCAATATGAGTTTGACATTTTTAGAAAGAGCTTCTGTTAATGACCTACACACCCTCAACTTCTTTCTGTTTGATGATTATTTAGTCAAAGCATTCATGAATGTTGCTCAGGATCCTAAACAGTTTAGGTCTCTTGTATGCTGAATAACCAAGTTTTTTTTCTCTTATTCTCTATGGACAAGCGAAATGAAGAAGACAGTTCAACAGTACCTGGAGGTCTCTTCCGTTTACCCACCTGGCAAAAGCTAACAACTGTTCCAAGAATCACCAGATGATCAAGCGAATGCAATTTGATGGAAGCCAAACCTCGATTATCACATCTCAAGCTAAACATAAAGACCAGCAGATTAAGAGTACAGTGACCTTAGGTTTAATGCCAAAAGATCTTTTTAATTCTTTCTGAGATAACTTGACAACAATGTACAACAAGAAATTGTTATCTTGATTGTGTAAGTGTACAACACGAAATTGTTATCTTGATTGTGTAAGTGTACAATAATTAGCACCAAAGAAGAAAGATACAAAAGAAAGAGGTTTCAAATCTGTAATCCTGTAATCTCCTGACTTGGTGGAATGCTTTTGGTCATCTGAAATTGCAGCATTGGGCTCGTCCTTTCAACAAATTATTCCACAGGCAGATCATCTGACTAGGAGATTGGTAATGTGCTGTGTAATAGTTTAGTGTACAACCGTATTGACAAAATTTCCAACTGTGTGAATACTCCACAGGCTGCATCGTGGTGTTGAATTGCTCCACCCACATTCCCATGCTCACATCTTCCATCTTGAACAGCTGTGACAACAATATCGAAATAGTTTAGCTCAAGGTCAGTTCAGACTTTCTGGAAATGATAAGAAGAAAATGAAGATTAGGGTCAGACCCTAAGCTTTTGTTTCGAATTCTGGGAAACTATATATTTAGCAATGTTGCTTGAAATTATGTATCCTGGTCCATTGGCGTAAGGAGGATAAATGGATTCTGGCCACTCCTGTTACAGTATATAAGAAGACAGTAATTAGCATCATCTAATGCAGCTTCTGGCTTCTGAAAAATACAAGAGAGTATAAAGGCAGCAAAGAACACACAAGTCACTGTACCTCCCATGTAACTGCCCACTTGCCAGTTCTAAGAGGACGATGCCGAAGATTTAGATTACCCATATAGAGAGATTGTTCCAGAGAGATTCCATCGATTTGTTTCAAGATTGATTCTACTCTGACGAATGTGTCATCGTCACATTTCATTATGTATGGAGCTGTCACATTCTGTACCTGAGAAGAGACTATCATTATCAGCCACATGTAGCGTTACTACAATTAAAGAAGCTGTTTATGTACATAGAGAGCAGAAAGTATCTATACCCCAAATTCACAAATAGCAATTGTCTTTAGGACCACTAGCTCGTAGCGATCCATAAAGGGCAGAATCACAATGTCTCCAAAATATTCAGCTTCTTTCTTCAGCATTGCATTAACTTCCTTTCTTGGATGCTACAAAACAGTGATTCTCCATCTCAATGTTCCAATAATGTCTGCCGGATTAAATTTCTCACGATAAGAAAAGTTGGTAAGAACTTACAAGTGCAACAAAGAATCGGGCTACTACATCTGAAGACTTAATCGAAGGATGCTGCATCCATGTCTTTCTCACTGCCATGCGCTCCGAAAAATGCTTAGTTGCAGACAGAACACCGATGAAAAGGCGAAGAGGAGTGCTAGGCAATGGAGGAGCTTTCCACTCTGAAGAAAACTCTATTGTTTGCTGAGGCGAGAGACTAGGATGTGATGTTGCAAGAGAAGTAGCATAAACAGAATGAATATCAACATCTCCTGTTATTGCTAGCCCTGTAGCATCTTCTATGGTGAATCCCTGAGGAAGCCATACACCACAATATATCAGACACAAAGGTATATATATATACATGTAGAATGCTCTCATCTGATTAAAACATACCGGTCGATAAGGGAATGATGTCACATGCCTTCCTCCAATATTTATATGAAAACCGTCAATTCCAGCTCGTAAAGTTAGGACAAAGACTCTGCCTTCCGCAAAAGGGAATGACCAAGTGACTTCTGGTTTCTGTTCACGTCCTATGAACCGTTTGAACCAAGAAGTTGTCTTGGATTCCTTTGAGTCCACCATGTCAGTGTTGTCATTCTTCGTCCACTTCTCACATCTTCTGAATCCATCAACTGGAAATACACACACACTTTGATTGAAGAGAAATGAAATTTAAAGCTTAGATGGAGTGCTTCCAGGTCTTATAGATTTTAAAGTCTCTTACCAAGCATGTCTGCGTCCTTCTTAGATGGAGTCCCATCACATCTTTGAGCAACACCCCACTGCATTCTATAACATGTATTATGTTCAATGACCGGCCTGTGACTCCAATCGCCTTTGATTCTCGGATTCAAATGAAGAATCTTAGGAGGATACTCCCCATCCCCTGTCTTCAGCCCTTGCAACTCAACCATAAACTGTGAAACCAGAACCATTCCATCACCTCTTGTGAATCTCGAACGTTGAGGAACAGATTCTTCATGTGCGTACTGTGGAGTTCCGAGGATTGTAATAGAAGAACCTGCAGCAAGACCACAGGGAAGCAACATGATCCCATTGGCTTTACTCAAGTCATCTCCATTCATTGAGATCTGAGAAGGACATGATGACTCAACCACTCCTTCGTTAACAGAACTCTCTTCAATGTTCTCTACCTTAAACTTATCAACATCTTCCCAAGCTTTGGAACCAAGCATCCAAGCCTCATCAGCCATTTTTTCAAAAGGTGACATGTGCTTAGTTCTATTCCTACGTCTCATGATCTCTCCAGATATTCTACCATACCGAAAAGGAACCTGCTGAACTCGTTTAGACTCATTCTTCTTCTCTCCTGGTGGCACCTTCTGAGTAGTAGAAGCAGGCCCATGTTGACTCTCTTCATCTTCTAGCTTCCTACCCAACATGTCACTACGTAACGACCCACTTAAACTAACATCTTCTCCAGCATCCCTCAATGCCCCATCTAAACCAGTGTCCCCACTCAACATAGCCACCATCTCGATGAAATGTGGGAACTTAAACGCTAAGAAAACCAAGTAAAACCCTGCTGTGGCCAGCAACAAATGTGACAACTTGAACCTCCTGGGACTATACACACCTCTGAAAGACTCGCTTTTTACACGTTTCATCGTTACAAGTGTCAAAACTGAAGAATGGCGTTATCTAAAATGTAGCAAGATTCATAATAACACCTATCAGCAAAGAGAATGGCTTTTAAGACCCTACAAGTAAAGGTTAAAGCTTTGCACGATCTGAAGATTGGTAAGAGTCCACGAAACCGAATCAAATCAACCCAGATGTCTTAATTTGACAGGAAGTCTTTCAAATTATAATAATAATAAAAAACTCTGTTGTCAGAAGAAGAAACAGAGAGAAAGTTACAAACTTTAAAACCCCCGAATGAAGCAAAGCAGAGCAAATCTTGAATCTGATTTTAGCGGTTTTATCTCCTTGAATCTAGGGATGGAAGCGAACTATTACAGAGGAGAATGAAACCCACTAAAAGAGGATGAAGGAGAAATCGAAAGGAAGAACCTTTTTCATTTTTAAATTCAAAAAGTAATTCCAACATTTCTTCTTCTTTTTTTCTTCTTACCTAACATTTATTTGAGTATTTTTAGTAGATTTCAGTTTGAAAACAGAAAAATATTTCAAATGGTTAGAATCTAAAGTCATTAATTTATCCGTAATTATTTCGAACAAAAATGAATGTATAAATCAAGCAAAAAGTTAATTTTACCGTTTTCAATAGTGAGAATTTGGCTATGGATTGAATTATATTTTTCTTGGTAGCTATAAATGCAATTTCTCTTTTTAATATGAATTTCGATTTTTATTTGATTCTATAATAAAATGGGATTGTGAATAAAATAAGAAATTAAATAATTATCACTAAACCTCATTCTACTTTATATATATTTAGCATAAAATGGAAACATTGATAAGCTTAATTTTTTGACATCACATTATATACGGCTAAGGATTTATGGACCATATTTCTCCAAATGGTGAGAGGACTTAAACACACGGTTGTTTATGATTTAGCTGTTGTTCTTGTTCATGTGCTCAGTGCCCGAATATCCACTGCTTCCACTGATTCTAGAGCATTAATATGATTCATGTTCATAGTGTTGTTTTGAAGCTCTGGTTCCACTTATTATGATACTCTAGTTTGCGGTAACCGTTATGACCAGAGTTCACAACAAGAAGTCCACCAATTGATTGGTTAGTCAAAGGAGTACCAATCAGATCACTGAATCCAACGTCATAATTATCTTATTGAAGCGATCCATCATGGAATTCTGAGCGATCTATTGGTGGAAACCTTCGAAATGGAAGCACCATATAGCCATGAATTTCAGGCAAAGAACCAAAACTGGTTCCCAACAGCAATACTAGCTGAACCACCATAAGAGACAACAAACTCATTGTTTTTTTTTTTAACATGTAAGGAAGGTTGGTGATCATTAATTTGTTGGATTTCAACAGACGGTTGATCTCTCTTTGTACGCTTGGTTTTACGGCCATTTCCACCAATTGGTATGTTCCAGTATAGGCGACAGTTCTTGCATTTGTAACGCTGTTGAGACACACTATAGTTGTTGTAGTAACTAAACTTGGTGGAAGCTTCTCTTCATTCACTTGATTGTGCCCTTTCACGCAAACATTCAAGTTCTTCATTTCTTTAAAAGCTACCAATTAGTTTTCTTTTTGTTGTTATATATAGTTTTGTTTGTGTTATGAGAGTGTCTTATAAAGGCTCTTGGGAGCTGGAAATTGAAGAAGAGTTAAGTTTCGGATTGTATAAGAGTAAGACTATGAGCAAAACGTGTCAAAGATTTTGCACTAATAAATTCAGGAGATCTATCTACACACCATAAACCTTAGGCTAAGCTTAATAAAAAAAACAAGACTCTTTAACTCTTAACTACTGGATGTTTGTTCAAGCAACTATAAATTTAATTTGAATACTAGGATAATTTAGATATTCGAATATGTAGGACTATACAGTATTATCATTATCCAACAGCAAATCGTAAATCAAGAAAAGCATATATAATATGTTTGTGTGTAAACATTTTTACAAAATAATATCCTTATTGAAATTTGGTTTTGAAATTTATAATATGTAATACAACGCTGAGCATGAAGAGATACAATCGAAGTATCTGGACCTTTTAGAGATAATAACAAAAAGATCCGAATCTTAAGCAAATTATATGAAGAACCGGGTACACACAAAAATATCGACCCGATCTCAATACAAAATATACTTCGAGACTATATAAGATCTTAGTTCTCGAAGACAGAAAAAGAACTTCGAACGTCAACGTGAAAACTCTTAGAAGTAGATCCAAAACTGGAAACCGAAGTAGAGGAAGAAGAATAAGCATGATGATGATGATGAGATGATGCCATCTATTTAGACATCATTGTCATCATCATCCCACCACTAAAACCATCTTCTTTATACTCTTCTTCTTTGATTGTATCTAGCTTCTGCTTCGCTGCTCGATGTCTCCTCATCACCGTCACGAATTGAGGCGGGGCAACTTCTGATACAAACCTTGCAAGACGTGAAGTAGCCATTTATCTTGTTTGGAATCAGTATGTAGCAAGAATGTTGTGTAACTTAATCAAAGAAATGACTGAGATCTCTTGGTTTGGTTGTGGAGTGCTTGAGATATGAAGCTCCTATATACTCCCTCTGTTTCAAAATAAGTGTCACTCTAAGCTCGTGCACACGGATTAAGGAAATAATTAATTTTGCATATTTTCTATATAAAAACACAATTACCCATACACCTAACAATATTTCAACCAATAGAAAAATAAATTACATAATAAAGTTAATAAATTTTGCATTGAAAACCGAAAACGACACTTATTTTGTGACGAAAAATTTTCTCTACAACGACACTTATTATGAAACGGAGGGAGTATAAGTCAGTGATTGTGTGTAATTGCCCACGTCCAAGGGTATTACTTTTGACGTTTTGTGCCGTCATTAGCTTTTGTTATTAAATGCATGGACACGTGTATTGTACGTCTTAATTGATTTTGTCACGAGAATTTTGAGTTTACGTTTCAATACTTTTAAGAACTTTAAAGTTAATACTCATGGATTTTTTTATAACCTCTTCTTGAAGTTGAACAAATTGTTTATAAGTGCTTAATCACGAATAACATGCAACAGAACAATAACAAGTAAGAAAATCGAATTTAGAGAGTAAATAGTGATTCATTTACCAAGTTTTGAACACCATAGCCCATAGGGGATAAGTAATGATGTTAAAGAAAAAATAAAACGTTGACAAAATAAATAAATAATATAGTAAAATTAAATAAATAAGAGATAATGTTCACGCGTCAAATTAACTGTGGAAGACAAGTCATCTCTATCTCTGTCGGAATCGATGACAGACAAAACGAGGCTTTTCCGCGTCTGAACTTGTGGTAAACTGTAAGCGGTCGTATCCACGTGTCGGTCAGCAAAATCTGGACGTCTTCTCTATGTCCCTGTTATAAATACTGTTTGATTTTCTTGAGTATCATCAAGATTTTTTTTCCATATTTTTGTCAACATTAAAGTTTTTATTTAAGTTTTTTCTTTTTTAAAAAAATCATATAAAGTGGCCTTTTGGCTCGACGAAGTCTGAGAGAACAACTTTCTTCATCCATTTCGTCTATTTATGTTATTTTTATATTTATGTTATAATATTTATTTACCAACACAAAATTGAGCAAGGCAAAAAAAAATTATGTTATGTGAGTTCTTAACGATCTACTCATGCCGACAAAAATCCATATACTCGTGATTACATTAACCAACATAATTAATATGGCCATACACATCTCTACCAATTAAAATTTTAAAGATATGACATATCACTAATTTTAGACACATTACCTAGATAAGACTACAATGTGGAAAAAGTGAATACTGTATGTATTATATACTTTTTATGATATTGATTCTTCTTCACTTAAAGAGAAAACACACAATTTACTTGTGCTTACCTATTTACTTTTGTTGACTTCTAGATGTATATTTAAATTTATTTGTAAATTGACTTTTTTATTGGACAAAAATTTGACTTTTTCAACCCCTATTTTATACTATTGAATAAGGTATTATTATGGAGTTTCAGATATTAACCATACTTTGAATTATGGTTATCTTTATTGTCATATAGGTAACAGAAGACATGATATGTCAAGGATAACATAACTTCAATCTCAACGAAGTCATTAGAGAAAGAACAAAAACTGAAACTAAAATGTATATGGAAATTAAATTATGTATCTGCAAAAGGTACTTTTATAGTTGTAAGCGTATCAAAAAGTTTTAGGCATGCAAGAGTTTCACTTATATTATTTCGAGATTACATGTCGATTTGTTAATCAAAACAGAATTATACGTACATGTCGATTTTTAATGGATGTATTTTGCTTATACACTCTAAATTTTGCATGGTAGGCTTAGTAGCTAAAGATCCTGAAAAAGAGTTTGCGATTGGGCCAATATCCCAATTATCAAGTTACTAGCAGAAAAACGCATTGGCAATTTGGCGTATGATCAAGACTTGGGAGGCAGATTGCAAAATATCGACTAGATAGTATAAAAAGATCAGACAAACATCTTATGTCTGAATCTTTTTGAAAACAATGCAAACTTTCAGTACTAAGAAGAAAACAACCAACAGAAAATATTAAAAGGGAGAAAATACAAAAAAACTGACACATTATTAGCTTAAGGAAAAAGAAAAAAACGGGTATAACGGTTGATATTTGAAGGTCCAAATGATACGACGGGACCTAAACACGCACTTGTTTCTGCTTCATTAGTGCTTAGAGATATGTCCCTTGCTTCCACTCGTGCTGGCATTATGATCCATGTTCCACATGTTTGGGGCCTCTTGATCAGAGCTCACAACAACAGACCCACCAGCTATTTGGTTTACCATAGGATTACCAATCAAATCACTATATCCAACGTTGTAAGAACCTTGTCCGAATAATACATCAGAGATATGCGAGGCCTCCATTGGTGGAAAATTTCCAAATGGAGGCACATTTGTGACCATATTACCATGAAACTCAAGCAAAGAACCGAAATGGTTCCCACGAACAGCAGCAGCAGCAGCAGAAGATCCAACAAACCCGTTGGTCTCTTGATCATGTAAGAAAGGTTGGTGGTGATTAAACTGATGGTTCTCAACAGAAACCACCTGAGATATAGAAGGCTGATCAGTCATTGTACGCTTGATTTTTCGGCCACTTCCACCAATCGGTACGTTCCTTAGAGTCCCACCATGAGTCCAGTACCTACGACAGTTCTTGCACTTATAGCGTGGTTGAGACACGCTATAGTTGTTGTAGTAACAGAACTTGGTATTGTCTGAGTTACACCTTGGACATACTCGCGCTGGAGGCTTCTCTTCATTCAATTGATTGTCATCTCTCACAAAAAGACCAGAGTAGTCCATATCTCTCTAATACAAGTCTTAAATTTCTATGATAATGTTGTTGTTGGTATATTTTTTGGTGTTGTGGGGGTGTCTACTTATATAGGGTATTAGGGCGTGAAAATTGAAGACGAGATACGTTTCGGTTTTAGAAGAGTGAGATTATGAGTTGTGTAATACAGTAATAATATCAGAAGATCTGTATACACACATCATAAACCTTAGGGTGCTTAGTTGAAAAACAAGGCTCTCTTGCTCTTAACTCTTGTCCTTATATGATTAATGGACAAGAAGATGTGGCTAAATGAGTTAAACAAAATCTGGAGACATTAAGTGGAGTAATGACAATTTAAGACGGAACTATTAGCATAAACGGCAAGTATCAAATATTGTACGAGGAATAGTATGTGAAATATATATGAAGTACAAACAACAATACTTACGTATTTTTTAAGTGGTTTTTTACATATTTTCTTTTATGTCTTCTCCAAATAACTATAACCACTTCATTTATTTTCTTTTCCAAATAATCCTACAACATTTATTACAAAAATACAAAACAATAATTATCTGGTTAATTTTTTTATATTTAGTTTTTCACTTTTCCTAACGATTTTATTAATTTTCTTTAACATAATAATCGATAGAATTTATTTTATAAGTTAAACAATACAATTCGACGGGTTTGTGAAATTGTCCATTCGGAACAAAAATTTAAAACAATTAAAATATTTTTTCTTACAAAATTTTTAATCATGTGCAATAAGGTATCCGTTTGGATATGGATCATTTCTTTCAAATACTGGGTTATGGGATTTCAAATTAGACTTCATTTATGTATTCACAAGAATTAAAAAAATATTCCAATAACTGATATATAATTACTTATATGGTAACATATCTAAAATATATAACTCTAATAATTAAAAGTAAATATTAATTTTATTAAAAAAATAAAAAATTAATATTCACGCGGACGCACGGATCAAGTTCTAGTCTATACTTATAAGAGGGAAATTTTGAAGCTCCAGAGAGCGTCCACATTCGTAGAATTTCTCTTAGGAAAGAAACACGTGGCATCATTAATATTATTACCTTATTATGTTTAGTTTTACATTTTCGAAATATTGATATAATGTATAGTTTCACATTAATTTTAATATTACTGATAAATATAATTACGAAAATAATAAATAAAATGTAGATATACAACATTGTAAATGGAAATATTATATTAAACATATGTAAGATTACCATGATATATATAATTTTGAAAATAAAATAATATGTAAATATAAATTAGAAAGAAATACTACATTAAACAATGTAAGATCACAATTTTACATTTTTAAAAATAATCCAAAATATTGATAATGTTATTACCTTATTATGTTTAGTTTTAAATTTTGAAATATTGATATAATGTATAGTTTTACATTTTAATATATAATATAATAATTATATATAATAATAATAAGAAAATACACAATTTAAAAAATAGAAAAGTACATTAATCATTAAACATCTATCTTAAATGCAAAATATAGATATTATTAAGTGAATATAGAATATACAAAATAATAATATATAAGCAAATACACAATTAAAAAATGAAAAATACATTAATCATTAAACATATATCTTAAAGGTAAAATATAGATATTAATTAAATATCTAATATTTATATATTTATTTAATATCTCTTATATATTAAAAAGAAGCATTGTAATAAATGCGTTCACACTTTAAAGAACATAAGGACACATGAGCTTCACAGTGATTTGAAAATGAAAATACTGACGTGTCATGTGTAGAGAGTTTCTCAGACAAATTCTACATAAATACGTTCATACTATAAATTTTCTGATTTTTTTCGATATAAAACTCACATACAAGATTCTAATAAAAATAACACTATCAAGATTTTTCGGCTCGAATCAAAATGCATAATTATATATATTATTTTATTCTTTACGGATAGAGCTGGAGTCTGGACAAAATATTTATAAATTTTTGCTTTCCATTTTGATTTGAACCGAAATATCTTGATATTCTTAATCCTAGAAGCAAAACAAATACTAAAATGTAATATTAGTAAACAACAAAGAAAATAAAAAATATTAATATTTTTAGGAACATATATCTGATTAGATCTGTTATATGCATATATATATATACACATATATTTAAAGAATATATATATAATATTTTTTATATAAGTATTACAATCTTGATATGTATTTATTATATTAGGTATTACAATTCAATATTTTAAATAATGTTCTATTTTGTAATAAATATTATTATTTTGTATTATCTTTTAGATTTTTAGTTTATTTTAAGAAGTTTTATTTTATTACAGATCAAATCGGTATCCGAGACAGTGAATACCCATGTGCCTACGAATCGAATCGACGCGGATACCTTCAAATACCCGGATATTTGATTCATGTCCACTCCTATTTACGGATACCATTTGGTTTTATTTATATGAAAAAAACTTCATTATGTCTAGGTTTATTTTATTTTTAATTAGTCTTATTTTAAGAATTTTATTTCTCATGTGTTATTTTCAGTAAAAATATCATTTAATATTAATTAACAGTATCTTTATATATTTATCAACTACTTTTATATAATGTTTACATACGCATGTGCACATTAACTGATGTGTGTACATATATAATTAAATATTCACCATTTTTTTAAATATTTTTTCACTATCGACCAAATTGCAATAAAATAATTTGTCTTACTAATTTTTTTTTGTTTTTTTTAACTATTATCCATTTATAAACTACAACGTAAAATCATTGATTTGACATTAAAATCATTATCACCGGAAGAACCAAAAACATCAATCATTTTATCCCGAACAAACCAAAATAAATATTGATTTAGAAGGAGTTCTATATTTTAGGAGATTAAAAAGAAAAAAAAATCTAAAACCGAAACGATATCCATATTAAACAATATTTCTTTATTAAAAAAACGAAACTAATAATCACATTCCGCGCAAGACACATATTATTACCTAGTCTATATATAAAAAGAAGCATTTGATATTAATGTGTTCACATAATGTTTGCCACGTGGCAGTTTCACAACGATTTGAGAATGATTATGCTGAATTGTCACATATCGAAAGTTTTTTTAGCTAAATTCTACATAAATATGTTTACACTATGTACTACTTTACGTTTTTTCAATATAAAACTCATATACAAAGTTCCACGGATTATACAAAGATTTTATATATAAAGATAATTTGTAAAAAAAATACTTCATTGTCTAACTCTATTTTATTTTATTTTATTTTTACTTAATTTTATTTTAAATTTTTATCTTTCATATGTTATTGTGAATAAAAATATATTTCTATGTTAATTAACGGTATACTTATATATTTATCAACCATCTTTATATATTTTTATATATGTATATATATAAAAGTATATAAAGGTGAAAATTATTTAGTTTCGACACGTCTTATATGTTATGAACTCATCCAGTCATCCTCCTTTCAGTCTTTCTCAGATTGTTTTTTTCTGCCTTTCTGGTTAGATCTTCCGTGCCTTTTTCGATATCTAGCAAGAATATGAATAACCTAGCATATCGAATAACCCTTGTCCTTGAAATGCTCAGCTCAGCTTCTTGCGGATTACAGGATTCGCTTTGGAGTCTGGAGTGTACCTTTTTAAAACATCTTTTCTTGAGTGATTGTAACGTAACTTGTATATTAGACATTTTTAAAAACGGAGTATAGACTAAAACAGAGCTTAGGATGGCTTTTGAAGCCTGACGGCAAACTGATGCGGCTTGGAACTCAGCTCAACAAATTGCAGGCTTAGGATGGCTTTTGAAGCCTGACGGCGAAACAGTACCTTCGGGATGTATCTCCACTTTCGTAGGCTCTGTTTTGGTTGCTGAAGGCATGGCCCTCCGTGCAGCTCTCCAACAGTGCAAAGAAAAAGGGTTAACAAGACTAAGATGTGAATCTGACTCCACTCAACTCATCAAGGCGCTAACTTCTTCAGCGATGAACATGGAACTGTATGGTATCGTGTCAGATATCTTGAGCTTAGCTCTGTCTTTTGATGTTATTTCTTTCCACTGGATTTCCAGGGAAATGAATAGAGAGGCTGATTTAATTGCCAAGCAGATGTTATCTGTACAGGCTTTAGCCTTAAACTCTGTTACCTAACGTTTTAATGAGTAATGAATGTTGTGTTTCAAAAAAAAAAAAGACTAAAACAGAGCATACATAGGTTATGAAACACACAACGATCTGGTTATGAATTAATTATTTATTATAAAAAGACCGGACAAGTAACTTATGTCTGAATCTTTAAGGAGACAAAGATTCAAACTTTTACAACTTAAATAAAAAAGACCCAACAGAGCTAAAAGAAACAAGAAGACCCAACAGAAACCATAGACGAAATATTAAAACATTATTAGCATAATAAAAAGAGAAAACCGGTAAAACGGTTATAATTCAAGGACCACGCTTCTCCAAATGAAAAGAGGACCCAAACATAAACTTGTTTCTGTCTTTGTTGTTGTTGATCATGTAATCAGTGCTTGGATATCCTCTGATTCCACTAGTGCTGGCATTATGGTTCACATTCATGGTGTTGTTGAAGCTCTGGTTTGGATTGTTTGGATCCTCATGATTCACAAGGTAATTGTTGTAATTATAGACATGTCCACAAAATGGTTGGTTCATCAAAGGATTACCAACCCAATCATTGAAGCCAGCACCGTAATTACCTTGGTTAAGAGATCCACCAAAGCGATCCATTGGTGGATAACTTCGAGTTAGAGGCACCATATCACCATGAGTTTCAGGCAAAGAACTGAAGCGGTTCCCAACAACAGCAGAAGAAGAACCACCAAAAGTTCCAAGAGACTCGTTTGTTTCCTGAGCATGTGAGAAAGGCTGATGATTATTAACCTGTTGGATGACAGAAACCACCTGAGGAAAAAGCGGTTCATCTATCCTTTTAGGCTTGGTTTTGTGGGCCTTTCCACCAACTGGTACGTCCCTTAAAACTCCACCATGAGTCCAAAACCGGCGACAGCCCCTGCAGTTGTAGCGAGGTTGAGACACGCTGTAGTTGTTGTAGAAACAGAACTTGGTGTTGTCTGAGCTACACCTTGGACACACTCGTGGTGGAGGCCTCTCTTCATTCAAGTTTTCCATTTCTCTCAAGAGCTTTTGTTTTGTTTTGGTGGTGTTGTTGTAATGCTCTTTGGTGTTGTAGAGGGGTTCTTATATAGTTTTTTTGGGGTGGAAGTTGAAGAAGAGATACATTTTGTTTTTAGAAGAATGAGATTATGAGCAAAACATCAGAGATTGTGTATTAATTAAATCTGAAGATCATATCATAATACAATAAACCTTAGGCTAAGCTTAGCCAAAACCAGGGCTCTCTTACTCTTAACTCTTGGATATATATGAAAATTAAAGAATAATGAAGAAATTATTTAATGAGTTAAGTCAAAACATAAAAAAATATCTAGGGAGTATAATGCTAGTTAAAGAAAAAAAAATCTTAGATTATAAATGTTTATTGTGAAAGAGAATATGTGCGAGCGCGTAAGTTCACGCGCTTTCTCATTGGCTTACGCGCTTTCTCATTGGTGAGGAAGATAATTTTCTTTTATAGGAAAATCTTCACAAGATTTTTCATCTTTAAATAGATAAAAACATTGAAATGCTTTAGTTATGCAAAAAAAAAAACTAACTAAGCATTAATATGGATCACTATTTTTAAAATCGACAAAACACTTTCGATAATTTACTTTACTAGGGAATTGTTAGTTATTTATTAACAATTTATATGTGATTTATTATGAGAGAAAATACAATGTGTGTGAATATGTGGGTTTAAATGTGCTTGGCGCATCATAAGAATTTGTTAGTTCAAAGAATGTTTAGGCATTTTTCATATATAAAGATATATCTTGTGAGAATAGACTGCAATGCCAAGATGCAAGAAGGTGTATGTGTTATAAACTAGTTTATAGCATAAAGTATATGTACAGAATTGACCATATACGAAATGGATACAATAGTGAGAACTGAAAGGCCTAGGTAGCGAGCAATAATGAGTATCAAGAAGGCAAGAGACTCATAACGATAATGTTTCTATATCGAGTAATCTAGTTTTCAAGAACGACTAACTAAACACGTTATCAAGTAAACCTCTCTTCAAAACCACAAAGCACCTCCATGTATCACTGTTTGAGAGATGTAACAAATGTTCCTCTATGATAAATCTCAAAGAGTGTTGAAATAAGCGGGAAATATAGATGCTCATTACTCACAAGTGTTATGCTAAAAACGTAGTCAGTTATTATTTCAGAAGGTTAATTCGCGCCACAATGTAATGATTATGATTTTATTCAAATTAAATTAAGATGGCTTGCAAACTAATAACAGCTAAATTGAGAAGTCAAAATCCTACAGAGATTTATATTATTAAAAAAAAAACAGTCAAGTAGCTTATGTCTGATCCTTTAAGGAAACAAAGATGCAAACTTTCAGAACTTATTTTACAATAAAAGGAGCCAACAGAAGACATAAACAAAACACTGAAACATTATTATCTTAAAAAAAAAAGGAGAAAACGGGTGAAATTATTATCATTCAAGGACCATCCTTGTCCAACTGATAAGAGGTGCTAAAATCACACTTGTTGATGATGATGTGATCAGTGTCTGGATATCCCCTACTTCCAGTAGTGCTGCCATTATGATTCATGTTCATGCTGTTGTTGAAGCTCTGGTTTCGATTGTTTGGATCCTCTTGCTTCATGCGGTAACTGTTATAGTTATCAACATGTCCACCAGTTGATTGGTTCATCAAAGGATTACCAACCAAATTATTGAATCCAACACCGCAAAAACCTTTGTTAAACGGTCCATCAAAGAGATCAAAGCGATCCATTGGTGGAATACTTCGAATTGGAGGCACCATATCACCATGAGTTTCATGCAAAGAACTAAAAGGGTTCCTAACAACAGCAGAAGAAAAAGAAGAACCACCAAAAGTTGCAAGAAATTCGTTTGTTTCTTGAGCATGTAAGGAAGGTTGGTGATGATTAACCTGTTGGGTAACAGAAACCACCTGAGAAACAGATGCCTGATCTATACTTGTACGCTTGATTTTACGGGCCCTTCCACCAATTGGTATGTCCCTTAAAGCTCCACCATGAGTCCAGAATCTGCGACAGTTCTTGCAGTTGTAGCGAGGTTGAGACACGCTGTAGTTGTTGTAGAAACAGAACTTGGTGTTGTCTGAGCTACACCTTGGACACACTCGTGGTGGAGGCTTCTCTTTGACTTGGTGATTTCCTATAACAAAAACATTCGAGTCATCCATTTCTTTCAAAAGTTCTACTTGGGTTTTGTTATTGTTCTTATGATCTTTGGTGTTGTGGAGGGGTTTCTTATATATATATATATATATGCTTGGGGCGTTGATATTGAAGAAGAGATACATTTGGTTTTAAAAGATTGAGATTATGAGCAAAAACGTGTCAAAATAAAATCTCAAAATCTATCTTCACACAATAAACTAAGGCTAAACTTAGTCAAAAAACTAGGTTCTCTTACTCTTAACTCTTGGATGTTAATGGAAATTAGAGTTAATATATGATTAAATGTGTTAAGTCAAAACAAAACAAAACAAAAAGAATCTAGGGGGCATTGAGAGCATAATGCATGTTAAAGGCAAAGCAAACATAACTTCTAAGTGTTTATTATGAAAGAGAGTGCGCGTGTGCGCGCATTCTCATTGGAGTGCGCGTGTGCGCGCATTCTCATTGGTGAGGAAGATAATTTTTCCAAAGGAAAATCTTCACAAAATTTGTTATCTTTAAATAGATAAAAACGTTGAAGTGTTTTAGTTGAAAATAATATCAAATATGTAGAAAAAGTAGTCAAATATTAATATGAAATCCTTATTTTTTGAAATCGACAAAACACTTAGATAATTTATTTTATTAGTGATTTATTAAGAGATCGGACTTAATTAATAATTTTGTTGTCATTTATTAAGAGAGAAAATACAATGTGTGTGAGTATGTGGCTTCATACATGTTTTCACTGGCGCATTATAAGAATTTGTTGATATAAAGATATGTTTAAGAGTTTTTCTTATATAAAATGGACACATTTTGTGAGAATGCGGCAATGCCACAAAAGTGTGTGAGAAACAAAATTATTAATATTTAAATATTCGCTTTGTGCTCATTTCTATTTGTATCCGGTTCGATCCGTAAAAATAAAAATAAAAATAAAACATAAAATAATTTATTTTGCACAAAAATAAAAAAGTTATTTACTTTTTAAAATTATAATAACTAATATAATAAATTTAGCAAAAAAAAAATTATAAGACTTAGATAAAATATAATATTTATATAACTTATATATATATATTAATAATTCTTTAAATATATGTATATATATGCATATAACAGATCGGATCGCATATTCATTTTCAATTTTTTTAATATTTGTGATTTATTTCGTGTTTCACGGATATTTCATTTTAGTATTTGTTTTGATTCATAGAGTTAAGAATATTCATACTTTTCTATTCAAATTGAAACGGATAACGAATCGAATCAAAATTTATTTTGCTCACATAAATATCAAGAAAGCAATAGAAATTAGCGGTCATGTAAAATGGATTTTTATAGTAATTCGTTTTAAGAAGGGAAGAAAGCGGGAGACACTAATTTATAAAATAAAATCTCTGTATAGAATTCATCATAAATGGATACAAATGGTGAGAATAAAGGGCTAAGCAGGCATAGTGACTAACAAAAAGGTTTCTATATCCAGTAATATATATTTTTCACGACCAACAAACTAAACACGTAATCAAGTAATATATTTCCAGACCCACAAAGCACCTCCACATATCACTCTTTGAGGGATGTAAGAACTGTTCCTCTATAGTCTAATAGTCATGATATATCTCAAAGAATGTTAAAGGAAGAGGACAAGCATATACTTAAAAGTCTACATTATTTGAAAAGGTTCACACCAAAATATAATGATGTTAATTCTTTCATTCAAATTAAAGTAATATTGTTTGCAAACTAAAATATTAATCTCTTAATTCATTTTAGATACGTGTTATTAGATACTAAGTAAAACCAATCATAATAAAACGTGTGTCATGAGATATTAAAGTGGTTCTTAAAAAGTCTCAAATCATATAAATTTCATTTTTCCCTCTTATCATTTTTGATTTGTTTAATGATGAAATGCTACTAATGGTGATAAACTTTGCTCTCATTTAGAGCTCAAATGAAAAGTCAGAAAGTAGAAACGGTCAACAAACTTGGACAGCAAGTAAAAACATATTGTGGAAACATCGAACTTCATTCATTAGAGCTCTATGGAGATTTGAGATTGACAGAGGAACTGCCTAATAAAATAATTAAAAAAAAACCATAGATTTATCTTTATTTATATACCAATGCATCTTAACATACATAAGATGAAGCGTGGCTTAAAAACAAGAGAATGAGCTGAAAATAGAGAAATACATAGAGATTAAAAAAAAACATTTGGACAACGAAACACACATATAGATCCGATCTGATCAGTTAAATGTTATGAACTCATCCTCCTTTCGGTCCTTCTCTGCTTTTTTCTCCGCCTTTTTGGTTAAATCTTCCACTCCTTTATCCATATCAGCCCGTGCCTTATCTGCATCCTCCTCGGGACCAACCACAGCTTCAGTGGCAGTCCTCGCAGCATTCTTTGTAGTCTCCCAAGCTCCTTTCACCGTCTCCTTCGTCTTCTCTCCAAGCTCCTCAGCCTTACCCTTTACGGTCTCCTTAATCCCTTCTGCTTTCTCCTTAGCTCTTTCTTTTGTATCTTCTGCTTTATCTGCTGCCTTATAGGCTCCTTCGTTAACCTTGTCCTTAGTCCGTTCAGCGTATTCTTTAGCCTTCTCCTTTGCATCATAAGCTGTGTCTTCAGCCTGCTCTTTGGTCTCGTAAGCTTTATCAGCAGCTTTGCTCGCTCCTTCGTTAGCTTTGTCTTTAGCTGCTTGTGCGTAGTTTTCTCCAGTATCCTCCCTCCATTTATTAGAACCGTAAGTTGAATCTGCCCTCGTCGGATCTCTTCCCTGGAAAACACACACACACACACATGAACTTCAAATTCTAGAAAGTATAATTTTTAAACTAGGGTTTAATAACTTGTACAACACGTTAAACTCAAAACCACAGACTAAAGTTCATACCTCTGAATGGCTAACAGAGGAGGCGAAGCAGACGCGAGAGACTCTCTGAGCCGAAGCAGTCAGAGTTGCGGGAGATCTTACAATAGGGAAAGCCTTTGATAAGCCGAAGAGAGTGGCTCTGGTTAGTTGCATGGACGCCATTTTCATCAAATCAAACAAAAAAAAGAAAAGTTCTCTTACAATTCGTATATTTGAGATTCGTTTGCTATGAAGAATTACAATATCAATCGAGATGCGTTTTCTACTCTTTTTGCAGTGGATATTTAAGAGGTCGGTTGTCTAATACGTTGCAGCTTATGGATCCGACAGCAGAAGCTGGCAACCTAGGTATGTGACACGTGTTGAAGTGATGACACGTGCGTTGAAGTGAACAGTTTGGCCTCTTCAACGATTAGTTGATCGCCGCAACGAACGGAACGTTTTGGAGAAATGTTAATATTATCTACTTTGGAAAATAATTCATATTAACCGTATGAATTGGATGGTAATGAAATGTCCACATGTACACTGTAGTAAAAGTGGAAATATGCTTATGTGTTCCAACAGGTCAAACGTATTAACTGTATTAGTAACGTTGACGTAACAAGTTGTGTTGTTTATCTTGTTATGTTAGTTGCATTTTACCATCGGTGCAAAGCAGTACGTTTTATATTTATGAGATCAAATGATTCGGGAGTTAATTAATCTATCTACTACTATGTAAATGCATACTAGTTATTGTCCATCTAATAATATATACTTTACTATGGACTTTGATTTGTATTTTGTAACACATATTAGAGATTAGGTTACACATGAGAAGTAGAAAAAAAAATCTTAAATAACATATAAGAATTATGTCAATTAACTTATCTTAAATTACAAATCAATCTTATTTTATATGACACTAGAGTCTGATCATTATCAATCCAGTCTAAAGCTGCTTATAAATACTAATCTGAATTGGCTGATCAACTTGCCTCATTCGATCTGTAGGTCCATTCATTTTTTACTTAAAATTTCGACTTGTTTATCCCGTAAAAAATAAACTAATATACATATATGTCCTACTTAATTTTGCAAATAATCTCTGACTCTCAAAAATAAGATTATAACTAAAAACTAGTTATTTTATTTCATTTTCTAAGAAAATAATATATTTAATATATTTATAAAGACGATTTTCTATTATTTTGTAAAAATTTAATTATTTTTACTGATTGAAAAATACTCACATCCACAATTCTATTCTTTCAAATCATTCGACTCGCATTCACCACGCTGCAGATCAAACATGGATGGCATGACTCACAATGATTCAAATTCCCAGACCTAATAAATACTTGTTATATGTTCAAAAAATCATTAGCTCGAATAAACATATTAGACCATGTGCAATGGGGAATCCTTAGGGGGAGTCCTTAGAAAAATATTAATTTTATAATCACTGGGTCCCATGAATAGTTAAGGATTTTATCCTAAAAATCCTTATGTAAGGATCAATCCTTACACTATTCATGGGCTCCACTGCACACGTGGCGGTCCGTGAGTGGTCAGTTTATTTTTTTTTAAAGAAAAAATCTGAAATATCCTTATATAATCTGAAATACCCTTTTTATTTTTTTCCTAAGGACTCCCCTAAGGATTCCCCATTGCACATACTCTTAGAAACAAAATACACATCAAAAACTTGAAAAGATCTTAAAATATATATAAAGGAGATATATCAGTTCACTTATCATCAAGTGATTTTAGTTTACAAACATATCTATTTTAACAACACACATTCCAACTTGGTCTAATGAGAACTGTAAACATGACATAACTCTTTTCAGAAACAAGAAAGTAATCACGAAATAAAACCCTAGGCATGTGCTTGGAGACTTGGAGTCTACATGCATGCATGGCTGTATAAATAAATCCACAGACAGATGAAGAAAACCTCACGCACCATACTGGAATTATTGAATTTAAATGAGCATTGTTACCTCTAAAATGAAGCATCATGCAACTTGAGAAAGTAATGAAGATGTATCTATCATCTCAACTAGGGGAGGACGAGGCACCGGTTCCATCCACCGTGGGAGCACGGATTGAAATAACCGGTTTACAACGGTATAGTCCCAATCTGATGGTCTTAAATTATCCATATATTCCTCAAAACAAGACTGATTCATGTAAAAATCTCCATTAGATTCTCTAGCTGGATCGATGAGTGTTTCCGTCCCCAAGTTACATGCTACCAGATGACGACGATGACTCTGTTGGTAGCATAGATAGACAATATCACTATCAAATGGATGCATCGCTATGGGTACAAAACCACAGAGACTATTAATCTCATACAAGAGTTGCCAAGATTTATCGTTGTAATTCAATCTCCAAACCTTCAAAACAGTTCTTCTCTCTTGTTCTAATGATTTCATATACATGATGAACCCTCCGGATGTGGTCAAGACACCGTTGTTGTTGTTGTTGCTGCTGTGATTGGAATTCTCCGGTAAATGTACAACCAGGAAGTGATCAGACTCAGAATAGAAATCGTGAGCTACTACTACTCCAAGTCCATTGATACAGTAAATAGTGCCATTTAGATTCTTAGCAACACGATTGCTTACGATTAGATGAGGGCAGTGAAGAATCTTGGAAGTCCAAATCCCTGTCTCAGAGGAATACACAAACACATTCAAGGTCCACGAGTGATTAAAACTCTCAAATACCACCGTAGCTACCCTAACCACTTTAAAACTCAAAACGACGCCGTCCTCGTCCACGCGAGTCACCAGAGCAAGAACAATAGAGTAATCAGGTGGAGGCTGAGGGATTTTGACCCACTGTTGTAAAACTGGATTGCCCACATAGGAGCAACCGTCATGTCTTTCAATCAAAACCAATTCATTGGAAGAAGCCTTAAAGTCATAACCAAGAGGCAGTGAGATGAACGAACCTAGGGACTTTGGAAGATCCCAAGTCTTGCATCCATGGAACCCTATCAGTTCTTTTCCTCCGGGTGAGATTAGCGACCAAGAGGAAGATAAGTCCTTATGTAGAGACACAAAGAGACGTCTGAAATACACAGATTCGAGTGTTGCTTTCAGTGTTTTGCTAACGGATTTGAATCTAGAGATGCTTCTTAAGGGTAACCTCGCTAGAATCTCTGTCAGTATCGCCTCTGGGAGGTGATGCATGGTGCTTGTTGCTGAACCCATTGGATGTTTTCGATTAGGGTTTTCCCGAGTTCTCTTTTTTTTATAGGTTAGTTAAATGATTTTTTTTATGAGCAATAAAAAGAGCGACAAGCCCCGAATCAGCCAATAAACAAAATAAAATGAAAATTCTCTTGGATTTAGTTTTTTTTTGTCACTGTGTTGGATTTAGTTTATTTTCACAAAAAAATATTTTAAAAAGAAAGTAGCCAAATTTCTTTTTATTAAAAAATAAATATAATTTTATATCTTTAAAGTTAACTAATCATTTTTTTGTTTTAACTTAAGGAATGGGGTTTAAAATTAAAAAATAGAAAATATTAAAAATCTAAAAATAAAATTTGAAAATAGTCTTAAAAGCATTTTCGAATTTCAAACAAAAAAATTTGAAAAATTAATTTGAAAAAAATTGAATTTGAAAACATATAATTCAAAGTTATATAAAATACAATTTTATTATCAAATATAATTTTATTTATTTTTATCATTTATTTATATTTGTATATGCATAAAATAAGGGATAAAAGAGTATTTTGGTTCTTTAAAGAAATTTATGCTGGTCATTTTTCTTTTTGGAGGTTATTTTAGTGATAAAATTTTGAAAATTGTCTATTTGAGAGACTGCCCAAATAAAAAAAATGATAAATCATATATTTTTTGTTTTTATTTATTCAAGAAATTAATAATTGTTTTTATTAAAATTATAAGTTAATAATTGATATTATCAAAAAAAACTCAAAACAAATAAGTGAACCAACACAAACTCGAGATTACAAAATAATTCAATCCAACAATTCAAACATTTGTTTCGTATAACCAAACCGATCTTCCATTTGTCTCTTGAACCGGTCTTGAATTTCTCTCAAACCCCTATTCAATTTATCAATTAAATGATTAGTAATAGATTAAACTGAAATATTCAGCTGAGGATATCACATTAGCAATAACTCGGAGCACTTACATCATCGACAGCATCCCTCAGAGCTGCAAGTTGCTCCATTGATACTGTATTCACCTACATTACATATAAAATCTCCTTTTTAGTCTGCCAAATTTTGCATTTTGTAATGAATAGAAAAAATTAATATATAAAAATCTATCTATAAATCCCACACAAAAATATACCTTTTTGACGACGGTCCAAATAACACCTTCAGTGCATGGAGGAGCAGTGAGAGAGCCAACGTATCTATAGAATTTCTGCTTGTGAAAACCAATAGTTCTTGGATCCACGATCCCTAGTTTCTTCTCTTCTTTCCCCACAGTTTTTATTTCATTTTGTAGCTGTATTAAAAATAGAAAAACACGTAGTGATCACTTAGAAAGGTTATGAAATACACGATCTTCATCTATATAGTAGATACTGATACTATACCGTTGTGAGAAACTCATTAGGTCTTCCTATTTTATAAAGAACTGCTATCACTGCGGTTTGGCCCTGAGCACTCGTGTGAACCATGTGAAGCTCCATGTCATAACTGTAACACATTTACAAATAAAATTTAATTATTTTAACATTGTGAAGAAGATCCATTAGTTAGTTTAAGGAGACGAAGAGATTAAATCACAAACCGAGTTCCATTAACGGTATGCTCAGACGGTGAATGCCAGTGGCATTGCACCAATTTAAACTCCGTATGATCTATCACCATTTTTCCAGCATCTCCTTTCCACGATACCTTTGTTTATTTCATTATTATTATTATTACAAATTAGCGTGCATGTTTAATGTATATATAGTTAAGAAAATAACTTAAAAGTGTTACCATAATGTCGTGTCCTCTGCTCATAATTACAGCCTCGGCTGGTTTGTGGTGTATTTTCCATGCGTCATCATGAGCACTACTAACTCTTGCATTAGTGAGATCAATCGGAGATTGGAGTTTCCCGTGGTTACAAATTTTCCATTGATGTTCTAGTTTGCTCCATCCCTCTGGTCCATTCTCTGGATTTTGATCGTACGTATACGGTGTTTCAGCGACTGAAATGTTAGAGAAAGATGAATAAAGAGAGAACAATGCGAAAAAGAGAATTGTTTTTGTGTTCGGATCCATTTGTGTTCCTTTTGAGATTTTGGTTTTGCTTAATGCTTAAGATGTTGTTGAGTATGTTTTGGACATTGAAGGGTTTAGAGCTGACGTATTTAAAAGGAGGCTTTACGGGGTTTGTTAGTTTATGGTTTGTGCAGTTGCTGTGATATTAGTTAATAATTTGGTGGAAAAATGAAAAACTGGTTGTTAAGTAAAAGAACAAAAGAAAAGACAGTTTGATACATTTGGTTAAGAGTTTTCGAATTTCGGTTTTAACGGTAAATCTATGTGATTATTTTTGACAGATAAATAAAATTACCTGGACAGTAAATTAGTAACGCTTAATTCTGAATTATACTCCTGCAAAAGAGAACATAACTGCTAATTTCTCAATGCGAACAAAACGAATTTTAACTGCCAAACAATAAAGTTACAGATATAATATGCTAAGACGTTAAAAACAAAATAACTAAACCATAAATGGCGATTCGAAAAAGAAGAAGTGAAGTCATCCACTCTAGGACCATCGGGTATAGGTTCAATTCAAGTTTATACTCGAGACCCGATTAAATACTCAGTAATTATGTATTATTTTTTAGATATTGTGATATTTTTTGCTATTTTATTTGATTTTAGTTTTTAATATATATTTAATTTTTTCTCTGTCAACAATAGTAGTTTTAACATTTATGCATTTTTATTAATTAATATTAATAATATATAATAAATTTTAATTATCTATTAAATTACGATTGATTTAAAATTATTAGTAACCGTCAATTATAGAAAACAATACTTTTGCGATTAAATTTTGATATGCGTTTCTAAATGCATGAAAGGTAAAAACAAAAACAAAAACTTTGAAGAATATAATTATATGAATATTTTTTGGCTTTGCTCACAGATTATACTAGAGATATACAACAAGATAAATATCACAATGAAACATCATTTTCACATGACAAGATAAAATTCAACAAAAGGAACAAGAAAATAAAAACAAAAAAAAATATATAGGAAAAGCTGCAATGAGAAGGACCAAAGGGGTACACATTAAAGAGAATATTAGTTGACAGTGTTCACAAGTTTCTTCAGAGTCTCAGAAATTCTACTCCCAGCTCCATAATCACAATCTCCCATCTAAAGTAAATAACATAAAAATTAACATTAGCAACAAAAAAATGACCAGTTTAGCAAAAAAAAAAAACAAAGAAATGCCCAGGACATCTGTAGATATATAGTACCAGGAATCAACTTACAATTAGATGGAACAAATGTATAGTTTGCATTTTAAGAGTTTCTTTATGTATATATAAAGTATAAATATAATATGCAAGTATATATATAACTACTTATTAATCGTTGTCTAATGATAAAAAACGTGTGTTTTTACCAAGTTGAGTATGTTAGTTCAGTGACTAACTTTAATCATATTCCCATTACGAGAATACAGTGTGGATTAGACCTATTTTAGCATAGTAGCAGTAGCAAATTTTGATTTTTTCCTAGTCACCAGATTAAAAATATTTTTTTTTCTTGGAGTTACAATACCTTGCAATGAAGAGTGTGGAAGACGGCATCATCAACAATAGAGTATCCAGCATGAGTGATCACAGCTTCAGATTCCTCATTGATAACACGAATGATCTCATGGAACATAAACTTGTGTTCCATGCTTGTCACAAGAAAGATGTGAAGAACCAGACCGGTTTCTTGAATCTCTATTTTCGGCAACCTTCTTGGTACAGAGACGTCCACACTCGAAGACATCGATGAAGATCCCTTGGAATTCAATTTGTCGAAAGCTGAAGTCGCAACAAGTTTCCTCTTCCTTTCTTTCTTTTTCTCCACGTTCACTTGTAGCTTTTTGATGTAGTTTGCAGCTTCATCTAGTTGATCAGGTAGTGCTAAAGATTCCTAACCATCAAAACAAGTAAAAGGTTATATATTATACGTTAAACATGGAATCAAAGACTATGTATGCATTATATCGATCATAGGACAAAGAAGAAGAAACCCTAGAAGTTTGAGGAAGAAGAGAGTTGAGTTCTGAGTAGAGAGCTTTCATCTGAATCCTTCTATTTTTCTCAACCGTTTTGCGATCTGCAGATCTTGATTGATTTGTGTTTAGATGGCTCTGATCCATATTGTTGTTACTCTTCTTTTAAGTGTTTCACATAGACTATGAAACTGATCAATATTCACCACACACACATGTATATATATATATATATATATATAAATAAAGGAGAAAGTTACTTGGTTTAAGATGCATTCTCCTAATTAATTTAGTTAGTGCTAATAACAGTTCAGTGAAAAAGGGTTGTAAAGGAAGGGTATCTATACCAAAAGGCAAAGAGGCTGCATACAGATATAGAAGATAACGAAAGTAAGACAAAGTAAAAAAGTTTGGTCTTTAAATATAATTCTTGACTTACTATTGTTATGTTTCATATACATGTGAGTTTGTTACTTTTGACGTAAGAAGAAACCAACGTTAGTTTATAATTAAGAGTATGATTAAATCTATTCATATTTTGAGCTGTAAATTCATTAACTCTCAACATAGTATACTTAAATTTTTGAGATTTTGTTTTATAAAAGTTACTAAGGTTTCTCCAGTAAGTTGAGTGAATCATACTAATTACATTCACATGCTATAACTGTTTATACTGATATGACATTTTTATTTCTTTTATGTAACCAAAAATTTCAGAACCTAAACCCATACATTCTATAACAAATTTTCTTTTTGTCTGAATACCATCATTGAGAAAACACTTATAGTTCTGTTCTATATATGTAAAAAGAAGAAAGATAGAAGATAAGGTATGAAATGGAGACTGGTGGGGATAGTATGGTCAACTTTTTGGCTAAGGCAGTGCGTGGATGTTGCTGAACCACTCGAACATAATCGACATTGAGACATGCTCATAATTAATCTTTAGTTCCCATCACCAATCAATTTGTAAATGAATCTTTATCAAGTTGTTAGCTTTTATTATGTACACACTAGACTGACATTTTATGTTGTATGCTTTATATCTTATGTAACTATGACACTTTTAAAGTAAAAATAACGAGGATAAAAAAAAGAAGAGAATGTAAATGTAGAGCAATTTTGTTGACAAACTGTGAAAATTACAAATTTTCTAATTTATGCAATTTGTAAATCTTAAAATTGAAAATTAGAAATTTGTCAAATCAAAAATGGTTTGAGTTTCTTTTCGTTCAAACATCTCCAGATATGTTGGTTTCAACAACAAAATCCTTTTTAGCAACTTTCAACAACAAAATCTAATACACTTAACAAAATGTTTCTATTCCATTAGCTATTTTAATTCCACCAAATTCCAAAATACTTGTCAAATGTTGTGTTTAGTCGACATCAACAATCGATTTTTATTGGTACTTCCTATTCTATTATACATTCTTAAAACTAGCATCTGATTTTTGACTTATAAGTAGGTGCCTATTACAAAAAAGGTTCATTTGGGGTACCGGGGACGTGTAGGCCATAGATAGAAGGTGGTCGAATCACTTCTTGAACATGTGAACTGTTTTAACATAACATATATACTTCGTTTCATAAAAAAAGCAAACCATTTTGTGGAATTTTCACACTTTATTAGGATTTGCACTGTACTGAATTTATTTGGTTTGATAAACTATTGAAGCATTAATTTTTCAACATACAACCTTGTGATTAAACGGATGATGTAATATTTAATTTTGACAAAAACTAAATCTCAAGAACTTGCACATTAATACATCAATTCCAGCATTTTTTAAAACGACCAGAAGAAGAAACAATTGGATTCGGATCAACCATCCAAACAACAACTCTTTTCACCTTAGCCTTGATCTAAGCTAGCATAAGCAAGTGACACCCTCAGCTCAGTCTCCAGCATCTTGAAGAGCAAACAACGGTTTAATAGGCTTACTTGACTCCGACGTAATTAAACAGAGAAACTAATTGGGAATAAATAACATTTCATTCACTCATGAGACATGAGCAGATTTCAATTCTTTTACATCTAAAATGTTACCAAAAAAGCTAACAGAAGCAGACACACAACACAAAACCTTAAAACCAAGAACATGCTTCTTCAGAAACAAAAGCATATCACTTGACAAAGGAGAAACCATTGAGAGGATCAAACTCCATTGAAACCTCTAAACCTACAAACACACAAAAACAGGAGAGAAAAAACATTCTTACTAAATCGAAGATAGGTCTTCATAAATGGTCTTGATACCAGGTCTCTCAGAAACCAATCTTATACACCTCAAGGCAATCCCAAGAACTTCTTTCATGCCTTTCTCTATAACCGGATCACTTCCCATCTCCTGAGTCAACACCGAGTCAAAACATTCCACACCTCTCCCTTCAGCAACACGTAACCTAACCCAATCCGTTAGATCAACACCTTCTTGTTCACCTGTGATCACATCTCCTGCACATCTCCCTGTTAAGATCTCAATAAGTATCACACCAAATGCATAAACATCTGATTTGAATGAAGGTAACGGTTTCCTTGAAGCTGCTAGCTCAGGAGCTCGGTAACCGAGGATGCCTGCGTCTACAATCTGTTCCACTGTGCCTGCTTGTGTCATTAGACGGTGGAGGCAGTAATCTGCTACACGTGCGTTTAGCTCTCCTCCTTCTAATAGAATGTTTGTTGCCTTGAGGTTACCATGTGGAACAGCTCTGTCAAAATGGAGGTAGTTTAGACCACGTGCCACATCAACAGCGATTTTTAACCGTTGGATCCAAGCTAGAGGAGGGCCTTTCCTGCCTGGTCGATCTGAAAAAAATATCAAACAAGAACACCGTAAGTTTGATGAATATAGTGATAGAGAAATCTAATGAAAAGGAGTGTCACTGTGTTACCGTAAAGGAAGCTAGCAAGGCTTCCAGGAGATATATAATCTGAAAGAATAAGCTTCTCGTGTTGCGTAGGACCCCAATAGTATCCTCTGAGAGTCACAACATTAGGATGTCTTATGTTAGTAAACTTCGTCACTTCTTTAGCAAACTCTTTCCTCTGCTTTGCAACGCCTTCTCTTAGCCATTTCACTGTTAAAAACACTCCATTGTCAAGCGTTGCTTTGTAAGAAGTCCCGTGGCTACTTCTTCCAAGAACTTCAGCTGGTGCTCTTGATAATTCCTCTGGAGTCAGTTTGATCGAATCGTCAAGAAACTGCAGCTCTCCCACAAGTCTGTCTGGTGACCTAACATCAAGCCGTGCTAGTTGCTGATCAGCTGGAAATGAATCTCCTGAGCCAGGTGACCATGACAGATTACTTGTCTTTGAAGGAGAGAAGCCAGTTGTGACAGCTAGTTTTTCATTTGGACTGAGGATTTCTGATGAAGAGCCTTTTCTTAGATCCTCAGCAGAGATAGCCATACCACCTCCACTGCCTGAGGGGTTTGTTTGAGCCCGCCTATTAGTATCATTACCTGTGACACTACGCTCTTCTCGTCTTCTTGATTTGCATATGCAAAATAGGAGGATAGCCACAAGAATGAGGATTATAAGAACAAGGGCGCAGGAAACGATTACCACAACCTTAATAAGTAAGTTCCTTGGCTTCCCCTTGGAAGCTTCTGATTCACTTGATCCAGCAGGCAAGATAAGCTTGCTGTTTCCGGGATAAAAGGAAGGAGGTGGGAAGTTCCTCAGATTCTCTGGCACAGTCCCTGATAGATCGTTGTATGACACATTAAATGCCACAACACTTCTAGATAAGTTGCTGGGGAGTGGTCCAGTGAGATGATTCTGGGACACGTCTAATGAGTTTAGAGAGACCATGTCATTCATGGAGTCTGGGAAAGATCCAGAAAAATTATTAGCTGCGAGATTCAGCACTTGGAGACTGGTCAAAGATCCCAAAACACCAGGAAGATCGCCATCAAAGTGGTTGTGAGAGAGATCAAGAACACGGATTCTGGAGCCAGAAGAAGGCAAGGGTCCTATGTTACCTATCATGCCATTGTTTTGAAGGTGGATTTCCTCTAAAGTGGGCATGGATAGTAATGCACTTGGGATTGACCCTTCCAAGCTGTTAGAACTTATATCAAGAACACCAAGTTTCGGATAATGGGTAGGAATATGGTCTGGGAGTGAGCCTGTGAGGTTATTGTAAGAAAGATTAAGATGATTAGCTCGCAGAAGCTGAGGAATTACATCTGGAAACGACCCAGTGAAACGGTTCTGGCTGAGATCAAGGTACTCGACATTCTCCCATTTTGACCATCTTGTCAGATTTCCTTCAAACTGGTTGTTTGAGAGATCAAGTAAGACGCAGCTCCCAGTCAAGAGAGGAAGCTCTCCTGTTAGTGAGTTTGATGAAAGATCAACGGTGTGAAGAGTTGTTGACATGATAGAACTTACTGGCCCTGCAACACAAACAAAACATATAAAAGTTAGTTTTCTTAGTGCCACCATTAAAACATAACAAGCCCCACACTGTAGAAGATAGAGCTAAGAGCCTACCTGAGAGATTGTTGCCACTTAGATCCAGCGTTGTTAAAAGCAAAGAGTCACCTTTCAACAAGTTATTGGGAAGTGAACCTGAAAATCTATTGTTGCTAAGCTTGAGTACTTGCAGATCATAGACATAATTAAAACCAGGCAATTCTCCGGATAACTGATTGTAGCTAAGATCCAAGACTTTTAAATTCTGAAACAACTGAAACCCACTAGTCAATGAACCTTCTAGCTGATTGTGGCTGAGATTTAAGTGCTTGATACTCTCGGAAACACCTGGTACCAGCTTCCCAGACGTTGTCACCAATCTGTTCCCACTAAAATCCACATAGCTCGCATTTGTTAAAATGAAAAACTCCCCATCAAGATTACCATCAAATGAGTTACCATGCAAGTCAAGCAGCTGAAGACTCGAGATCAACTCAAAACCCCTTGGGATTTTCCCACTGAATCCGTTAGAAGACAGATTCAAGTACAGCAGCTCGTTCAGCCTTGTCAAGGACTTTGGCAACGGTCCAGATAAAGCGTTACGACTCATATCCAACGACTGAAGAGAAACCAACCCACCAATAGACTCTGGAACCTCACCAGAAAAGTTGTTACCAGCTAAAGAAAGATTCTTCAAGCTCACTGATCTACCAAACTCTCTAGGCAGTGACGAAGAGAAGAGGTTATCAGACAAATCTAGGAACTGGAGGCTTTTGAAATTGCCGAGATTATTTGGTAAGACACCAGAAATGGAGTTGTTAGACATGGAGAGTTTCACAAGCATTGTCAAGTTGGAGAACAAACTGAGATCAACATCTGCAGACAAACCCAAATTTTCCAAAACAACACCAGCTACATTACCACCGTTGCAGACGATACCGTTCCATGAAGAAGGACAGCCGTTGAAGTCTATGGACTCATCGTTCCAGGAGTTGAGGACAAAACCAGTTGGGTCATGTTTGATTCCTTTCTTGAACTCAAGTAATGCCATGATGTCCTGTGAAGGAAGTTGACCCATTGCAGAGAGAAAAAACATGGACAGTAGTAACAAAATCCTCATCATTGACTCAACAAAATTCCCTCAAAAGCTACAGTTTTTTTTGCAGAAAGACAACAACTTTTCCAGCTCACCAACACAGAGTATCCATGGAACTTGAGTAAATCTGACAGAAAAATTAATGAACCAGAGTTAAAACCCATCAATATTACTAATGAAAGTTCCAATCTTTCCCTGAAAAAAAAAACAGAAGGAACAAAAATCTCACCTTTGAAGGAACAAACAAGCCTTCTGAAGAAACCTTAATCAAACGAAACGCAGTAGCAAAGTGAGAAGGGACAGTCTTGAACCGAAGGGAATCAGCTGGAAAGAAACATTAAATTGAACAGATGAGCTAATTTAATTCAATGTTGGGTCCCATTGGAAGATCTACCCTAACCTCAAAGCAAAGAGAGAAGATTAAAAAAGGAATGATTTTTATCTTTACCGGAATGAAAAAATTGAGAATCTTTTTCACTTCAATAACAATGCAGACAGAGTTGAGGAAGAAGAAAGACAAAAACTTTGAAGCAGAATCGTTTTGTTTCTTTAGCTCATGGACACACACTGCTATGAAGTGTTTTGGGGTTTGGTTTTCAACACTGTAGAGAGTGAGCCACTGAGAAAGTGAGAAACTCTTGGTTGGGTCACAACACTGTAACTGTTTTAAGAAGAACCAAACAAAGAAGGCTAAGACAAAAGCAAATTTGGGCTAGACAGTGACGAGAACGACAAGGACTCCGTAAAGAGAGTAAAATTATATTATTTTTTTATCTTTTTGTTGGGTTCACGAGAAAGACTAGTTTAGTTTATTTTTTTTCCATAGTCTTTTCAGAAGTAAAAGGTTAAAGATTCGCGCGAGAAATATTCAAGTCCACATGTTTAGTGAGTGAGTGAGTGAGTGGACATGGTGGACGCCAAAGGGTTTATCCAATATGGTTTTTGTAGAAATGTTCTTCTTTGCTTTTATGGTAAAGGACTTAATTGACATGTAAATATACTGTTATTGCGTTTTGCTCTCTTTATCCCCTTTCATATTTCATTTGATTAACTTATCTCATAAACTTGTGTATGATTTCACAAAAACCAAGATATAATGAGGATGTCAAGTGCACTATTATGATTTCATATTTCATTGTGATTAACTTCTGTATCCATTATTACATAACTTAGGCTGCAAAGATTTGTAACAATTTGGCAGTGGCTGTGACTGTGAGTGTGCTCAGTACTTCACAAGATTTAGTTCTTGCATGGTCAGACACTTGGAATATATCTGCAAGTACTCTTAACAGAAGTGTTAAACACATGTAGTGGCCGATGTTGGAGTAATGAAAGGTGGTATGTGCTTTAAAACCACAGCGTCAAGTTTATTGTCAGGTTCTTAACAAGTGTGTCTATATTTTTCATCCTAAAATATTTAAAAACACATTGCTTTTGTCAGACAAGTCTTTCCATGTCTATGGGGTAAATACTTAAAATCTAGCAGAAGCCTCCTCAGCTAAAGAAATTGGACATAGTAACCAAATTGATACCCAAAGCACAAGAAATGTGAGTACTTCCACTAGTCTTTTCTTGTAGAAATTTTCTGCTTTTAAGGATGAGTTGTTGTGAACAAAGAGTGCTTCTGAATGAAGTCTAGTGGAAATAACTTATACTCTCGTTCATGAAGATTATGCACACATATCTTCAAAAGTTGGTATTTTCTGTTTGTTTTTGTTTCATGTAGTTACATGTGTGAAGATGGGCATGAAACAAAATGGAGTCTTCGTGTGTTTTCATACACTTTTACGATGGCAAAGAGGTCCGAGGCAATCTGTTGCAGTGACCCTCCAAAAAAAATAATATGCATCCAAAGGTTTCTTTGTGCATTTGATTGTGATGTTTGTATAACCGATTTAAAATGAATTTAGTTTGGTTGAAAATGACCACTTGACCATTGAGCTCAAAGTCAAAGTTTTTTTTAACTTACAGCGACACTGACAAGACAGTACACAATTAATAGTTTCCTTTATTGTTTTTGTATTCATCATCCCATTAATTCGATATTCTTTTATCGTTTTTGGCTATTTTCCTAAAATTACAATATTTTCAAAAATCTTTCAGGAACAGAGAATAATCGATGACCAATGTGTAATGACCATTGTGTATGACCAAACCAACCCTTGTTTTGCTCTCACCTCTTCATTTGAAATCCCCTACTTGTCTCAGTTGCTCCCTCAAAACTTGTTTACATATACCATTTCGTTAAGTAGCCGACTCGTGCTCGCGTCTCTCTAGTACATTTCGTTTTGTTTGTGCTCTTGACGATTTGTTTCTCGTAATGTTAGTTAGCCCTCTGTTTCTACTTATTCCGCACGAAAAAACAGTTGCTTTAACTTACACACTTGTCTCAGTTCTTTGTCTTGTATGTAGTATCTCTGTAAACCCTACTAGTAAATCGATTTTCTCCTTTTGGATTTGCTGTTTTTTTTTTATTGTTTTGATTCGACGAGAATGAGAATTTAAGCCATCTTTCATCTCCTGGAAACCTCAAGGATGCAAGAATTTTTGTCATTTTCTTTTTTATCTCTCTTTTACAAACTCTAGTTTTAGTACTGTTCGCTAAAAGTTACTTTCTTTCTTGATCTTTGTAGCACATGTTTTGAGGCAGACGTTGTTCTTTTGTTTGTCTCAGTGATTTAAGAAGCTACAGTGAGTTTTAATGGCGTGTGTGAAGGAGGAGACTCTTACTCCAAAGGAGACTATACATCAGAAGTTTGGTGTTAAAGCAAGTTACAGAATTGAGCAAGTTCATGTCCCTTCTCAAAGTAGTTGTCTCTACCGATGCCACTTGCAGCTACCAGAATTTTCAGTTGTATCAAATGTCTTCAAGAAGAAGCAGGATTCAGAACAATCTGCTGCTGAATTGGCTCTTGAGAAGGTATGCTTTTGTTACCATCTCTCTTCTGTTTTTGTATCTTTGTTTTCTAAAGAAGACAATATTATTCATGTTGCAGCTAGGCATTCACCCTCATGATGATGATGATATAACATTGGGGCAAGCTTGGGATGATATAGTTGAACGCCTTAAGTATATATTCTCTGATGAGGTTAGTTCATTAGGTTTATAGCATTTGTCTTCATACAGATCTCTTATATGGTTAGCAAACATTTTTAATGTTGTAAGTTGTTTCTATTACAGTTTCTTTCAGATGATCATCATCCTCTTGGAAGCCACCTTAGAGCATCATTACTAAGGGATAGTGAACGTCGTGGTTCACTTCCTCTCTCTGCCATCGCTGCATTTGATGCAAATATTAACAGTCGCTGTAAAGTGATCAATCCTTCCGTGGAACAAGATCCTATATTGGTCATGTCTTATGTCATGAAGGCTGCTGCAAAGTTATCAGACTACATTGTCGTATCTCCACACGTAGCTTCACTCCGAAAGAAAACTCCATACCCTCCAGCAGTTGTAGAAGCACTGGCTACTCATAGAGAAAGCATCAAACTTGAGGCTGTATATATACAATGTGCCACTAGCGATGAAGAGATTGTTGATCCTGTCATACTTGATATCACATCAGGCCGGTATTACCTGGATACTATTGCTGAAAGGCTTGGTTTGAAAGATAGCAGCCAACTGATTATATCCAGGTGGTTATATTGTCATTTATTAATAGATCCTTCTCTGTATTATTAAGCTTATTTTTTTACTAAATTTTTGTTTTTTTTTTGTTACAGGACATTTGGTAAAACTTCATCTGGCTATGAATGTAGAGTATACTCTGCCATTCCTAAACCGAGTCCTGATAAATCATCAAAATCATATGGAAAACTTCCAGCTGATGAAGATTATCATCAATCATCACATTTTAAACAGCCTTGGAATGCAAAAGCAAGTTCTGCTTGTAGTCAAGATGTTCACGGTGATGCCATAGTGGCAGCTGTTGGTTACTCATGGAGGTCCAATGAACTTGAACATGATGATGTAACATTGAAGTCATTTTACAGGTCTCTCTACTACTACTAGTAATGATCTTGTTTAGTTGTTATCTTATCATGTTTTTTTTGGCTTCTGTAGGATATATTGCGGCATGTCACCCAACGGAATCTACAAATTCTCCAGACAAGCAGTAATCGCTGCGCATTTACCTTTCTCATTCACTACAAAGTCTAATTGGAGAGGTACACTCCCCAGGGAGATGCTCTCCATGTTCTGCCGCCAGCAACAACTAGCTGAGCCTGTCTTCACTATATGTACTGCTCCTGTGAAACCACTCTCAGACATATTAAGATCCTTCAAGAAGATTAAAGACTCAGAGTCAAATGATGGCAACAATCAGTGTGTAAATGAGTACGCAGGATCAGATGATTCCTACAATCATTACAACAGCAAGGATGAAGAGGAGCTACCAGTGTTAGAGAGTGGGTATAGATGTGATGTGAAGATTCTCTCAAAGTCTCAGGACTTGGTTTTAGATTGTTCACCAGGGAACTTGTACGAGAAGGAGAGCTACGCTATTCAAAACGCTGCACTAAAAGCCTTAACATGGTTTAGTAGCTTCTTTGAGGACCTGGATGCTGACCCGGAACAGCCACGTTACACTAATGGAGAGCTTAATTGGATGTTTCAACGGAATATTATGATAAAGGGGAAGTTTCCAAGTAGTAAAAGATATGAAGAGCCTAAGTATAAGTCTAAGTCAAAGACCACGGATATGGATCGCAAACGGAGGCGTGTTCGGACTATACCAAATGGTTCAATGGTTAGTATATGTTATTCTGTCTCTGTGCAGGTAGACTCTGACTTTTCGAAGACCGGTAAATGTTTAAAAGAACTCATAGAAAGCAATGTAGAGATGGAGTTTGAGGTAGGGGTTGGATCCATGAATCCACATCTTGAATCAGTGGTTACTCAGATGTGTGTGGGACAATATGCTTGTTTTATGACTAATAGACCTGCGGAAGGGTTAGTTTTGGCTGCTTCCAATGATACAGTGAGAACTCGTTCACTCTTATCAGGTAAATGTTTCATAGGACTTAACATTGTGACTTAGATATGAGTTCTGATGATGTGTTGTTTTGCTTTTAATGCACAGAACTCTGTGCACCTTTGGAATATAGTGTGCACTTGTTGGGAGTGAAAGGACCGACAGAGAAACGAGTGGAAGCAGTTTTTTTCAAGCCTCCACTTTCGAATCAGCGTGTGGAATATGCAGTGAAACTTATTAAAGAATCATCAGCTTCTACTTTGGTATATGCTCTTCTTGTTTCTTATGTTTATCATTATGTCTTTCTGTTTACTGTGATTTTGGATTCTTCTAAGGCTTCTTTTTAATATTCCAGCCTCTATGTTTATTGCAGGTTGACTTTGGATGTGGATCTGGAAGTTTACTAGAGTCTTTACTTGAGGTTCCAACTTCACTTCAAACCATTGTGGGCGTTGACATCTCACAGAAGGCTCTTGCACGTGCTGCTAAGGTATGCAAAATCTTACACACACCACCATGTTTTATTCCACTTGGAGACATAACATGTTATAGAGTCTAATGCATCTAAAAACTTGATATTTGTTTCATGAAATTGTATTTACACAAATCATGGTCTGTGTAAGATGGTGAATGAAAGAGTTGTTGATTTCAGATGCTACACTCAACGTTAAACAAGGGAGCTTGCAAACTTAAATCTGTTACACTCTTTGATGGTTCTATACTCGAGTTTGATTCCAGGCTGCATGGCATTGACATCGCCACTTGCTTAGAGGTTCTCCCTCCTATTTTCTTGTTATCATTTCTTTTATATGTCAAAAAGTTTGTGTATGTTCATCAAGAAGTCTTGTCTTTTGATCTGTAGGTCATTGAGCACATGGAGGAAGATGAAGCCTTTCAATTTGGGAAAACAGTTCTTAGCTTGTTTCAACCCAAGCTTCTGCTTGTCTCCACACCAAACTACGAGTACAACAGGATTCTTCACAAGTCTTCTTTGTATCACTCAAAAGATAGATCCATGTCACAGCGGTCAAAGTTCAGGAACCTTGACCACAAGTTTGAATGGACAAGGGCACAGTTTAACCACTGGGCATCTAAACTCGCCAAAAGCCATAACTACAGCGTGGAGTTTAGCGGTGTTGGAGGGTCTGGTAATGTGGATCCAGGGTTTGCTTCTCAGATTGCTGTTTTCAGACGGAAGTCTTTCTCTGAAGTTGAAAAGGTCTCAGTGCAGCAGCCTTATAAAGTCATATGGGAGTGGACAAGAGTAGAGGGAGACAAAAAGTATCAACCAGAACAGTCTTCATCAAGTTTATTGGTTTGTTAGGTGTGCTACTGCAGTTTAAAGTCTCTTATCTTTATTCCTTATCACACTCTTGTTCTTGTTTTTTTTGAATCATGTAACCTACTTGAGTTTTAAAATCTCCTAAACCCTAGTTCGACCATTCTGGTTATTTCACAACGTGTAATGACCAAAACGTTGATGGTTCCATCCTCTTAATGATGGTTCCATCCTCGAGTTTGACTCCAGGCTGCATGACATTGAATTGTCACTTGCTTAGAGGTCCCCTCCTATTATGTTTTTTGTGCATGTTCATCAAAAAAAACAATCTGTCTGGTTCTGCGTTACAAATAATCTGTGCCTAATATGTAGGTCACTGAACACATGGAAGAAGATCAAGGTGAGTTCGGGGAAAAGGTTCTAAGCTTGTTCCGCCCGAAGCTCTTGATTGGTCTCAACACCAAACTTCGAGTACAATACAATTCTCCAGCGGTCTACTACACCAGAAGCTCCAGGGTTTTCTTCTCAGATAGCTGTGTTCAAACGGTTGCAGAAGGTCGGTGCAGCCTTATAAAGTGATATGGGAATGGAAGAAAGGCAGTAGAGAAAAGAAAGACTGATGGGATAGGGAGTATGGAGTAAAGAGTATTGCAAGCAATGTGATGATGTGTTCATCCATATATAAAAAACTCAATGCTTGTTTTAGTTCTTTTGCCTTCACTTTTGCAGATTAACCATGGTACCTTTATGTTGTTTACTATTAGTAGTCTAGTCTACTAACAATGATGGGAATTACAAGTTTTTCCCAGCAAGTATTTTTATCTATATACAAGTCCCTAGACTTTGTTATCATTTGTCCTCACTTCTCCGAAGTTGACTTTTCCAAGCAAATGGAACCCTGATTTTTGATAACATAATTAGTGCATGAACTTTCTTTTTTTTTAGAGAGTTAAAATTATATTTGTGTATTTAAAAAAATTATGAACTGGGTAGAGTTACCTCAATGCACTTATGTATAAACAGAATAGAGTTAGGACGCTTACAAACTTTATCTTAACATACTTAGGCTGAAATAGTTTGATAGGCAAAATAGAGAAACCTAATCAAACAAATCCTAGTTTTTCAAACATAGAGAATATAGATTCGATAACAAAGCACAAAAGAGTAAGAAAATTCAAACAACAAAGAACCAAGACTTGTTGCTTGTGGATCAAAGCATTGATCAAACCATCATGATTAGGCCAGGTACTTCATCAACTGTCAAATTCAATTCCAAAATCTTTGTTCAGTAAAAGCCTTTCCACATAGGTTCTCGACATGGTCTACATAACTGAAACCACCAATGAACTCAAAAGACTTGTCATGATCAAATGATAAGTCTTTAGCTATGGTCTAATGCCTCACTCAAGCAGTCTAAATCCTAATTCACTGGGAGACTGCATCCATTGAGTGGACAGATCTCCAGATGGAGATGAATGAAAAATTCTGAGCAAGGACATTCTGCAACAGATAATAAAGAATAAAACTCAGAAACGAGAATGTGATTTTCTAGCAAAGCAAGAAAGATTAAAACTCAGAAATGTATCGAGATGCATGAAAGCAGGCGCACACCAAACTAAACTCACAAAAATGATCAACAAAACTCCTAACTATAATCATCAAAACCTAATCAATAATCAGATTGTAGATTTGGGCTCAGGCCCTAGAAAACACTCGAACCCAAAATGGATGAACTGCTAAAACAAAGAAACTTGATCTATTTCTTTCTTTTTTGTCGCGAAAACACCAAATGCTAACAACTTAAGCAAGAAATAGCTACAAAGATCACAGAAAATACAAAAGAACAATCATGGAGAATAGTTGAGAATTATAAATTTATAATTGTTTTGATTATAATAAAAGTTTAAAATTAATTACTAGAATTTTTAATTTCTAATCAATATTAGTACAGAAATTTCTTATAAAGCAAAAAGGTTTAGTGTCCATTCATTTTGCCCTTTGAATCAATTGCTATTGGGTACATATGCTAAAAAGACTAATTAACAATACATATGGTTTTGTCTTTTGATTAACTTTGTTCATATACTACTTGTGCATGGTTTCACAAGAACCATGTCGCTATGAGGAAATGGGAGTCTCTGCTAGAGAAACTCCTTGAAGTTGTTGCTCAAGATAGCCAACTTTTGATTACGATGTTGCCTTCATTATTTCATTGTAAGGTTATTACCTTTTTCAGAAAGAGATTTATATGAGAACACCTCTTGAAAATTTTCCATGTTAATTGTATTATTATATGGCATTATTGGGAGACAACTAAATCTAGGATTTGGATGTGTGCACATGAACAGTGGCTTGCTTCATGGAGAAAACGTTATAAGACCTGCTTTGGTAAACTGATTCATCCACTGATCCACACAAGAAGCCGAAAAAATCTCGCTTGTTGTACCTTGAAAGTTAAAAGAGGTAAACCATGGATAAGATTTGAACCAAAGTAGAGATTAGGTAAGCCTTTTTAGCTGAGTGATTGTACTTTTATCTACCAATTCCAAGTGGGAATCGTTGAAATTATATTTTGCTTGATGTAGAGATTGCTTCATGTTAATCAATTTTGTTCTCCTTGTGAAAAAAGTAGAGATAGTTACATTTAAACAGTTTTTAACTTCCAAGCACCTTTGGTGCAGATCGATAACTGGGAAAAGCATGTCATGTTTTTGATGTAGAAGCTGATAGATTTACTTTCATAGTATGTTGTCGAGTCTCTTATCATTTCCATTGGTTAATCACCTATAAAACGCGTAGAGTGGAATGCATGGTTAGTCAATGAGTAGAACTTCCATCTAGTGTTGGTGGTGGTTCAGGAAATGAATATGTAAGCTCACAGCTAGACCTTGTTTCCATAATCTTTTATATATGTGTCTATACATTAATTCCTAAAGGATGAATATCTACAATCATTATTACATAACATGTTCCTTTCTCAAACCTAGGCTGCAACGATTTGTAACAATTTGGCTGTGAGTATTTAGTTGCTCCATACTTCAGAGAAGTTTTAGCTCTTGCATGGTCAAGTCACTTTAAATATATCAGTCAGTACTCTAAAGAAGTGTTAAAACTCTTAAACTTCATTTGTAGCTCAATGTCAATAGTATCCTGTTTTTTTTTTTTTTTTTGTGTTCATCATATTCAATTCGATATTGCTAGTTTCCTCAACTTACAATATTTTCTACAATCTTCATAATAGGAAATAAATAAAATGAAAAGATGTAGGAACAGAGAATAACCCAAACGACAGCGTGTAGTGTAATGACCAAAACCTCTCTGCTCCCACTTCGACATTTCAAACCCCTTGTCGCTGCTCTGTCTCACTCAAACAACAGTTTCGTTTCGACATAAAAGCCATTTCGTTGAACACACGAAGGTACGTACGGACTTGATTCTAGCTTGCTTTTTAGCCATTACCGTTTCTTTACTTCTAGGTTCGTTCTCAAGTTTGATTTCCATGAACCCCATCGTTTGTGTTCTTGACGATTTTAATGTTGCTTAAATCCACTTTTTTCTACTTCATCCGCACGAGAAAAATCGTTTGCTTTCACTCTTCTTCTTCCTTTCCATCTCTATGTAACGTTTCTTCAAATGTTTTTTGGACTGATGAAATTAAAAATCGTTGCTTTCGATCATTTTTTTTCTGTTTCAAAACCCCCTTTTGCTGTTGTGGAACGAAAACTCAACGAGACTGAGAAAATAAAAGTCACATCTTTTTACTGTTTGTCTATAAGAAACCTCTTATTTGTGTGGGCAGGACTGTGCAATCGCAATGTTTGCACAAAAGTCACCATCTTTCTAATAGGTTAATTGTTTGTCTCAGTTTATAAAGAAGCTACAGAGAGATTGTAATGGCTAGTGGGGAGAAGCAGGCTCTTATTCCAAAGGCAATCATACATCACAAGTTTGGTGTTGAAGCAAGTTACAGAACTGAAGAAGTTCATGTTCCTTCTCAGAGTAGTTGTCTCTATCGATGCCACTTGCAGCTACCAGACTTTTCCGTTGTATCAAATGTCTTTAAGAGCAAGCAGGATTCTGAACAATCTGCTGCTGAATTGGCTCTCGAGAAGGTATGATTTTTTGCTATATATATATATATATCTTGTATACTTGTTCATTAGAGTTTCTGACAAGTATTCATATTGAAGAAGAGAATACTATCCATGTTGCAGCTAGGCATTCACCCTCAGGATGATCATACTACTGTGGAAGAAAGTTTTGATGATATTGTTGAACGCATTAAGTTTATATTTTCTGATGAGGTTAGTAGTTTCAACAGAAATTTCAGGTTTCCATATGCTTTGTATATACTACTAGTATAATACTAGTTTCAACAGCAATTTGAAATACATTCTTTTTATATGATTAACCAACTTAAGGTTAACCTATGTTACCAATGTAGTTTCTTTCAGCTGATCATCCTCTTGGAAGTCACCTTAGAGCAACGTTGCAAAGAGATGGTGAACGTCATGGATCAGTTCCTGTCTCTGTCATTGCTACGTTTGACTCAAAGATTAACTGTCTTTGTAAAGTGATCGATCCTTCTATGGACGCTGATCCTACCGTTGCCATGTCCTATGTCATGAAGGCTGCTGCAAAGTTATGGGACTGCATTGTTGTATCTCCGCCCGGAGATTCACTCCAGAGGAAAAATCCATACCCTCCAGCAATTATAGAAGGACTTGGACTTGCTGCTACTCATGTAGAAAACATAAGAGTTGAGGCTGTGCATATAAAATGTACCAAACGAGATGAAGAGGTTCTTGAGCCAGTCACTCTTGATGTTTCATCAGATAGGTATTACTTAGATGCTATTGCTGAAAAGCTTGGTTTGAAGGATGCCAGCCAAGTGATGATATCCAGGGCGATTAGCAAAACCTTCTCTGGCTATGAGTGTAGGGTATACTCTGCAATTCCTAAGCTGACATCTTCCAGTGATTTAAACAAGTCTCGGAATGCAAAAGCAAGCTTTGTTTGTGGTCAAGATATTCATGGTGATGCGATCTTTGCATCTGTTGGTTATACAGAAAGGTCCCATGATCTTCAACATGATGATGTAACCTTAAAGTCATTTTACAGGTCTCTACTCTCTACTACCAGATTTTGCTTTGTTACATGTTTGGTTTCTCCTTTCTTATCATGTTTATTGCTTGTGCAGGATATGTTGCGGTATGTCACCCAATGGAATCTACAAAATCTCGAGAAAAGCATTGATTGCTGCACAGCTGCCTTTATTATTCACCAGAGAGTCTAACTGGAGAGGTCCATTTCCCAGGGAGATACTCTCCATGTTCTGTCACCAGCAACAACTAGCAGAACCGGTCTTTACTATATCTACAGCTCCTGGAAAGTCGATGTCCGACTTGTTAAGTTCCTACAACAAGATAAAAGATGATTCCGACAGTCAGAATTGGAGTAGAGGAAATTGGAAGATGCCAGGATCAGGGAAAGGGTTTAGATGTGAAGTGAAGATTTTCTCAAAGTCACAGGACTTGGTTTTTGATTGTTCGTTGAAAAAGTTATATGAGAAGGAAAATGATGCTATTCAGAATGCTGCATTGAAAGCTCTCTCATGGTTTAGTATGTTTTTTGGCGACATGGATGTGGAATCACTGGAAGCATGCCATACAGAAGACGACCTGAATATTCAGTTTAACCAGAGTAATCGTTTTAAAGAGACGTTTCCAAGCAGTAGAGTGTATCATCTCCCCGATATTATCAGAAAGGGTAACTGGTTTGAATCAAGGTCTAGGGGTATGCCATGGGAAAAGAAGCGTGTTCAAAAGATAGCAAACGGTTCAATGGTCAGCATATGTTATTCTGTGTACTTAAAAAAGGATGCTGAGTCTTCAAAAAAGGGAAAATCTATGAAAGAACTCATTGAAAGCAATGAAGGGATAGAGTTTGAGGTAGGGCATTCTATGAATCCACATCTTGAATCAGTCATTACTCAGATGTATGTGGGTCAGCATGTTTGTTTCTCTACTGGATTGCCTGCTGAAGCTTTGGTTTTGGCGGCTGCCAATGATACTGCGAAAGCTCTCTCATTCTTATCAGGTAATGCTTTCAACATTGTCTTGTAGGAAAAGAAGAATTTTATCGAACGTTGACATTTGTGCCTTCATAAGTGAACTTAGGACTACAAAATTCCTGCTCTAGTATAAGTGCTCACTTTTAGTTTATGAATCTCACCTTTAAGTTATGTAAGAATCTAACCTTTAAGTCTTCTGTTGGTTACTCTATTGCAATAATGTAGTATTTTGGTGAAGGTAGTATCAATCTTTTAAAAAAAATCATCTGCTGTTTTGGTTTTTCTCAAATGTTTATGTGCTTTTCCAAAGCTTTCACTACTGGAAACAGTGCATGAACTATATAAATTAATACATATATTTGTGACCGTGACTAAGATTATAATGATGAATTGTTTTGCTTTGAATGCACAGATTATGAAAGTTTGGAGTACAGTGTACTTTTGTTGGGAGTGAAGGGTCCAACAGAGGAACGAATGGAGAAGGCTAACATTGTTGAAAAGGTTCGCAGCCTTATAGAGACAAGTCTTTGACAAAAGAGTATTAACCCGAACAGGCTTCCAAAAAGTCCCTGTCTTTCTGGTGGTTATCAGCTGAAGAAGTTGGACAGAAAGTCCTATGAGATTTCCAAAGCACAAGAGATGTGAAGTACTTAAACTTATTAAGTTCAGATTAATGGTCTTTTCTTCTAAAAAGTTTCTCCTCTATGGACATCTCCTTCAAACTATAAAAATGTCCACTCTCTTTCGATATTTTTAAGGTTTTAGTACCCAAACGTTTTCAACCCCAAAAGAAAAATGAACAAGGAGATAGTGGATTGGGAATAAATTAAAATTTTGAACAATTAATACAAGACTCAAAGAATAAAGGAACAAAGATAAAGAGAAGACTTTTTACACGATTCCACAACATGTAATGACCAAAACACCCTCTTTCCTCCTCCCTCTAAAACCCCCAACACTCTTTCTCTCTCGCTGTTGTGTTCTGTCCTAAGCGGAATTCTCTTTCTACATACCCATTCCGCTTAACTCTTTAAAGGTATGTAGTTAGTTTCTAGGTTCATTAAGTGTGTTTTGTTGTAAAAGTTTTCGGCTTTTTCTGAAATTCAGTTTCATTGATTTCATCGTTTCTGTTCATAACGATTCGTCTCTCCTAAATGTTTTTAATCTAAGCAAAAGATCGTTGCTTTGCTCAATTTCTTGTGACTTCATCTCTCTGTTTCTCCATCGCATGTCCGTAAAAACTACCACTTTACTATTTTCCGTGGCTCTGATTTTAATTCACAAGCTTTAAAAAAAAATCAAATTTTGCACAAAAAGTTACCATCTTTCCTGATCTTTGACACTATTTATACTAACCCTTTGTTTGTCTCAGTGTAATAAACGAAGCTACATTTGCGTTTTTTTGTGATGGCGGGTGGAGGGAAACACACTCTTACTCCAAAGGCAATTATACATCAGAAGTTTGGTGCTAATGCAATTTATACAGTTGAGGAAGTCCATGACTCTTCTCACAGTGCTTGTCCAGGATTAGCTATACCTCAAAAAGGTCCAAGCCTCTTTAGATGTCACTTGCAGCTACCAGACTTTTCTGTTGTTTCAAATGTCTGCAAGAAGAAGAAAGATTCCGAACAATCTGCTGCTGAACTAGCTCTCGATAAGGTATGCTTAATCTGTCTTTAATAATAATATGTTATCTGTTATGTTAACCAAGACAGTACTATTCATGTTGCAGCTAGGGATTCGTCCTCAGAGTGATGATCTTACTGTGGATGAAGCTTGGGATGATCTCGTTGGACGCATTAAGTATATATTCTCTGATGAGGTTAGTAGATCATTTCATTATAACTTATGAAGTGTTAGTGTGGCAGTAATGTTTTAACTTGTTGCGGTTGCAGTTCCTTTCGGCTGAACATCCTCTGGGAGCTCACCTTAGAGCGGCATTGCGAAGGGACGGTGATTGCTGCGGCTCGGTTCCTGTTTCTGTCATTGCTACATTTGATGCGAAGATCAACAGTCGTTGTAAAATCATCAACCCTTCTGTGGAATCAGACCCTTTCTTGGTTATTTCCTATGTCTTGAAGGCTGCTGAAAAGTTGCCGGACTTCGTTGTTGCATCTCCGCATGAAGCTTCACTCAAAAGGAAAAATCCTTACCCTTCAGAAATTGTAGAAGCACTAGCTACTCAAGTATCTGATTCCCTAGATAGCAGAGAAGTCAAGGCTGTATGTATACCGTGTAACGGTCAGGAGATTGTTGAGTTAGATACTGTCGATATTTCATCAGGCCGTTATTACTTGGATAGTATTGGTGAAAGGCTCTGCTTGAAGAATGGCAACCAAGTGATGATATCCAGGTGATTATATTTAGTTTTTTTCTATTAAGAAAGTTATGCTTTCTTAGAGTTAATCTGGTATGAAAGTATCTTTGGTTTATTAACAGGACTTTTGGAAAAGCTTCATGTGGCTCTGAGTGTAGATTGTACTCTGCTGTTCCTAAATTTAAGTCTTTGGAAGTCTCTGGAAGTTCAAGTGAAGATTCATCTCGTACTGATAAAAAATCTCGGAATGCACGAGCAAGTTACATTTGTGGCCAAGAGATTCATGGAGATGCAGTCCTGGCATCTATTGGTTACCGATGGAAGTCTGAAGATCTTGACTATGATGATGTAACTGTAAAGTCATTTTACAGGTCCCTTTCTCCCCTACCTACTCTTGCTCACATCTTCTTTAAGGATTTTTGGAAATAATCACAACTCTGAAGTAATGCATTTCTTGGCTTCTGCAGGATATGTTGCGGTATGTCACCCAATGGGATCTACAAAATCTCCAGACAAGCAGTACTTGCTGCGCAATTGCCTGTTTCATTCACTACAAAGTCTAACTGGAGAGGTCCATTCCCTAGGGAGATTCTCTCCATGTTCTGCCACCAGCATAGATTAGCAGACCCTGTCTTTACTATATCTACAGCTCCTGTGAAATCCTTGGCTGACATATACAGATCTCACAAGAAGTTGAAGGTCTCAGAATCTCATGATGCTGATGATGAGAATTTGAGTAAGGAAAAAGAAGATGCACCAGGGTTAGGACATGGTTTCAGATGTGAAGTGAAAGTTCTTACAAAGTCCCAGGATTTGGTTTTAGAGTGTTCACCGAGAAAATTCTATGAGAAGGAGAATGATGCCGTTCAAAATGCTTCACTGAAAGCTCTCTTATGGTTTAGTAAGTTTTTCGATGAGATGGATGTGAATGGATCAGATTCAGATGATGAAGAGGATGTTAAAAAATCTCCAAGTACTACTCATGTTTTTCCAATCCCACCAAATCTCGGAAATGGAGACAGCTCAAGGACCAAGAACGTGCCATCATCGGGAGAGAAGCGTGTTCCCTCTATAACAAACAGTTCTGTGGTTAGCATCTGCTATTCTTTTTCTTTGGAAGTGGATCCTGAATTTTCAACTGATGGAGAAGTCAGCGAGAGCAACGAAGATATGGAGTCTGAGTATTCGTGTGATTATGAGCACTCAGTAGATCTCATTGAGAGCAATGAAGAAATAGAGTTTGAGATAGGGACTAAAGCCATGGATCCACTTATAGAATCAGCTGTTACTCAGATGACTGTGGGTGAATTTGCTTCTTTCAATACTTCACTCTGTACTGCTTCTGAAGCTTTGATTCTCTCTGTTGCCTCCGATACTGCGAGAGCTCGCTACCTCCTATCAAGTAATGCTTCTAATGCTTATTTAAGAACCTCTATATGTGTAAATAGACCAATAGAGATGAATTTTGCTTTTGTGTTTAATGCAGAACGCCCACAACTGGTTTACAGTATACTTCTGTTGGGAGTGAAAGGACCTAGTGAAGAGCGAATGGAGGCGGCTTTTTTCAAACCGCCACTTTCGAAACAGCGAGTGGAATATGCAGTGAAACATATAAAAGATTCATCCGCTTCTACTTTGGTATGCTCTCTTGGGTTAAGATAGTTTAAGTCTTAAATCTGTGACACCTCTGTTTTGTTGCAGGCTGACTTTGGATGCGGTTCTGGTAGTTTATTAGACTCTCTACTTGACTATCCAACAACACTTCAAACCATTATCGGCGTTGACATCTCACCTAAGGGTCTTGCCCGTGCTGCTAAGGTATGTAAAATCATGAACCACCGTTTCTTATTCCCACTCCTTAACTAAACTTGATGAGACTCATGAGAGCCTAATGCATTTGCACTCTTTAGTAATGAATTTTGTGTAACGAGTTGAGAAGGTTGATTAACGTATGTTTGTGTGTATCGTGTCTGTTTCTGTTTTAGATGCTACATGTAAAACTAAACAAGGAAGCTTGCAACGTCAACACTGCGACACTTTATGATGGTTCCATCCTCGAGTTCGACTCCAGGCTGTATGACATTGACATTGGCACTTGCTTAGAGGTCCCCTCCTATTATGTTTTTGTGCATGTTCATCAAAGCAATCTATATGGTTTTGCGTTATACAATAATCTGTTCCTAATATGCAGGTCATTGAACATATGGAAGAAGATCAAGCATGTGAGTTTGGTGAAAAGGTTCTAAGCTTGTTCCGCCCGAAGCTTCTAATTGTCTCAACACCAAACTTCGAGTACAACACAATTCTCCAGCGGTCTACTACACCAGAAAACCAAGAAGAAAACAAATCTGAGACACAGCTTCCCAAATTCAGGAACCATGACCACAAGTTCGAGTGGACAAGGGAACAGTTTAACCACTGGGCTACTAAGCTTGCGGAACGTCATAACTACAGCGTGGAGTTCAGCGGTGTTGGTGGGTGTGGTGAAGTAGAACCAGGGTTTGCTTCTCAAATAGCTGTTTTTAAACGGGAAGCTTCAGCTGTTGAGAGTGTTGCAGAAGGGTTGATGCAGCCTTATAAAGTAATATGGGAATGGAAAAAAGGCAGTGGAGAAAAGAAAGACTGATGGGATCTTTTGGATTAGGGAGGATCGAGTATTTTGCAAGCAATGTGATGATGTATTCATCTATATAAAAACTCAAAGCTTGTCTTAGTTCTTTTGCCTTAGCTTTTGCAGATTAACCATGGTACCATTATGTTGTTTACTATCAGTAGTCTAGCCTACTGACAATGATGGGAATTACCATTTTGCCCCAGCGAGTATGTTTATTTATATAGAAGTCCCTGGACTTGTTATCACTCTCCAATGCATTTGCGTTCTTGATCTGGAACATGAGTATAAGCTTTAGAGGCAGAGGTTTAGGATCTAAATGTAAGTTTCATAGACAAAACAAATAGACATAGGTATAACTGATTACACTCTAGAACAAATCTTAGTTTTTCAGTTTTTTAGAATAGGTTCAATAACAAAACACACAAAGCACAAAAGAGAGAAAATTCAAAACATAAAATAAAGGATATAAAAGAAACACGACTTGTTGCTTGTGTGAAGCCTTCCTTACGAAAGTAATACTAATAGTAGTAGTAATCAATCATGTTTTTCTTAAGCTTCTTCTTCATACTCTTCTTCGTCCTCCTCATACTCTTCTTCACCAACTGTAGCATCCTGATATTGCTGGTACTCTGCAACAAGATCGTTCATGTTACTCTCAGCTTCTGTGAACTCCATCTCATCCATCCCTTCTCCCGTGTACCAATGCAAGAAAGCCTTTCTCCTGAACATAGCAGTGAACTGTTCACTCACACGCCTAAACATTTCCTGTATCGATGTCGAGTTCCCTATGAAAGTCGACGCCATTTTCAAACCCGTGGGAGCTATATCGCAGACGCTTGACTTCACGTTGTTCGGAATCCATTCGACAAAGTACGATGAGTTCTTGTTCTGGACATTCATCATCTGTTCATCAACCTCTTTAGTACTCATCTTTCCACGGAAGAGCGCAGAAGCTGTCAAGTAACGTCCATGGCGAGGATCAGCTGCGCACATCATGTTTTTGGCGTCCCACATCTGTTGGGTTAGCTCAGGGACGCTCAAGGCACTGTATTGCTGAGACCCTCTTGATGTCAAGGGCGCAAAACCCACCATGAAGAAGTGGAGTCTCGGGAAAGGGATGAGATTGACAGCGAGTTTTCTAAGGTCGGAGTTTAGTTGACCGGGGAAACGGAGACAGCATGTGACACCACTCATGGTAGCTGAGATGAGGTGGTTAAGGTCACCAACTATAAAAACACCCACATCAATGTCAGAGTTCAATCACATTATTGGAAAACAAGATTATTAAGGTTTTAAACAAACTCACAAGTGGGATTAGAGAGCTTCAACGTGCGGAAACAAATATCGTAAAGAGCTTCATTATCCAAAACCATACACTCATCAGCATTCTCAACAAGCTGATGAACAGAGAGTGTAGCATTGTACGGCTCAACAACAGTGTCAGAGACCTTAGGAGAAGGAAAAACCGAAAACGTCATCATCATACGATCAGGATACTCCTCTCTTATCTTAGAGATCAAAAGAGTTCCCATCCCAGAGCCAGTTCCTCCACCAAGTGAATGACACACTTGAAAACCTGTTTCCACACAAAATCAAACCATTCATCAAAAAAAACGCCACGTCACGAATCTAAATCCACAACTTGATTCTCTCTAATAGGCATTTGTCCGAACCGATCAAGCCGAACCGAATTTTTGGTTTTCTGCTATGGTTTTGATTTCGGTTTAATTTGGAATGGTTTTGAAAATTGGTTAGGCTATCGTTCGGTTTTTGAATTATTATGTTTTTGAAAATATATAAAATCCGAAAATAACTGAAAACCCGAATCAAATTTAAACGAAAAACCCCGAAAATAACAGAATTTATTCAAAATAATCAAATTTTACCGAAAATATCCGATTTATTTTGGAAAAATATACCAAAATTAACCAAAACTAAAAAAATGGAAATAAAAGTAACAACCAAAAATAAAAGATAATTTAATTCGGTTAATTTTGGAATCAATTTTCAAAATCTTGGTTAACCAAAAATCAATGGTTCGGTTCGGTTTTGAAAAACCGAACTCGCAGGGTATCTAACATCAGATCTAGATTCCCAAACCTTAAACGCGAATAACTCTCACCTTGAAGACAATCACAGTTCTCAGCTTCCTTCCTCACAACATCAAGAACCGAATCAATCAACTCAGCTCCCTCCGTATAATGCCCCTTCGCCCAGTTATTCCCCGCCCCAGACTGCCCGAACACAAAGTTATCAGGCCTAAAAATCTGCCCGAACGGCCCGGATCTGAGGGAATCCATAGTTCCAGGCTCCAGATCCATCAGCACCGCGCGTGGGACGTACTTCCCGCCGTTAGCTTCGTTGTAATAGACGTTGATCCTCTCGAGCTGGAGATCCGTGTCGCCGCAGTACTGGCCCGTGGAGTCGATGGCGTGCTCGCCGCAGATTACTTCCCAGAACTTGGCTCCGATCTGGTTCCCGCATTGGCCTCCTTGGATGTGAAGGATTTCTCTCATTTTTTTCCCTGGAGATGTTTTTTTTTTCTTTTTCTCGAGAAAATGTGGGGAAAGTTTTGGAGACGAGCGGTTTCTCTGTTTTAGGTTTGAAATGATTGAAGGGTGTAAAAGGAAAGGGATCTTTGAATTGGTGGTGATCTGTTGTTATATATAGTTTACGTTTAATTTTGTTAAAAGTCTTTGATAATTTACAGTTTGGTCCTTTAACTTTTGTTGATCTTTGAATAATACCGAATGGTTTCTACCGCTCTTTTCGATTTGGTTTCTTTATGTGCTGTATGACAGCGAGTCAAAACAAAATATCTTTCAGATATTTTGTTATTTTATATATAAAATTTTAAAAAGACTCTTGAAAAGATATAAAGGCAAGTTTTTAAAATTTTGCACATGGTATCCTAGGTCGTTGAGTTATGAAAAAAAAATGTTCCCTCGGATATTGAAATTGAAGACCATAAGATTCGATTTAGCATAATTAGGTGGATTTTCCTTTTTTGTTTTGAACTAATTAATCTGTTTACGCCATTTTTAGGTAAGTGCGTATTTAGCAAATCCACCCATAATAATGTACTTTAGCTGATTATAGAAGTTCGAAGTAAATGGATTACAGGCCAATGGCAAGAGTTACCAACCCATAAAAATGCTTAATATAGATTCTTATAAATTATCGTTGGGCAAATATATATAACCGTAAGAAATCTTAAAATAACTACAACCGATTAACCATGCCAATGTCCAAAAATATAAAATTGCATTTTTGGTTCAGTTTAGTTATAGCTGTTGGATGCATTTACATTATGTCGGCTTACAAAATATTATTTTAAAAAATAAATCCGAATGGTTTCAAAAAATCTTGATGGTTTTATTTGAGTTTGGATTTTGGAAACACAAACAAAACAAATATAATAAAAATAAATTAAGATTTTGGAGTTACTTTAGGACCGGTCCGACCACCCCCCCCCCCCCCCAAAGATAACCAAAATTCTGCTCATTTTCATATGTTTTTGTGGATATGAAATAAAATTTAAGAAATCATTTTAACTTATGAACCCGAATCCAAACCAAATAGTTCAACTTGCTTGTGCTTTAGACCATGAAGCTACTGAAGCGGCATTAAATAATAAGAAGTAAATCTGGATAAATAAGTTTTGTAAACTTAGAATTCATTAATTATAACTTGAGTTTAAATTTCGCTTCGTTTGGGTTTGAAATGGTTAAAACTTAATGCAAGTTATCGAGTATTTGATTGGTTAGGTTTACATCTGGTTTAACTTCTTTTTTTTCCTGTGATCAAACCTCTGGGTTGACTTAAATGTAAGTTATCGAGTATTTTATTTGATATTTTGATTCGGTTCAAATCCGGGTTTTATTTGGTTCAGTCCACTAGTACTGTCTGGTACACTTACATATCTTATACAATAAAGTTAAGTTTTCTCCCTTCTTAGGGTGTCCAACTCAGTATCATAGGGTGGAGCAAAAAATGCCACGTCAGCAGTTAACCCAAGTATTCACTCTTAATTCAATCGCGTCCCGTCCGGTTTTCTTTTTCAATTCTGTATTGGTATGTTCTATAGTATGTTGGGCTTTGCTGTTTTTTTTTACAATATTTAAAGGCCCAACATTAAACCAAGATACTCTTCAGACTTCATCGTGTATTTGTCCGGTTGTCTTAATTAAATCACGGTTTGAACTGGTTGTATATTTTCTTGGGCTGGACTGATTTTGTAATCTTATTGAAAGGTCCGAAAATATTTCCGGTCTTTGCTTCTTCTTCATTCCCTCTTCCATCGACTTATCGCTTGAGCTCAGGAAACGCAAAGCCACGATCTCAACACTGTAACGCCTCAGCCTCGCATTAATATGTAATTAACTATGAGCTTTTACATTGTTATCACGCTGGGACGCATTTAGTTCATCTCTTCGCCTACCAAACAAACCGGCAAGTGTTCGATTATAAATATCACACCCTCCAACGATGGACAACGCAACTCAAACAACATCCAGAAGAAAACTTTGTTCTAACTACCGATTCCTGACATGGCGACCTCCTACACTCTCCTCGCTGATTTGAAGGCCGGTCTTTGCTCTGACATGGGGGAGGTGCGACTACTCCAATTTTTGGGAGGCCAAAAATAGCAACAGAGCCGGGGAACTAATAACTGTTGACATGTTTCTGATTGATGAGAATGTAAGAACCTCTGATTCTGGTTAACCCTCTCGACAATACATTCATTCCGATTTCTATTGTAGAGAAAATGAGAGGAAAAGGTTTTAGATTTATAAGAGCCACCGTTGACTCTCATTGATTTAGTTCTATCGGAACCTCCCCGATCATAGTCGCAGATTGTGGGCACAATACATCCACATGCAGCTACTCTAAATCTCCTACCCGCTCCAGTATCTTTAATGGTTTGTTCCCTATCCATTCAATTTTCATTTTTGATCGATTCGTTGAGCATCACTGATACAATGATGATATGATTAATAAAGATGCGACCTTTGCGTATGTTTCTAGCTTATTCATTGATAACTAACTTCTCAGTGACTGTGTCTTTATCTCCGATACAAGTTTGTGGGCAGAGAGACTCACTATTAATGATTACCAAGTTTTGTTGCATCCATCTTGAGATTCATAGGTTTGATATGTGC